GGTTTTGGGAGGAGAGTTCCACTGCTCTACTCACGCCGCCATCCTGGCTCCGCCCCAATTAAATATATATTTAACATGCAAAATATATATTAATGTATTGTTAATTTAAAATGTAAAAGAAATTAAATTTATATTATATATTTATGTATAATTTAAAATACAATAAAAATTATTATAAATATATTAATTTCATGGGAAATTTTATCCGATTTTTAAAACAAACTTGAAGATCTAGTTTTTCTCTGTGATAGTGAGCCATTTTTATTTTCTACTGGAATATTATTTGCATATTCAGAAAAAAGAATAGAAGTGACGTAAGTTAGGCTTTTTTTCCTCTAAAGCATGAACTTTAAAATTTTTTAGTAAATTAAGGCTACACTTTAAGGTAAAATATTACCTTTTTCTAAGCGACTATAATAGTGTTCATGTTTATCAGTTTTTTATACTTTTCAGAGTAACAAAATAAAAGAAAATACAGGTCCCCTTTGATTCTTATATACTCTTTAATTTGTATTTATAAAAAGGTATGATGATTTTCAGATTGTCCATTTGTCTCTCATGACCCATTCATTCTACAATCTTCAGTTACTTGAAGTGTTTAGAGAATTATTGTATCTATGCCTTACTCTGTATCTATCTGGGGAATTTATTACACATTCATTTTGTCTTTGTTGTTATCCTGTAGGATTTTGTTAAGAAACTACAGTGCAAAGAGGCATCGGTGATGGCTATCACAGAAAAGGTGAATAAGTTAACCAAGAAGCAGGAGGCTCCTGAACACAAGGAAATAAGTCACCTAAATGACCAGTGGTTAGATCTGTGCCTTCAGTCTAACAATCTGTGCTCACAAAGGGAAGAGGATCTTCAGAGAACCAGAGATTACCATGACTGCATGAATATCGTGGATGTGTTCTTAGAACAATTCACTACAGAATGGGATAACTTAGCCAGGTAACAGCAGTGCCCCAGCAGGTCTCCAAAATGCCAAGCCAGAAGTTTCTTAATTTCTAATTTAAAAATTAGGCTGACCCACAGGCACCTCAGACCTAATTTGTCCCAAACAGAACTCCTCATACTTCAGAACTGATGGCTTTGTAAGTGAAAGAGACTGTAATATTCCATTTGCTCATGTGTGTTTTGAACTAGGGATGGTAATCTTTTGCAATCCACACTTAAAGATTTCTAATGATAACCAAAATGTATCTAAGTACATAAATGAGTAGCTATTAGAGCCACTGATGACATCTTACAGGTTGCACTATCAAATGCTGTACGGCTCATTGGAGCTTCTTCTCATAGGAAAGCACATAAATCACAGATCACTTATTAATCACTATAAACGCCATTTCGAGAATGCAGTAATTCATTGCTTATCAGTGTTCACTGTTTACACAAATCATCCAGGAATCTTACTAATATGCAGATCCTGCTCAGTTGAGAAGGGCCAGAAGCAGCAGCTCAAAGTGCATGTCAGATATGATGGGCTGGCAGCCATAGCCAAAGAAGAGTAAAGAAGCATCTAGACAACTTGTTTGGTTCAACTTCTGATACAGAAATATAAGGGTCTTGTATTCCATAGTAATGACCACAGCTCTGTCAAGAAGCCATGAATTAAGCTACTCTAAGCTAAGAACACCCACTAAGAGAAAATGGTGAGGTGTAATTTAACATGGTATGAATGAACCTTGGTATTGACTAAAGCTAATTTGTTTTTATATCTTTAAATACATTTATAGGTCCAATGCAGAGAGTACAGCTGTCCACCTGGAAGCTTTGCAGAAGTTAGCACTGGCTTTACAGGACAGAAAGCAGGCCATAGAGGACCTGAAAGAGCAAAAGCAGAAAATGATAGAGCATCTGAACTTAGATGACAAAGAATTGGTCAAAGAACAGACAAGTCACCTTGAACGACGCTGGTTTCAGCTTGAGGACCTTGTTAAAAGAAAAATCCAAGTGTCAGTCACCAACTTGGAGGAATCAGATGTGGTGCGGTGCAGGTTTCAGGAGCTGATGGAGTGGGCAGAAGAGCAACAGCCGAGCATTGCAGAGGCCCTGAAGCAGAGCCCCCCGCCCGAAATGGCACAGAGCCTCCTCATGGAGCACCTTACCATCTGCAGTGAACTGGAGGCCAAACAAATACTCCTGAAATCACTCCTGAAGGATGCCGACAGGGTGATGGCGGATCTTGGCCTCAACGAGCGGCAGATAATCCAGAAGGCACTTTCTGATGCGCAGAGGCATGTGAATTGTCTCAGCGACTTAGTGAGCCAGAGGCGGAGGTACTTAAACAAAGCCTTGTCGGAGAAAACCCAGTTTCTCATGGCAGTGTTCCAGGCCACCAGCCAGATTCAGCAACATGAGCAAAAGATAATGTTCCGTGAGCATATCTGCCTGCTACCGGATGATGTGAGCAAACAGGTTAAAACGTGTAAAAGTACACAAGCCAGCCTCAAGACTTACCAAAGTGACGTCACAGGGCTTTGGGCCCAGGGTCGCGAGTTAATGAAAGGGGCCCCAGAGCAGGAAAAGAGTGAAATACTGGGCAAGCTTCAGGACCTGCAGAGTGTCTACGACACTGTTTTACAGAAGTGTAGCCATCGGCTACAGGACCTAGAGAAAAGTCTAGTTTCTAGGAAGCATTTTAAGGAAGATTTTGAGAAAGCTTGTCACTGGCTAAAACAAGCAGATATCGTTACATTTCCTGAAATCAACCTAATGAACGAGAGCACAGAGCTTCAGGCACAACTGGCCAAATACCAGCGCATTCTTGAACAATCTCCAGACTACGAAAACCTCCTGCTTACACTACAGAGGACCGGGCAGGCCATTTTGCCGTCACTGAATGAAGCCGACCATTCCTACCTCAGTGAAAAGCTAAATGCCCTGCCGCTGCAATTCAATGTCATCATTGCCTTGGCTAAAGACAAGTTCTATAAAGTTCAAGAAGCAATTCTTGCTCGGAAAGAATACGCCTCCTTGACTGAGTTGACAATTCAGTCTCTGAGTGATCTTGAAGACCAGTTCTTAAAACTGAGCAAAGTGCCCGCTGACCTGGTGACCACGGAGGCTCTGGCTCTTCAGGACAGTCACAGAGCCCTTCTGGGGGAGGTGGCAGGCCTTGGGGAAGCAGTGGGCGAGCTGAACCAGAAGAAAGAAAGTTTCCGCAGCACAGGCCAGCCTTGGCAGCCAGACAAGATGCTGCACCTTGTCACCTTGTACCACAGGCTAAAGCGACAAACTGAACAAAGGCTTAGCTTCTTAGAAGATACCACCAGTGCCTATGAAGAGCATGAAAAGATGTGCTGCCAGCTGGAGAAACAACTAGAGGCTGTGAAAGCAGAGCAGTGCCAGGTGAATGAGGAGACACTTCCTGCAGAGGAGAAGCTCAAAATGTATCACTCCCTGGCAGGAAGTCTCCGGGACGCAGGAACTCTGCTGAAACAAGTAACCGTGCACCTTGAAGATCTTGTTCCACACCTGGATCCCTTGGCTTATGAGAGAGCCAAACATCAGATCCAGTCCTGGCAAGAGGAGTTAAAACTGTTAACTTCTGCCATTGGCGCAACGGTGACGGAATGTGAGAGCCGCATGGTGCAGAGTATAGACTTCCATTCAGAGCTGAGCCGCTCCCTGGACTGGCTGAGGAGCGTGAAGGCAGAGCTCGGCGGGCCTCTGTGCCTGGACCTGAGCCTGCAGGACATCCAGGAGGAGGTCAGAAAGATCCAAATTCACCAGGAAGAGGTCCAATCCAGCCTGAGAATAATGAATGCCCTGAGTAACAAGGAGAAGGAGAAATTCACAAAAGCCAAGGAATTGATTTCCGCGGATTTACAACATGCTCTTGCTGAACTCTCGGGGCTCGATGGAGACATTCAGGAAGCTTTATGCACCAGACAGGTGAGTACTGAGCATCTCTTTTCTTTCTCCACTCTGCTTATTTGTAAACAGATGTGAGAAATTTCTTTGTTTTTGTTTTTTCATTAGAATTGCTTCCTTAAATATTTCTTTTTTGATAATTATGTGAGATCATCTTCAAGAGTGATTTGAAAGTGACTTACGCACATGGTATCCCTTTCTTGTGATTTCCACGTGGACTTCACTTTAATTATGATATAATGATACTTTAGTTATCTTTCACCTTTAGGAGAGAGAAGATGTGATAGCATTAATATAATTAACACCATATGTAAATGCATTATTAATAAAAGTAATTAATTAGCAATGAATACTTAGTGATCTCTTTTTCAACCCGGCATTTCTATGATTAATGCTCCATGATGAGTCCCCAAATGGAGAGAGGCAGATGGATAATGCAGTCCTGACTGAGGGCAAGCCACGTTTTCTTTGGGGTCTCCCATCAGTTGTATATACATCAATGATGTGTGTGTGTGTGTGTGTGTGTGTACCACATTTTCTTCAGCCACTCATCTATGGATGGACACTTAGGTTTTTTTCCATACCCTGGTATTGTGAATCATGCTGCTATGAACATGGGAGTACAGATATCTCTTCAAGGTAATGATTTCATCTCCTTTGGATAAATACCCAGAAGTAGGATTGCTGGATCACATGGTGGTTCCGTTTTTAATTTCTTGGGGAGCTTGCATACTGGTTTCCATAGTGGCTGCATCAGTTTACATGCCCACTGGTGTTATCACGCTATCAACTGAGGCATCAATTCACTTCAGTAAATATTCAGTCTGCCACATATTACTAAGCATTACATTTTTTGTTCTTTAGAGAGAAAGGAAACTGTCAGAGCTCGTTAAGATATCACCATACATTCCTATGCCATTTCTGTCCTTGTTTATTTATTTTAGCTGCAATCATGAAATTATAATAAGAATGGCAGAAGGAAAAATCAAGGATAATTATGAACTGCACCAAAAAAATTCCACCAACTTATTAATATATTCACATATGCACATACATTCATGTAACTGAGGGCTGGAAGAGAAATAGGAAAATTAAACTATTTCCTTCAAGCACATTGCGTGTGAGAGTTGACTGTCTTTGCAATTACTGTTTTTCAGGCTACTTTGACTCAAATATATAATCAATGTCAAAGATACTATCAAATATTTCAAGCAGCTAACGACTGGCTTGAGGATGCTCAGGAGATGTTACAGCTGGCAGGCAATGGTCTGGATGTGGAGAACGCAGAGGAAAATCTCAAAAGTCACAAGGAATTTTTTAGTACAGAGGATCAGTTCCACAGTAATCTAAAAGAGCTCCAAGGCCTGGCAGCCCACCTGGAGCCACTCATTAAGCCAGCTGGAAAAGAGGACCTTGCACAGAGAATGGCTTCCCTGCAGAAGAAGAGCCAGAGGATAATACAGGACTCCCACGCCCAGTTAGATCTCTTGCAGAGGTATTAGGGTTGTTTTATTGTTTATATGCCATTAAAATGGATTTTTGCACTGAAAAAAGGAATATCCTGATATACAGTAGCATGTAAATTCATGGTTCTCTCTCAAATATCATTAGACATGTTGACATCAAGCTCTGTATAGAAATATGTGATTTTATGTTACTTATTGGCTTATGTTGGACTTTTTCAAGATGTGCAGCTCAGTGGCAGGATTACCAGAAAGCAAGGGAAGAGGTAATTGAATTGATGAATGATGCAGAAAAGCAGTTGTCTGAGTTTTCTTTATGGAAGACTTCTTCCAGTCATGAAGCAGAAGAAAAATTGTCAGAACATAAGGTTAGCTTTGATGTTGTTTTTAATATCCTTTATTTGTAACTGTAATGGGTCATTATAATATGATAGGTCCAGAAACAAGTCACTGAATTATTTTCAATGATGTGTGTGTGTGTGTGTGTGTGTGTACCACATTTTCTTCAGCCACTCATCTATGGATGGACACTTAGGTTTTTTTCCATACCCTGGTATTGTGAATCATGCTGCTATGAACATGGGAGTACAGATATCTCTTCAAGGTAATGATTTCATCTCCTTTGGATAAATACCCAGAAGTAGGATTGCTGGATCACATGGTGGTTCCGTTTTTAATTTCTTGGGGAGCTTGCATACTGGTTTCCATAGTGGCTGCATCAGTTTACATGCCCACTGGTGTTATCACGCTATCAACTGAGGCATCAATTCACTTCAGTAAATATTCAGTCTGCCACATATTACTAAGCATTACATTTTTTGTTCTTTAGAGAGAAAGGAAACTGTCAGAGCTCGTTAAGATATCACCATACATTCCTATGCCATTTCTGTCCTTGTTTATTTATTTTAGCTGCAATCATGAAATTATAATAAGAATGGCAGAAGGAAAAATCAAGGATAATTATGAACTGCACCAAAAAAATTCCACCAACTTATTAATATATTCACATATGCACATACATTCATGTAACTGAGGGCTGGAAGAGAAATAGGAAAATTAAACTATTTCCTTCAAGCACATTGCGTGTGAGAGTTGACTGTCTTTGCAATTACTGTTTTTCAGGCTACTTTGACTCAAATATATAATCAATGTCAAAGATACTATCAAATATTTCAAGCAGCTAACGACTGGCTTGAGGATGCTCAGGAGATGTTACAGCTGGCAGGCAATGGTCTGGATGTGGAGAACGCAGAGGAAAATCTCAAAAGTCACAAGGAATTTTTTAGTACAGAGGATCAGTTCCACAGTAATCTAAAAGAGCTCCAAGGCCTGGCAGCCCACCTGGAGCCACTCATTAAGCCAGCTGGAAAAGAGGACCTTGCACAGAGAATGGCTTCCCTGCAGAAGAAGAGCCAGAGGATAATACAGGACTCCCACGCCCAGTTAGATCTCTTGCAGAGGTATTAGGGTTGTTTTATTGTTTATATGCCATTAAAATGGATTTTTGCACTGAAAAAAGGAATATCCTGATATACAGTAGCATGTAAATTCATGGTTCTCTCTCAAATATCATTAGACATGTTGACATCAAGCTCTGTATAGAAATATGTGATTTTATGTTACTTATTGGCTTATGTTGGACTTTTTCAAGATGTGCAGCTCAGTGGCAGGATTACCAGAAAGCAAGGGAAGAGGTAATTGAATTGATGAATGATGCAGAAAAGCAGTTGTCTGAGTTTTCTTTATGGAAGACTTCTTCCAGTCATGAAGCAGAAGAAAAATTGTCAGAACATAAGGTTAGCTTTGATGTTGTTTTTAATATCCTTTATTTGTAACTGTAATGGGTCATTATAATATGATAGGTCCAGAAACAAGTCACTGAATTATTTCCACCTGAGTTCCTTAAAGATGAAAAACCACATCTCACAGCAGTTTCAACTCAAATGCTGTCACCTTTTTTGGATTCCTGTTAGAAATGTGTAGCTAGGTTTAAAAAGACATTCAGGGCAATTTGCGGCTGATAAGATATGACACTTAATAAATTTCAGTAAATGCTTCCTGCAGATATAACTTAGGTTAATTCAAATAAGGTTCAAAAATATACACAGCAATAGAAGGTGGAATATAACATACAGAAATATCAAATTCAGTTCACTTATTTTTTTGCTGCCTTTTAAAAATGGGAGAATGTCATCTCAAGTAGCAAACTTATGGTCAATAAATATTCACCTTACCATTTAAAAGTATTAAAATGTAAATGTAAAAGAGTTACTAAAGGAAGATAAAAGTGTGTGGGAACATTTTCTTGTGCAGGTAATTGAGGACTTTAGTAAAATCCACCAAACTTTTGAAAAATCAGTCTCTCCCCACAATGTCTCTTCTCCTCCCCCCACCAGGCTTTAGTGTCAGTAGTGAACTCTTTCCATGAGAAAATTGTGGCCCTTGAGGCCAGAGCTGAACAACTGGAAAAGAGTGGAAATGACACGAGCAAAGCAACCATAAGCAGGTCGGTGACGACGGCCTGGCAGCGCTGGGCGCGTCTCCGTGCTGTGGCCCAGGACCAGGAGAAGATCCTGGAAGATGCAGTGGCTGAGTGGAAGAGCTTTAACAAAAAGGTAGTTTTCATCACTGATGAGCTCAAATTATTGTTTCCTCACTGACGGTAGAAAGGCGATATTTTGCCCCTATTTTGAAATTGGCCTCATCGAAGTAAAACTTTTTAAAAAATCTCTACTTCAATGACATGAGAGCCAAATTATGAAACAAAATGCATAATGTAATGTGCAACGTAGTCTCCGGTCATGATCTAATTATTTGAATAAGAAAAACCCAACAATTACATTTTGAAAAAAAGGACCAGGCTTCTTTGCCCCACTGGCTGGGTTCTTAGTGAAATTTTCTTGCCTGACCCAGAAAGTACAAAATACTTTACTCTGCCATGAAAATGAGTAGGAATTTAAGTCATTTCCCAAATCCTGTATTTAGTTCCTTCTGTCTTTTAAGTAAGGTTCAATGTTTTAAACCCCATCTTCAAAGACACACATTCATATATTAACATAAATATTGGAAAGAGTATTTCTTTTATCTGTTTAGTTATAAAAGAGACACTTTTTCTATGTTATGCTGTCTCCTATTTCCCTAATATTATTCTGAGATTAAATCTTTTAAACCCAGAATAACAGAAGTTGTCTTTCCTTCCATGTTAAGGAGATTGTTCATGTTTTAGTTTCCTGAAATGTAGAGCTTAGGCCATCATCTTTAACACTTTCAGTGCCTTAGTGTCACAGAGGCATTTATTAGAATTGCCCTATCTATTAAGTTTATTTATTTTTGAGTTTCATAATATGTCCATTTATCATCAGGTTAAAACAGTCACGGAGACGATTGATCAGCTACAAGATAAACTACCAGGAAGTTCAACAGAGAAAGCCTCAAAAGCAGAGCTCGTAACTCTTCTTGAATATCACGACACATTCATTCTGGAGCTAGAACAGCAACAGTCGGCCTTGGGCATGCTGCGTCAGCAAGGGCTGGGCATGCGCCAGGATGGGGCCGCTCCGTCCCCTGGGCAGGAGCTGCCCGTTGTGCAGGAAATCTCAGCAATGCAAGATCGGTGCCAGAAGTAATTATACACCTGCCCTCATTCTCTGTTACTAAACTTGGCCACGACCCAAAGGGATAAACGTGGGGTTAGAGTCTGGGGGTGCTCCATCACACCTTAAAACTGTGGGACTCTGTTCCCGTAATCCCTGCTTTTCATTTGTCTTTGCTCTTGAGTCATTTATCTGACAAGTGCATACTACTACTATTTAGAAATACGGTGATGATGCAAACAAATTCAGTCTTTACTTTCATGCAGTTTAGAGTCAGGCTGCAGAGATAGGCAGCTAAAGAAGCCATTTAGGTAGAGGGGGGCAACGGTGCTGAGGAAATACAAAGCGGAGGCAGCTAATCTAGAAGAGGAGCCACGATAGACTTCCCATGGATGGGCTGTTTAGGCTGAAGACTGAGTCATGCCTCAGGCAGTGAGGCAGAAAGAGAGTTTTGCAAACAAGGAATGTAAAAAATCTTGGAAGGAAGCATGTCACTTTCAAGGAACTGTTGGGGGGTGGGCAGATTCATAAGAGATGACGCTGGAACGGTAAACAAGAGCTACTGAGAACTTAGTTTTGATAAAGCTTGTTAACTCCTTGCCTAAATTGGATGACAAAGAGATGAGAACAAGATGATACCATAGTCCACGTAAATAATACCCATTTACTGGAAGTGAATCTAGTAGAAAGAGAAAGTTAATGGTATGTAACTTGCCTGATTCACTTATTGTGCAAGAGAAGAAATGTCAAGAATCCTACATTAACTAATATTACTCATCTATATCCTACGTTCACCTCTTTTGCTTATAGATAAATTCAGAATAATCTGACTCAACTCTTTAAGCTTTTTTACCAAATTTATGTCATTTTAAATGATGATTTAGATGTTGAACATTATGAATTGGAAAAATTTTTTAACTTGATTCTTTATTTAATGGCTAGTTTCTTATAGCCACAAATATTACAATTATATATTATTTTTAAATGCTGGTAATTCTGTACCACTTGAGTAGATTTGCAAAGAGGAAATAAACAATCTCCAGTTACTTTAGGTAATTACCTTAGACAAGTAGTAGGTAATTAGGAAAATTACTTGCAATTTGTGGCTTGGGAGGGTGTCAATTCTTAATTTTCCAGAGATATAAATCATTCATTTCATATGCTGTACATTCTTCTGTTATTCTTGAACTAAGCTTACGTGTTACTGAAAATTATCTGACAGTTTTGGGAAATGTCTCTGCTTGCAAAAGAGAGATGAATTTTCACTTTTTTATGTCTGTTCTTGATAAAATGATGTCATATGTTAGTGGCTTCCTTCCATTTCAAATCCACTCTGCTTCCTCCCATTAATGTCTCTGAAGTCTGCAAGAGCAAGTGAAGAAAAACGCAAAGGCGGTAAAGCAAGAATTGAAGGACCGTGAAGTGGTGGAGACTCAGGTCAACTCTGTGAAATCTTGGGTTCAGAAAACAAAGGAATATTTAGGGAATCCAACGATAGAAATAGATGCTCAACTTGAAGAACTTCAGGTACAAAACTCTCCTTATTCCCTGTATCCATCATTTAAAAAACCTGTCCTGATTTTAATCAGATAGATTTGTTTATAGCCAATGAAGCAATTGCATTAAAATTTTCCAGAAATATAAAAGGCTTCTGGTATAATAATTTCATAGGACTTTCTTTTGTTCTGTATACACTGCACATGCTTCTTATTCAGAGACTAAAGAAACGGGTTATTTTAAGGTGTTTCTACAATTCCATTCAAACATATATGGATGAACAGTATAGTACATTGTCTCTGTACTCATAAAAATTAATTTCCTTGTCAGGCTCCCAGAAGTTTCTTATTTTGATCTTGTCTTCAGATTCTTCTTAAAGAAGCCACAAATCACCAACAGAACATTGAGAAAATGGCTGAAGAGCAGAAGAATAAGTACCTGGATCTTTATGCTATATTACCTTCTGAAGTCTCCCTTCAGCTAGCTGAAGGGGCATTGGACCTAGGAACTATCCATAATCAGGTAAAGCTACAAAAGCCATTGTTTTTTAGGCTCAATGCTCTTGTATGCAAATCCTTGATTTTCATAATCATGTCTTCATGGAAACAGTTAAAAACAGATCAGTATAAAACAATAATATTAAATTAGAAATCTTATTCATAGGCAAGAAACATGTCAAATTATCACAGATATGAATAATTATGTTATACAAGTAAGATGATTTATTCCCCTTAGCCTTTTCTAAATAGAATACATAAATAAAATTAAATGACTTAAAGAAATAAGCAAGCAAAAAAAAAAAAAAAGACACATTTCAAGTGTTCAACAAACATTTTTTTGAGTACCCAGAGTCTGCTAGGCAGTCTTCTAGCTGTTATTTTAGTTCAGCAAGATAGTCAAAGAAACGGAAAATCAAAGTAAAAAAGATAAGGTAAAGCCAGGGATGGAGTCATTTCCCAAAATGCTTGTCCCTGGGCCCTGTATGTCAGTACAGGAAGGCGCAACAGTTTAACTCTAGTTTCCAATCAGAAAAAGGAGTGAAACATAATCTGCCTCGATACATTTTAAAACAAACCTTCTTTTCCTTCTTCCTCTCCCTCCCTCTCTCCCTCCTTTCCTTCCTTTCTTCCTCTCTTACTCTCATTCATTCTTTCATTCCTTCTTACAAGGAGATACACAGTTATTCATAGTACTGTTAAGCCTCATAAAGAGGACACATTCTCATGTAGGTTCAGTAGCTGTATATGGAAACTTAATAGTATTTTAGGACCTTCTTAGTGGCATAAGGCTAAAGCATAGTTTAGTTAAAGTACTAGTAGGGAACAGAAAATATGTATACTAATTCTAAACTGCTACATGGAATGGAAAGTAGTATTACTTTGTAGAAATAAGATTTATACAAGGGTGCTGCATTCTTTGGACCCTCCAATGTATAACATGAAGTGTTTTAAAAATTTCATCGAAGTCCAATTCTACTACATCATGACTTTGACCTAAATGGAAATGCTATTTTCTGACTTAAGTATTTCATTGGTCTATTTAATTTTTCTTCCTGGGAGGTCTATTGGGGAGGATGACTTGGCAAGTTCAAAGCTTAAAAGCAAAGTTTAAATTTAAGTGTTCTTGTTCTCTGGATAAATTTCCTTTAATAGAGTTATTCACATGCAGTGCATTTACATTGGCACTCAACTCAAAATAATGAGGGCCAAAAAGGACTTGTTTTAATGGTGTGTTTTCCCCCACTAAAGAGATTTTTTAGGCCTTTCATTTATATAAAGAAAATATTTACTTTACCCTCTATAGCATTTCATTATAAGCAAACATATCAATGCATTTTATCAGATCAAACCAAAGCCACTAGAAACTTGTAAATGTTAACTGTTTCTTTTTCTCCTTTCTTTCCATTGGTTGTGCATAACATATTTTCATCACAGTGTAGAGATGTGAATGGAAAGTTAGAAAAAGGGCTAATAGACCATCAACAGCTACTTATAAAAGGAGCTTGGAAACAAATCTGTGTGCCTTCAGTTATTTGGAAGCATTTTCCACTTTATGAAGAAAAAGGAAGGCTTAGAGGAGTTGGTGTGGTGAAGGTCACAAAGTTAGTAAATGGAGAATTCTGACAGGAGTCAAACTGAGCTATCTACACTGCCATCTATAATGAGTATTCTGTAAACATTTGATGAGTGAATCACTGTGCACGTATTGCATGTTCCTTTGCCTAAACAGCAGCAGAAAGAGGTGCAGTGAATGCATAAAGATGGTGGGAAGAGAGGAAAGCCGTGAGGGCTTGACCCTACCTGCACGTGGCTGCCTGGGCAAAGCACCAGGCAGTGTGAGCCACCGAGTGTCTCACACAAGTGTCTCAGGACTGAGGTTTTTAGCATTGGTCATCCCATTGTAACCGTGGTTGGTTTTGCTGTTCCTGTTGGTTATTTAGATCCAGGACAAAGTAAAAGAAGTCAAACATAGCAAGGCCGTGAGCCAGGAGTTCAGCCGTCAAATTCAGAAGACAGCCAAAGATCTCACGGCTATTCTAACTAAGCTGAGAGCAAGGACAGATAATCTAGTTCAAGCTAAAACTGACCAAAAGGTAAGGAAGGAGAAGTGGAAACATGAGGGGTGCTATTGGATTAAGTGTGTTTGGAGTTGGCTTCTTTTGGGGATGTAGAAAAAAACCTTTCGTGATTAACAAGCTTCTTTAAAACCATAGAGTGAAGGCAGGCAATAAAGAAACTTTATAAATATGATAGCAGAGATCTACTTACATCATATATTTTGTCATCACAGTTGAGCTGTATTAATAAATGTATATGTGTGTATAAGAGCATCAGAGGCCTGAATAATAATTTCAGGATATCAGTATACAAATTTCCAAATGAAGGATGTTCTTGGTGGTTAAATCTATGTTCTTAGTCTGCTGATAAAGGTAAGTGACTAATCTTTTTTGGTAGAGCAGAGGGAAAATGTTAGTCTTACCACTCAGTTCATAGGAAATGGACACTAGGGTTACAACACATCCTGTCTGGTCTGCCTTTCCAACCAAAGAAACAGAAGTGACCTGATCCTAGTAGAACTATTCTTAATAATATTTGGCTTTTACAGAAATCATTTAAAAGATAACCCTTCTGATGTTGGAAAATCTGGAGTAATTTATTTTCAGTAGTCTAATGTTCTCCCATGTTGATGCCCGTCTAGGTGCTAGGAGAGGATTTAGATGGCTGTAAGTTAAAGTTAATGGAACTGGATGAAGCAGTACAGAAATTCTCAGAACAGAATGGCCACCTGGGGAAACCACTGGTCAAGAAGATAGGAAAACTGACTGCACTTCACCAGCAGACCATTAGGCAGGCAGAGAATCGGCTCTCAAAGCTCAATCAGGTATGATTTCCAGGCCAGCAATCAGAATTCTCTAAGGCAGAACTTCAATGTTTGTTTTTCTCTTTTGAAAATAAATAAGATAATACTGATAGGGACAAGTTAAACTGGAATTTGGTGATGAATTATAATATCGAAACCTGATATGCAGTAACCCCACCTTCTTACTCAGTGCGGGTGGAGTATGAAAGGAGGGATAGAGAGGAGCTAGATAGATGACTAAGAGATGAGAACAGAGAACTTTTTTAAAAAAACACACAGATTATTCAAGCATATATCAAGAACTTGGACATTATGCAAAGTCATTAGGAAGTCCATGGCAGATTTTCAACCAAGAAATGATTTTTCATGGTACTTTTAAATACCACTGATATTATAACAATCAACCCCTGCGAGAATTGTATCCATAGGAAGATAGAAGACTGACTTCTAGCTTATGAAGCAGAGTTTACATTTATAATCTGAATGTTAATGATTTTTTCAGGCAGCATCACATTTAGGAGAATACAATGAAATGCTTGAATTAATTCTGAAGTGGATGGAGAAAGCTAAAATTTTGGCACATGGAAAGATTGCATGGAATTCCGCAAGTCAGTTACAGGAACAATATATTTCACATCAGGTAACCTTGAGAAAAATAGTTTCAAAGAGAATAATTTGATTTAATGAAGAAGGTAATTTGATTTAACTGGCTAGACTGGCAAAACGCATGATGTAAAACAGTTATTGTAGGTGCCAGATAAAAAGAAGGCCTATGTAGACCTGAGAACTTGTTCAGTGGTTTGAAAGAAAGTGGCTACCCATGAGATTTTATGAGACTGAGTAATAAATAAATATTACCTATGTGTCCTAGACTTCTCTTTCCCCAAGATCAAAAACAATCAACCTCATAGGACTTGTTTTTTTTTTTTTTTTTTGCAGTTTCTTTTAAAAAAGTTATATGCAGAGATATGGTACGAAATTCTTTCCCATAAAGAAATACAGTGATGTGTGGAAAGATCTTAGGCTCCAGACCCAGACTGATGGGAAAAACAAGCTCTGCCATTTGGGCTGTGTGACTTAGAGCAAACTATTTCGCCTCTCTGAATTCAGTTTTCTCATCAATAGGATGGAGACGTAAATGTTATTTATCCTGCAGGATTATTATGAGGATCACATGGTTTAATGTATGTGCAAACATCAAGCATGTTAGCTGGCCTGAGGGTGCTCTGTAAGAGCGGTCATACCTCCTCCTTGGCCTTCGGCCTGGTCTCAGCCATCTGGCCTTCCACAGGAAGTAGGGGTCAACTGAAATGAAATTTTCTCTTGGTTATATCATCCAGGAAATTATTTCACCCTTTTATAATTTAGACTTGAATTAGATACAGACATCTAATAGCTCAGTTATCTTGCAATAAAATACAGAGTGGTTTTTATTGAAATTAAACAGATATCCTCAAGTGTTGTAGATTTTTCTCTCTTTTATTCTGACTTATGTACAGATTTTCCTCACTTTGTAATGGGATTATATCCCAAGAAACCCACTGTAAGTTGAAAATATCACGAAGTCAAAATGCTTTAATACACATAGCCTATAGAATGTCACAGCTCAGCTTAGCCCACCTGAAATGTGCTTAGAACACCTCCATTAGCTTACAGTTAGACAGAATCATCTAAAACAAAGCTTATTTTATAATAAATTGTTGAATATCCCTTGTAATTTCTTGACTATTATATAGCAAGTGAAAAACAGAATGCTGTATGGGTACAGGATGGTTGTAGGTGTATTGGTTGTTTACCCTTATGATCACGTGGCTGACTGGGAGCTGCTCAGCGTCACACATATTGGCAAGCCTGAGCTAAGATCAAAATGCAAAATTCAAACTACAGTTTCTATTGAATGTGCATCACTGTCACACACATAAAGTTAAAAGATCATAAGTTGAGCTGTTGTAAGTTGAAGACCGTTTGTACACTCATGCCTTAAATTATCCCCTTTTCCATTTCAGTTGGCAGAGTTCTGGATCAAAGCCTCATTTTCTCCTTCTTGGATGCGTTAACAGGATCCTAGTGGTTTCCTTGAATCCACAACCTTTCTTCTCTAAGCATTCTTGCACACTCCTCTCAAGGAATCTTTTTTAACTCCAGTTGAGGTAGAGCAGGGATGTGAGACAAGCCTCGTGATTAATTTTTTTGCCTTTGATGAAAAATGCCAAATATATAAATGCTTAGTAGAGTAAGAACAGGAGGGACTCCATCTTAAGGCTAAGATTCCATTTTAAAACAATTTTAGAATGGTGATTAGGCAGCAACCAATCCTGTCTTAAGGCAGAGTGGGCAGTCCTAAATGATAGGTTTCCACTGCTTGAGGGTAACCACTATCTTGGAGAGGAACAGGACCAGTAAATTCCTTGTGTGAAGTTTATCTTACAAAATATCTATAGGCCTGACTGTGGATGGTGACATAATGTCTGTCACTGATGATAGGCATCATGAGACTACATATCAGCCTGTGCTTCCTTGGCCCTTTCACCCATTCTTGAAATCCTTAAAAACCCAAATCCTAAACCTTTCAGCATGCCTCCTCTCTGAGGTTACCTGCACTCCCAAGTGTGTACTGTCTTACCAAATAAACTTTCTTATTGCATAAGCCCATTGCCCTTTATGTCTGAACTCTTTTTCATGATAATGACAAGACCTCACCACCTCCACTTCCATTGTTAGTGTCCTTGTCACTTTGCAATTTCATTCAATTTTCTGGTCTTATGCACAAGTCTCTCTCTCTCTCTGTTCTACTTCAGACAAGTAGGGAAGAGCTACTGGGATGTCTGTTCTGGGCTTGCAAGTTCCCATCTCCTAGGTGACCCAGACAGAACTGCAGCTATGAAATCATGTTCTTTAGCAGCCTACCCAAAAAATCTTTCTTTGCTTTGGGAAGTTTTCAGAACATAATTTCCCTCCATCCAGTGCTCCATGGCCCCCACAAATCCTGGGGTGGTAGGGGCTTTATTCCTGTGCCATGCAGAGTGAAGTGGACACTGGACCACTGGACATGGGGAAACCCTGGTTTTAGGAGCTGGCAAGGGATTTCCCTACCCCAAGCAGGAGTTCCTTCCTCTGCTGTTTCTTGCCCACTGCTGCCTGCATGGATGCTGCCATTCACTGCTACTCTCACTTTACTGAATTCCTTCCTAACCTGTACTCATCTGACCTGTTCAACAATTCTTCTTTGGTCAGAGTTAAGAACTCCTGGGTTGAGGGCTCACCTTGCACACAGGGAGATCTCCCCAGACTGGACTGCCTGACACACAGTTTTCTGCTTGAGGACATGCTTATAAACAGACCAGATTTAAGTTACAATTGGGTACTAACAATGAAAAAAAATACTCAACCTCATTAGAAATCTAGATGCAAATTTAAAAAAGAGGATATTTTAGCCATCAAGTTAGCACCATTTTTAAAAAGTTCATATTTAAGGAAGTGAGAGCTCCCAAACACTGCTGGTAACTTGGTAAAGTCTTTCTTGAAAAACGATTGACAAAAATGTATCATGATCATCAAAATGTTACTACTCTGTAGTCCAAACTGTAGAAAATACCTTATAACTACAGTGGTATTTTAAAGATAGTATAAATGTCAAAATCTTTTTTCTGGGTAAATTTTTGGGCTATAATGGAATATAATGTAGTCTTTTAAATGACCATGAAGGCTTTATTTATTTGTTTATTTTATCAGCCCCTGCATTCATTCGTTTATTTATTCAACAAACATTTATAGAACATTCTCCAAAGCTGGGAATTTTGTTAGGCACTTGGATTACAAAGCATATTATTTTGTCCCTACCCCAGAGAGTTGATAATTAAAGGGAGGAAGGAAGCATTTCTAGACTATTACACTGCAGTGGGTCACATACAGGGACTGAAGGATCAAGTGGCTGAAGGGGCCACAGGAGGGGGCTGCACCCAAACTGTTGGGGTTTGAGGGGAAGTCTAAGGAAGGCTTCTTAGGAAAAGATGATTCTGGACTGAGTCCTGAAAGACATGCTGCGTACTTGTGGGAAATGTGTTTTAGACAAAAACCCTGCATGCTCAAATCCCAGCAGGAAGAGTGAGAAGGGGACGGGTGGAGGAGAGCTGGGAAGAGGCCTAAAATAAGATTAGAGAGAGATGAAGAAGATCATGAAAGCCACTAAGAACTTGGACTTAATCCTAAAGTCATTCGGAAGCCTTTGACCAACATTCTGCAGGCAAGTGACAAGTTCAGACCTGTATTTTAAGAGAGGTGACTTAGCAGATCAGCCTGTGGAAAACAGAGCGATGAAGGGTAAGACAACAAAGGTGACTCCAATATTCCAGTAGCAAATGACAAGGTCTCTCTTTGGAGACTGAGAGAAGACGCAATCAAGGGGTATCAATGAGCTCGAATTCTGGACTTGGAAACCCTGGCTGTGAGTGACAGGGCAGGAGGAGCCAAGGATGAAGTCCATGTCTCTTGACTTGGGCAGCTGGGTAGGTTGAGCACATGAAGGGACCCAGGAGCAGAGCTGCCAGGCCTGCTGATGATTTCACACAGACGCTCAGGAGAGAATTAAGCCTGTAGCCACAGTTTCAGGGAGTTCTCTGGTGCCTGCCCTAGGAATTAAAGATGCCTGAGTTTATCCAAAACAGTGCAAGGAGACAAAATGTGTAAGTTCTAATGTCAGGTGAAAAAAAAAAAGAGAGATGGAAAATTGTACTTACATGATGATTTCCATTACCTAACTATATGCCCAAACATAACAGCACTTGTCTCTTGCTTAAAGTTATCTCTGATGCATGGGATTATGGAATATTTTATTTCCTTATTTGTATTTTCAATATTTTTCAAAATTTATAATATATATAGCATATAATAGCATATATAGTGAGGAAAAAAATGTACTTTATTTTTTAAAATAGGAATCTATTGCCTGAGAATAATGTCCCATCTCCCATTTCTCATCTTTACACGTTCCCCACCCCAGTGACCGCACGTCCTGCATTCACTCTCCTCTGTGCCTTTTCTCTGCTCTTCCGTCTGTCAAAATGCAAACATCTTTCTGACCCGACTTAGATGTGCCTCTTCCAGTAGCCTTTTCCCGATCTTCCTGCAAGTAGCAGCGCATCTCATTTCTGTCATCCTCAGCCCTTCTTCTCTTTACTCTGTTCATATAATGCACATGATATGGTTATTAAGCCAATTGTATTATTATTTGACCCAGTAGATGATGCTATCCTGAATGACAATGGCTGTGTTTTTAATCTCCTTGGTATCCCAAGAAGTTTCTATTCCTTTGCCACTTAAGGCAAGTGAACAAAGGTTTTTTGTTTGTTTGGCACACTCTTACCTTAGTTTCATTTCTTGGATCAAGAAATATATCTATTTCTTAGACACAGAATATGACCGTTGAAACACATCTCCTTAGTTTTAAATATGAGAAAAGCTAGTCCCAGTGACCTGATGAAGACGTCCAGGGTGTCAGAGCATTGCCACTGTGGAAATGCCCGTATCCTGACCCTCACCAGGGAGCAGCTTGGGGTGGTAGACAGAGCCTGAGCTGTAGGGTTCAAAACTTAATAACATGTGGCCATGGCAAATTGTTTACAGTTCTTGAACTTTGATTTATTTTTCTGTGAAATGGTGATAACAGTAGGTGAGAAAAGGGCGCAGGGATGTGAAGATTAAACACAGTAAGATACACAGAACCTACAGTGTGAGCTGGAAGTGTGAATTACATCTCCTTACTCCCTTCCCAGTATGATGGTCTTATACCATATCATATAGATTACCTATACCTCTATGCCTACCTGGCAATGTCATGACTATTAATAATTCACTCTACTCTAGGCCTTGCTAGAAGAATCTGAAGAAATTCACAGCAGTCTGGAAGCAATGACAGAGAAATTACAGTACATTGCTAGTGTGTATTATACAGAAAAAATGTCTCAGCAAGTGGCAGAATTGGGACGGGAGACTGAAGAGTTGCGACAGATGATCAAAATTCGTTTACAGAATCTTCAAGATGCTGCCAAGGTAAAAAAAAAAATTAAATTGAAAAGTCTATTATTAAAAAAAATGGTTGTCTTGCAGTGGAGATATGTGTTCACACTGATGTACCTTTTTGACTGATGTTACTCTACACCTATGACTTTGAACTTCAAGCGCTAATATATAGACATTCAAATCGATTTTACTCTGCAGGATATGAAAAAATTTGAAACAGAGCTAAGAAACTTACAAGTTGCTTTGGAGCAAGCCCACACAACCCTGACTTCTCCAGAAGTTGGACGTCTTAGTCTCAAGGAGCAACTCTCTCATCGACAGGTAAGCAAAAGTAATTCAGGGGAAATAAGTGGGGAGCTGTATTAAAATAAGAGAGTAGTTAGGAAACGCGATTTCTAAACTTAATTATATTCTTAGCACTAGAGGCATTGTTTCAAAAAGTAGTCTTTGGAAAATGTTTATCCTTGGGTACAGAGCTGTAATTCGGTAACTCTCTTACTTATGAATTGAACTACTGAAGTATAAACATTTTAAATATTTCACGAAATGTAAAATATAAAGTTGCATTTTCAGCATTTGTTGTCTGAGATGGAGTCGCTCAAGCCAAAGGTCCACACGGTACAGATCTGCCAAAGCACGCTCCGGATCCCTGCGGATGTGGTCGCCAGCTTGCCGCTCTGCCACGCTGCTCTGTGCCTGCAGGAAGAGGCCAGCCGCTTGCAGCATTCAGCGATCCAGCAGTGCAACGCCACACAGGCACGTGCAGCCATACCAGCCAGCGTCTGCAGGCGGTCCCCACGCCCACAAACCAATAGCAAATGAGTCATGGGCTTCTTTTCTTAGTATTGTGTGGGCCCAGCCATCAAAACACATCCCGAGTGTTAAATCTGACAGATTGTTGGGGTTATATAAAACAAAGGATGAAATGCTGTCATTGGGATCACCCACCAAAGCCTGGGGAAAGCTTGATAAAATATATCCTTTGGTGAGAACTATCTCTTAGCGATGTTTTTTTGTTTTGTGAAGATCAACTTTTATAAGAATTAATTTTATATTCAATCACATATTTTCTTACTGTGCACCTGAGAATCACCTAGAATCTTGTAATATGACTTTACAGCTAGCCTCTATTACAGAATTTTTTTTTTGTATTTCAGCTCATTGAAGCATTAAATATATTTTCTTGCCTTAGAAGTACATCCAAGTGTAACTCTTAGCTTCGGAATTCACCCAGTAAGAGAAAAATCATTGACTAGGAAGAAATGACACCCTCCTAATTGCTTTAACTGATATCTCTCCTGCTTTATCAAAAAATTACATACCTATCCTATCCTCTGATTCAATAGCTAATAGTCTGTCAATTATCCTTGCTCCTTGCATTGTCTTATAATTTGCTGGACAGTACATTTCTGAGGATAGAAGCCATGCTTAATTCATTTTTTTTTCAGTCCTCTACTCCAGCCCTTAACTGAATGCCTTACACATATATTCAATATTTCTTAGATGGAAAAATAAAATAATCACGTTTTTCATACTGCTTCCCACCATGCTGTGTCTGTGACACTGCCATCTTCAGGGGGCATATGAATGGGGAATAGAGAGAGGATCTAGCCACTTAAATATTTCGAATCCATCAATAACGTTGGCAAATATTTTAGAGAGAAGGTTCTAAAATAACTGAGTAGTGTTGAGGATTTGAATCACCTAGGGATTCTACTCATCATTTTTTGTCCCCTAGACACACCACGTATATAGGAGTTAGTCCTAGTTTAGCAGATAGCTGCACAGAATCGCTTACCCAGTTATTGATATGGAAAGATGATCATTTGTGTGTGTGTGTGTTCTTTCAAAGGAGGCTGTGGTGCAATATGAACAATATGAACAAGAAATGCAGCACCTGCAGGAGCTCATAGAAGGAGCTCACAGAGAGATTGAGGATAAGCCTGTGGCCACCAGTAACATCCAGGAGCTGCAAGCCCAGATTTCTCGTCATGAGGTAAGACAGGAACATAAACGCATTATGGTCAGGATGCTGGCTTGACTGGTTTCCAGGGAAACAAAGAGAAAGCTTTTCCCCGTCTGGCACGTAATGTGTTGTTCAGTTCTCTGGTAGCTTTTCTTGGCTCTCTTTGCATTTTAAGGGCTATTTTTGCTGATCCTTTCTAAGACCCAGTAGCATGAAGCTTCCCCTTGATTCCAAAACCTCTCTGCGTTGTTCATGACATATCTCAACTGGGACCCATCGCCTGTCTTCTGTGCCCAGACCTCTCACAGTTACTACACCCAAACACACTTGACTCCCTATATGGAAAGCCCACAAGAAACAGCAATGTTCAAAGCCTTGCTGCTTTGGTTATCCTTTTTAAAATGAAGGGATATTTCACATTAAAAAGAAGTTTGTTGCTCTTTTAAATATAGGCTATTTTAGGTCCTTTCTCCAAAATCAGAGAATGGTCAGTGCTGTTTGTTTTGTTCATTTCCAGATTGTACCTGTTAGCATCTTCCCCATTTTCAAATGGGCCTCCTTTCTCTTACCTTTGGCATCCTGTGACCTCAGGATGCGGACATGCCTTCTGCAGACGTAGTGTCAGAGGTCATAGATCTTGAGTGTTTGAGTCCATTGACATTTAGCAGTGACCTTTCCTGATCTGTCAGTTCCTACATAGGTCACAGTTACTCTTTCCTTTAGGGGCTGGCTCATAGCATCATGTATTTTGGTAAGTGATGGCAGGGAAGAGGTCTTATTTCTCTGTACCAAGGATGGACATTTAGTTTATTCTTGAGTCTGCTCTATTTTAACTTTGTTGTCATAAAAAAACAAACTTTTTTTTCCAAACCAAATATTATAGTGAAGTAGTCAGAAGATTCAATTGTTGCCTTTTAAGGATGCAAAAATCTTACCATGTCCCCACCCCCTCCAAAAGCAATTCTTTAATTTCTTTATACATCAAATGCATCAATCACTTATATTTATAAGTGATTTACAAAATAATGTAAATAAATCTCTCACTTACTTGACTTTACACTGTAGATATCATCTATGTTAATCATTTCTCACAAGCTACTGGTTAAATGAAAATATATGCAAATATTTTGAAATAAAGTTATTTATATAACTCAGACTATATGTTACAAAGTTACTTTGAAAGTCTTCTTAATCCCATTTTGTAAGATCCAGAGTTTTGTTGTAACAACTTTCTATCATAGTACAGAAAATATTTCTTTTAAATCTTGTCTGGAAGCACAATAATTATTACTACAGTTTTTCCTTTTGTGTTTTTTAAAACAGTTTATAAGGTTTTTACATTATGACATTTTATAACAACTCTGTGAGGTAGGAAATATTTTTTATCATCTCCATTTTACTGATAAGTAAAAAAACAATGATTTTTTTTCCCCCATGACTTTCTGAGCTCCCAAATCTCGTAAGTGATAGAAACCAGTTTCTCATCTACTATCCGTGGCTCCAGATTCTGTGATTTTTCCACTGCTGCAGAAACTATGTGGGCTACCTCACTGTCAAACAGAAAGGAATGATGGGCCGAGAAAATCAGTGACTTGCCCAAGGCCGCAGAGCTGGCCGGCAGCACAGTCAGTGGTCGTCACTGCCTCCGCAGTCGGTGGTCACTGCCCACGCAGTCAGCCGTAGACTGCCCTCCTGCCTCCGGTTCAGGATCTGATCATTTTGTCACATTTTCTCCTCTTAGTTCTAAACATCGGTGTGGACATTTCTAAGTTTTGTCATGCAATTGAGAATCCATTTTCATATTAATAGTGATGTAGTCCCACGTGAGACTCATTGTATGCCTAAAACAAACCCAGGAAGGAACGTGCTGAGTCCCAAATCTACCCTGAGGGGGCAAACCATTGTAAGAAGGCTTAGTGATTTGTCCTATGAAAAGTGGAGAATTCAAGGCGCCCAGCGACTGGCGGATGTCTTCTACATGTGCATGTTACATAATGGTAATAGAGTACCCATGTGCTAGGCACAAGGCCAAACATAATAAATAGCTATTTAACTACTGTTTTAAAAACCCTATTAGGTTAAGTATCTGCAGCTCCAAAATTTAAAGTAATGATTTCTACTTTTTAAATCTTTGCTTTAAAAATTCCTGTATTGTACTTGATTTCAAGAACAGTCTGCTGGCTGAGTTCTGCTGGATTATTCTCCCTTCCACTTAGTCAGTTGTGTTTGAGAGCAGATAAACAAAATGACAATGGCAAAATCATACCTGTATTATGCATGTATGCATGGATACATACACATACACATATACACACATACATACCATTTTGTTATTTTTGTCATTTTGTTTCTGAATTTCAGAGCTCATTGAATGTCAATCAACATCTTTAAAATGACTGTGTATCCATAGATGCGTACATGCATGCATCTTGTCTATGTGCATGTTTATATCTGTGTATACACACACTGTCGTTTTAAAGACATTGACATTTAATGCCTGTCACAAAATATGTTCTGTGTGAACACTAAGTGACAGCTTTCCAGGCAAAGAAGCCAAATAAAAGAAATAGAAGAAGTAAATGGTTTTGTATTCATGTTCCCAAGCATTTTAATTATTTTAGAGTTTGTAAGAGCTGTGAGCTGTCCAGAATGCATTTTCAATAAGCTGTTGGTATGAGTTTTACAACCTCTATCTCACAAAGCAACTTTTTTCAGGAACAAATGCATGTAAAAGTCATTCTGTTTGAACTGAACTTCAGTTCAAAGCTCTAGCCTGAAGAATCAGAAACATTTGCGGCGTGATGGAGTATGTGAGGGCAAGTTCTATGATGGTACAGAATGTTATTTGGGGAGTAATCTGCATACAAAATTAGGGTTCTATATGTAATATTTACCTTGTCTACAAAAAAGAAAAAACAGCTCCCTGGGGTCACAGGAATGGACCAGCAGTTTACTTTATGCCTCTGTCCCAAATGACTGCTCCATTTGATATATTCAATTATGTTAAGAGCCGATCATGGCATTTTTTGTAGTTTTCGTCATCACGTGACCTAATTTGCATGGCAGGAACCATCTAGCACTTTCAGATTCTGGAAGCATTTTAAGGAAAGTCGCCAGGGCTGCAGGGTACGTTAAGCTCCCGAGGCCTGCGGAGCCGGCCGGCCCGGAGGCCCGGGCTCAGCGCACGCACCCCGCGGCCGGCACCGCGCTCCCCGCCCCGCGCCGCAGCGCAGTCCACATCCTGCCTCCCGCCGCCCCGGGCGCAGCCCTGTGATTTCATTGGCCAGCCCCGAAGGAAGATGAGCGCCTGTTCGGTTTCCTTTTGATGCTGCTCTGACACATGGTTGGGGGGCGGTGGGGGGAATGTTTCCTCAGGAGCTGGCTCGGAAAATAAAGGGCTACCAGGAGCAGATCGCCTCCCTCAACTCCAAGTGCAAGATGCTGACGATGAAGGCCAGGCACGCCACCATGCTGCTGACGGTGACCGAGGTGGAGGGGCTGGCGGAGGCGCCGGAGGACCTGCGCGGGGAGCTCCTCCCCGCGACCTCGGCCCACCCCTCCGTGGTCATGGTAAGGAAGGGGCCAGGCTGGCTGGGATGGGCGCCGCCCCGCTCTCCACCGACTGTCCCCCTGGCTGGTGGCCCCAGGTTCCCTGTCCGGGGCTGATTTTAGGGATCAGCGCCCGGGCTTGCAGATTAGAACTCAGGAAGTGTCAAGTCTCTGCCTACATCTGGGCCAAGGCCAGCCTTTGACACTGTAAACAGTGACAGCTGAAATGAAGCTATTTGCTTGAGACTGCTGAATTGCTTAACATGCCGAAGGTCGGCGCAGCATTTGTTTATAATTTAGCAATACTACTGAGAGGCTCTGAGCTGCAAAAACATTTCCCTGCATAGCTCTCTAGTTATCTGAGCCCTGGGAGAATCATGCTGTATATATTTTATGTGTGTTTTCCATACTAAAACATTGGCTGACTAGATAGGCTTATGTATTCTGTTGTATATGTTTAATAAAATATAGAAGAAAAGCTATTATGAGAAAAATAAGAAAACAGACAATCCCAAATTTAGCCTTGGATTAAAATAAATTCCATTAATTGCTATTCTGCAACATTACTTCCCCAACACTTTGTATCTAAAATGCACGAACTGTTTTGCTAACCACAATGATTTCCAGAGCTCTTTCCACACACGTGTGCTGTGCCTCACATAGTCTGTAACCATACCTGGAATCTTGTCAATATGTTACTTTGTGTGCATTTATCTCTCTAGAATATTTTAAATTTGACATGTCAACGAAAGATAAAACTTTATTTCACAGACCACTTCCCTCATTTGCATGATTTTTCTACTTATTTATAAAGACCCAATCAGGAAGAGGAAAATAAATATTTAATCAGCAGCAAAACTCTTAAATGTGGTAAGCACTCCCCTGCCCTGTTTGTTTTACAGATGATTCCTTAAGTCATAGTCATTTGAGAGCAAAACAGAAATACTTACACTGAATTTGTATGTAAATTTGGGTTTCAGTAATTCTAACCTTTGTTATGTAATTATCTCTGTTTTGACCTGTGCCTTACCAGGTGTTTGTTAATATAGCTAACTGATTTTCATGTCCTTTGGGGTGCATTTTATGTGATAGATGACTGCCGGTCGCTGTCACACTTTGCTGTCACCTGTCACTGAGGAATCTGGGGAGGAGGGAACCAACAGTGAGATTTCCTCTCCACCTGCCTGTCGCTCCCCTTCACCTGTGGCCAATACAGATGCTTCTGTCAACCAGGTACCATCCATTTAGCATTCCTCTAGCCCTGATCTCTGGACGAGTGCAGGACTCCATTCCCTGTTCTCATTAGACACTGGGTTTGCATCTTAGGCCTTGAGAGACACACCGTTAGGTATAATAATTGCACAAACTCTGATTGTCACCTGAGACCACTGCTGCCTCAGCTCTGCTCCCGGGCTGCTGGCAATAAGATGAGCAAAAATTAGGCCATGGAAATTATAGCTGGAGAAGCCATAAAGCATTAAAGCATTATGTCTTTAGTTTCTAACATCTATCTGTAGTGGAGTACTGCATCCTAACAGAAAATGAAATGTTTGTGTCACAATACCATGATTTTTTGCTATTATAACATTCATTCAACATAGTTTTGACACTTAGCAGCTTAGATTTTGAAGATGGAAAATTTCTGTTCACCATATTATATATACTTGCTCTTTATTTACTAGTTGTCAACCAATTTAAGGGGTGTCTGCCAGTACACATACCGGAATGCCTAAGTAGACTAAAGTTTTCTTACTTACCTTTCAATAATCTTAAATTTAATTTCCTATAAAATGAGGATGATATGTTGTTGTTATAAGGTGCTTGTTAGTGTACATTATATTAAATACAGGTTATACTAAATTAAGTGTCAAAAAGTTTTCATGAAAACTATTGAGGAGATATCAAAAGATGCTTTTACAATAGCCAAAGAAATTTCAATGCATGTTAAGTAATACTTTCTTTTTTTTCCCTTTAGCCAAAATAACTAAATTTTTAATTACATTACTATGAAATTGCATAAGAGCTCAAAGAAGTTGGGATTTATTTTCAAGGAAGAAGCGTTAAACAGCAAATATTCTTTAAGCATATTACAAATCAGTCATTTTATTTTCATTTTGAAGCAGGAACATTCAAAATAGTGTTTCTGTGATGAAGAGAACCCTCCTGCCCCCACCGATAAGGGAAAATGAGATTGATGAAACCCTAAGATAAAACAATTTCCTTGGAAAAAGTCTGAATAGCTCTAGGAAAGTTATCAATTCAGCCATTCAACAGATGTATTCTGAACACCTCCTTGGCATGAAATCTTGTGCTGGGTCCCTGATGTGTAGCAAAGAAGAAGAAAGCAGTGGCCTTGGCCTTCAAAACCTTATAATCTAGACAGAAAGGTGGATGTGGGATGAATAATAACAAAAGTGATGAGAAGGAATTAAAAAACATAAAAGGAGAAGTTCAGGGTGCTGTCTCTAAGGGATTGAGGAAACTCCTCTCCAAATTCTGATTTTAAGTGAAGTATTACTCATTCTTTGATGATGTCTCCTTCCTTGTGGTCACAGATGTTATTAGAATCAGAAATATGGCTATAGTCAGCTGTTTATTGTATAGGAAAAACATTTATCCTGTATAGTACACTTAATATTCTTAAATTTTTCAATTTGATCAATAAACACTGACTAATACTATGGGAAGAATATCCCTTTCCTAAAGTCATGTCTCTATGCCACTTCGTGTCTTTCTGTGTACATGTCAAAAGTGCCCTTAAATGATAAAATATGCAAATGTTTTTAACATAACTTTAAGTGACACAATCAAATCCTATAATTACGATTCTTTTCCTAGTTTTAAGTCCCATTTTGACATGCCTCCTTCCATCATAAGAAAACTTCATTTACATCCCATTGTTAAAGTGCTTAAATGTGTTTCAGCAAATTAGGGGAAAAAAATGTCTTTAGTTGCTGTCAGACAGCTTTACCAAGAGGAAGCCATTAAAAAGCAAATGTATTTTTTTGCTCTGTGTGGCTCAAACGAATCAACCCCATCATTGTGTCTGCATGTTATTCTTATACAGTAATGAAAGGAAATGGACAAATAGTACAGCATGGCCAGTGAGGTGTTAGATTCACAAAATGTTTTCTTGGAACTAAGGAACATTTAGAATCCCCGTAAGTTCCAGTTTTCAGACACAAAAGGCTGTACAGAATGTGCACAACTGTTTCAAGGAGCAGCCAAATATAACTGCTTTATACAATAACTGTTAAAAAAAAGATTTTGTGCTTGCTGCTTTGTAAGTAGATCTCTATTATGTAACTAACTGATCCCCCACAGTCAATGTGTTCTGTCTCTGACAGTAGCTATTAGCTGAAATGCGATAGCAATTTAGCTTTCTTGTGGGTGGAAATAAGGCAACCCCAGAATTTGCTGTAGGGATCTTGATCCAGTTAGAAGTGAGGGAAGACTTGGACTGCATGTAAGAGCTGAGAGATGCAGAGGTTTGAAAAGCGTGATAGTGTAATGGCGAGAACACTGAGCTCCAGGCAAAAAGCTCAGGATGCATCCCAGCTCTTCCTCTAAGGTGGAAACTCCCTCAGTGACCATTTACTTGTAAAAATTAAATATTACATTAATTGCAGAAGTACTCTTTATGCTGGAAAATACTAATGAAGTAATAGCCATGGTTTTCCAAATGTATTTCCTTAGGAATCCACTGGATATAGGTCAGGCACAGAACTTAGGCACATAAGCAATGAGATACATATTTCTGGGGTGATCCTCACAATACCACATAGTGCCTTTATTTAGTAGTTATAGGATTGATGGTTTTATTTCACTGAATCTAGTCCTCATATAGATCCAAATTGTCCATCTCCAAAAGGTGATGTATTTTCAAATGCTTTTTAGGAACCATCAGGTGTCATTTCTGTTTAAAAGGCAGGAAGTTGGACCAGTGCTGTGGCAAGGGGATGGGTCAGTAGGACTCATCCTTATAAAAGCAGTGGGTGACAGGGAGAGAAGAAAGAGAGAGTAAATCCCAAGCTTATAGCTTCAGTGAATGAAAATTCCATTTATTGAAAAATGGATAACACTTATCTTTTTTTTCCTAAATTCATTTATCCTGGATGTTCTTTTGGGAACTGTTCAGTTGGAAGAGCCTGTGGGATATCCATGTAAAATGAATACATGGGTCTGGAGATTACAAATGCATCAATGTTTAAGACCAAGTGGAAGAAACGAACTAAAAAAAGAAAGATTGACTGACTAGAGAGCTGGGAGAACAGGCAGATTAAATAAGTGTTTCCAAGAAGGGGTGGCCAGTGGTATTGAACGCTACCAAGAGGCAAGCAAAAGAAGAGCTGAATCATTTTATTTCACAGAAAAGAGTCATTAGGAGCAAAGCCCAGTTGGGCATTTAGGAATAGGTTGAGGCTGAGGAAGTGAGCAATATCAGTGGTGAACTACCACGTTCAGAAGTTGGATTATAAAGTGAAAGAGAAACATGGAAGAAATGATGATTTTGACTGCATTCAGGTGTGATTATCCATCACATCGTGATTTGTGGACTTATCTAATATGTGAGAGCCTGCAAGAAAAGATACAAAAAAGGAAGAGTGTGTGTAGATGTTCTCAGAATGAAAACACTTGAGTCTATTTATATGCTGAGGAGAAAGTCAGTACAGAAGGAGAGGGAGAGGGAGAGGATATTCATGGGTCAAAGTCCTAAAAAAAGCAAAGACAGGTGGGACTTGGGGAGAGGTGGGAGGGCTATCCTTCATCAAGGCAAATGGCAAGCATAAGATAAAAGTGAGTCTAAATATAGACAGACTTGGAAATTTGAGATTGCAGGAGTATCTCCTCAATTTTCAATTTGTGCATGTGTGTATATGCACACACATGTGCACAAGTGTGCACTCCAGAAAGTACCGTTGGATTGAGACCTTGTTGGGGTTTTCCAAGTGAGTGAAACAGGTTAAAAGTGCAAAAGAAACAAAAGAATTGGTAAGAGGAGGGCTTCAAGTAGCTTTAGACACAGCTGGAAGTACGCTTGGGTGAACCAGTTCGGTGATGGCAAGCTGTCTTTTAGGTGGACAGGATTGGGGTGGCAGTGGGTGAGGATGTGTGGATGTGAGCAGATTAAGGGCTTGGGGACACCGGAGTCATCTGCTCAGCATGGTGACCGGGTTAGGAATGAAGCAGAACCACTCTCCATGTTCTCCATGTTCCGACATCATCAGTAAATGTTGGGACTTATCTGGAAGCTTCAGCAGCAACAACAGTAAAATAGGTAGAAGGTCTTATGGTCAGTCAAAGATGACTTCATATAATCCTCAGAAGCACCCAGTGTTGTAGCTCAGAGAACCAGTGCATGCAACATGAGTGACTTGCTTCAAGTCTAGCTGCTCAGGAGAATTTTCAACTGGGATCTCAGGTGTCAGACTCCTGTCTGATCTCATTCTCCTACACAAGCCTGGATCTGCCCTCCTGGGCTCCCAAACATCAGGCCCCTTCCTGCTGCCACCTGCGTCTCTCAGATGACTGGGGTCTTCTTCAGTACTTTGTACCAAGACAGTGTTATTAATAAGGCTCAGGTATTTTAACTGAACATTATCTTCGACATAACAACTGCAAAAGTCATGAATGTTATAAAAGCAGTTCCCAGAATATAAACATTACTCCTCAATTCAATTTCTATTAATATACAGATAAATATCCACAGAAACAATTGAAAATACATGGGTTGTATGTCTTGATATTGATATAGTAGATTCCATTATCAATACTAACATAATTTGCAGTGATACCTATAACCCAAGAAAGTCTTAAAAAATTTCAGAAGCCTACTTTTTCATCATTTACTTTCATCATTTCTTGTGTACTTCTAGGAATTGATTAGAAGGGAACCTTTTTATTATTTGTTTCTTAGAGTTATTTTAACTTCCCCATTGCATTTTCCCTTATTTAATATTAAAATATTTAGATAAATTTCTGTGACTAAGGAACTCAAATATATTAAAGATCTGGCTGTATGGTAAAATGAGTTTGTATAAATTTAATTCAATTTAAATCAAGTACTTTTAAAAATTATTCAGAACTTTATCCATTGAACAACACTTTAGGAAATAGATCATTTAGATTCTCTCTTTTCTTTTTTGCTATAATAGTTCATCAGTCTTTAAATATGTGTATTACTTAAATCCTTTGTATTTCCACTTTACCAATTGTAAAATAAGAATGAGTTTTGGCAACTTGAAAAACTAGTAAATTTGTTCTTTTCTGTTAATATATAAACCAAAATACTAAAGCAGACTTTATTATGCTGTATTATGCTTTGGTACGGGTTTTTCTTCTTGTCACAGGAATTTGCTAAGTTCATTAGTTTGTAGTCCCCTAGGACAGGTATGAATCACAAGCTTTTTCTGCACAGGACAAATAGTAGCCAGAGCCTGTTGACCAACACTTTGTCTTCCTCTTGAATCTAACCTTCTTCTTTGCACCCACAGGACATTGCTTATTACCAAGCCTTGTCTGCTGAGAGGTTGCAGACGGATGCTGCAAGAATTCAGCCGAGCACGTTGCCATGCCAAGAGTTCTATGAACCAGGACTGGAGCCATCTGCCACTGCCAAACTAGATGATTTGCAGCGTTCTTGGGAAACCTTAAAGAATGTGGTAGGTCTTTGCAACGTGGAATTGTTTAAGCCCACCAGACACTGATTACCTTAGTGATTGTCTTATGAAATACATGCATAGAGTTACACATCCCATGCCCAGCTGAATACCCTCTGTTGGGCCACAGAGGTAAAGCAGTGAGGAAAGCATGTCATAATCTGTAAGATAAGGAGCTAGGAAACATTTGGTAATGTCCTTTTCTTCTTTAGATCAGTGAGAAGCAGCGCACACTCTACGAAGCTTTGGAACGCCAGCAGAAGTACCAGGACTCCCTCCAGGCCATCTCCACAAAAATGGAGGCCATCGAGGTGAAGCTCAGTGAGAGTCTAGAGCACGGCAGGAGTCCAGAAAGCCAGATGGCTGAGCATCAGGTAAAAATAGCGATGACTTCAGTTTCCTGCATGATTAAATAGGTGGACCTTGTGACCGGTCAGCCAGCCAAGCGTGGGTTTGGGAGAGTGGACTGACAATTTTTTTTTAACTGTGAAAGTTCTTACAGAGTAAACAAGATTCCAAATAGTAGTGTTTCCACCACTGTTTCAGGGAGGGACCTCAGAGGGAAAGAAGGAAATTCTGACCTGGAATCTAATTAAGGAAAGCTACCTGCACTGTATTGCTTTTTAACTTTTATTATACAAAGTGTATTTCCTGACAGTTGCTGCATTATTGTTATTTTGTTGGGAACTGTTGTTAGAGTAAAATGTACCCCACATGTACCTCTGGGCAATGTTTTAAGAAGTTCAGCTGGTGTATGTCCGGCACCTCCCCGTTATCACTTAAGAGAGTAACCCTCAGACTTAAGTGGGCAAAGAAGCAGTTGAAGAATAAAGGCTTCAAAGTCATAATCTTTTGTTGTCCCTGACTTGAATAACTTTTTTAAAAAATTAAACTAGGCAAAGTTTCAGCTTTACATGAGAAACAGAAATGATTACATTAACATATCTCAGAAATATGTTAAAAATGCATCCACTGAAAATGCATGCTAAGAAAGTGCATGTATTAAAATCTGGTTGATGCTTTAGCATTATTATCAGGTGTATTATTAATGCATAAGCAGGTATAACTGGGATTCCAGGGTACTGAGGCATGCATTTACCTGAGCAGTCAGTCACCATGATTTGGGGAAATGCAACTTGCCCCCGGTCAGAACTCAGGAGCACGTGACAACCCTGTAAGAGGCAAAGGACAGGAAAGACATTTTTAGATGCAAATTAAGAGCTATAAAAGCATGATGTGATAATGTGTATCTATCAAGTACTGAGAAATTTATCAGTTTTAAAAGTGAAACTTGGGACTTTATCTTTGCACTACTTTACAAATCTTTATAGTTTTGGAACCCTGGATAACATTGGAATACATTGCTTCATCACATGTGTAGTCTGAGATAAAATTGCATTTTTTTACAATTAGGACCTTGCAGTGTAACACAAAAATGAGAGCATTTCATCTAGAGACAACATATTGAGAAATAGTGGTTTCAGGTTTTGACACTCTTGTAACTTCTTAAGATAGAGATCAAAGTGCTAGCATCCATTTTTAGGCCTTATTTTGGTAAAACTACCTTCTGTGGGTCTTCCTGCTATCCCAGAGACACCCGTAGTTGGTGAGTTTAGGGAGGGTAATGTAAAAATATAAAATTAAAGTTAACCTTTGTTTACGTGGACCAAATGAACCATGAGCACAGTCAAGGCCTTTGGGGCCTATTGCCATGCAGGTTTCCTCTGAGTACCACAGTCCTTTGTAACGGATGCTCCAGTTTTCAGGTGTCAGTGGCCACCTCAATGTCACCTGAGAAGGCTTCTGTGTAGCCCAGGACGCTTCCAGGGGCTCTGTCTGCCCTGCTGCTCCTCTACCCCCGCCTGTGCCTCACTGCAACCTGAAGGGGCAGGAGATGACAACTCCATTTGATGACAGTTCCCTTTAAGCATCCAAAAGGAATTGGCGTAAATTTCCTGAAGGCCGGATTAGAGTGAACTTGAATGTCCCGTGCTCAGGTTACCAGGGACCAGTGTTCCAGGAGAACAGAGACTGGCTCTCTCTTTACTTGTGGGCCACCTCCACCTTTGTTCAAGGATCGTGGTCCTCGTGTCCCAGGTGACTGACCACAGCTCCCAAAGATGCTTCACTGGGTCCCACAGAATTTGGGAACTGCGTGAAGACAGGATCCTGGTGGTCTGCCTGGACATTCCAGAGTTTCTCATTGAAAATGCAGACCACCTCCCATCACTACCACCCCCCTGCCTCTCGGGCATTAGTATGACAGTAACATCAAATGTAGAGCAACATTATCATTCTGTTCAAGGGATTCAATGGAGAAAACTCAAAATTCACATTATTGCTGAGTATTATGAATTAGAAATGAACCTGTGACTTTTCTTGCAATTAAAGCCAACCACATGGCCTTTTGTCCCTTTCTTGGTCGGACAAGGTAATGCTGACAATTATAACAGTGAGGAGACGTAGGTAATTTGATGATGATTACTCACCATTGGAGCTTAACAATTATATTAATGCTCTAATGAGAGGGAAGGAAAGTATAAATAATGTATAATTTCTCATATCATTACAAATCTAATGTTTTCCATCTGGCCTACTTTTGCTGTCTGAACCTAAGTTCTACATATTCTGGGACAGAGCCACCCACATGAAAGCTTATGGTATCACAGTGTCTAAATTAGTTCTTAGGTTCTGGAATGGTACTTAAAAAAATTCCAGGCACTTTTGTAGAATTACTGTTTCTGAATTCCAGCTGAATGTGAGTGGGGAAGTCCAGCATGCTTTCATATTTCCTAAAAACTAATAAGAGTACTTCAATTATTGTTTCTTTCCCAAAGCTCTCTTGGAAATACTACTGTTTCCTGAAAGAGCTAACCTAATTCCTACATTTTTCCTCTGAGTCTACTAATTTAGGTGGATTGAATCATTGAATGACCTACATGACAGGAGTGCTGTTCCTTTCCTGCTACCTTCTCTAAATTGTATGTAATTTTAAAACATTAATGCCATTCATAAGCTGACTTGTGGCTGTCCTTTGTACTAAGCCCTCTGTGATGGGGAATTTGTTATCATAATCAGCTAATGCTCTGTGAGCATGTGGTGTCTTTGCCATACTAAGCCAAGTGATACAGGATAGTGGGCAGAACTCTGAGGTTTTTCTTTTTAGTATGTACAGCAATTCAAAGTTTGAAAGGAACAAAGCCAATGTAGATATCTCTGAAAGTCACAGTGAGATTCAGTTTCCCTTTGGTGTTGAGCCAAACATGAACTCCATGTTCTCCTGAGAATGAGCCATTTTAGAAAACCTTCAGGTCCCTCTCTAAACCACATAAGTGTCATGCACATGCCCTCCTTGTATACACACAAGTCAGAAACCCAAAGGCATGCATTTCATTTCCATCTCCTTATTTTTGAATCACATGTTGTGGAGAAGCAGTTGGCTACCAGCTGAGACCGAGTCATAGGGGTGCAGACATACTGGACTACTGGATATTTTTGGTTGTTTTAGTTGAAGTGAAATTCATGCCACATAATATTAACCATTCAAAAGGACACAATTCAGTGGCATTTAGTACTTTCACAATGTCATTCAACCACCTACTCTATCTGGTTTCGAAACATTTCATTACCCCAAAAGAAAACCCCACCCCCAATAAGCATGGCTCCTGAATCGTGAAGTTAAGAACTATGGAGGAGGCTTTCTTTTTTCTTTTTGCCTGGTTACTTCATGATTCTGATACCTGTTTATCTATCATGAATTAGAATTAGTTCAACTAGATGTGTTGAGCACCTACTATGTGCACAGCTGGAAAAGACAAGTTTTCTCATTAACATATGACTGAAAAGCCTGTTTTAGGGATGGGGTGACCAACACCTTGTAAAGAAAAGTGGGGGCAATGTGATTGTGGGTTCAGTAGTGGGAAGTAGATAAAAGCAGACTCTACCAGATCTTTTGGGAGAAACAGATTTTGAAATATTGGAGTGCCAATAGGAGTGGGTAGCAAGCACTATAAATATAAAAATGTGTGAGGAAAGGCACAGAGGAGAGAGTGAGATCAAACATGGTGTGAAATAGTGAGGGGGCTCTTGCTTGTACAGAGGATCAGTACACAAAAAGACACAATGAGGTCAGTCTAGTTATGGAGAAGCCTTTAAAACGGCCCAAAAATATGAGTATTATGCTTTGGGCAATGCAGTGCCAAAAAAGGATTAAAAGTAGTAGAAAAGAATTTAGAACAAGAAACATTTTCATATATAACAAACAAGATAAGTCTGTAAATCCATTACAGTCCTATTAAAATATTCCAGCAAGTTCTTTGGTGGCAATTGACAAGTTAATTCTGAAATGTATTGCCAATGTATGAAAAAATATGTATCAAAAATGGAAAGGGCCACGAATAGCCAAGACAAGCATGAGAAAGAATAAAAGTGAAGGATGTATCCTACCAGAGAGTGAGCATCATAAAGCTGTAGTAACAATGATAGTGTGGTATTGGCACAATCAGGCAAATGGCTCAGTGGAACAGAATTAGAAGCCAGACGCACACAGATGCTTGACATAAGTCAAAAATTATACTGCAAAGCAATAGATTAAAAAATCATTTTGTCAATAAATAATGTAGGGTCAATTGGGTATCCATATTTTTTAAAAAAAGGTAATTTTGACCCCTACCTACACTGTACACAAAGGTTATTTAGGTGGATTATAGATCTCAATGTGAAGGTAAAGAAAGGAAAAGGTTTTAAAATAGTGCTTCTCAATTATTTTTAATGAATAAATTTTTAAAAATATAATTAACCCATCACAGACCAATATTTTAGTAAAATAAAAAAAAATACTGCTTGGGTATCATGCCAACGTCAAGTTGCTATCAAAGTTCCTTAATTACCCACAATATCTTTATCTGGTCATGACCAATGACACATGTTTTGTAGACTGATGGCATTTCATGAACCACACTTTGAATGGCATTCTTTTAGAAGCCAACCTTGGGACAGGAAAAGATCTCTTTCATAGGACAGCAAAAGTTCTAACTTCTCCAATGAAGGAAAATACCAATATAATAGACCACAATAAAATTAAGAACTTATGTTTATCAAAAGCCACCAAAAAGGCAGTCACTTGCCATTAGGGGACAACCACATCACAAAATGAGAGCAGATATTTGCAGTAACAGAACCTAAAGAGGCACGGGCATGCCTATCCAGAATATATAAACAACTCTGTATGTCAATAAGAAAAGAAAGATCAATAAAAAATGCACAAAAATTTTTAGCAGGCAGCCCCAAAAGAGGACATCCAAACAGCCAAGCATAGGGAACAGTGCCCGATCTCATTAGCCATCAGGGAAATGCAAGTTAAAACTACAGTAAGATACTACTATAAACCCACTAGAAAGGCTGACACAGGAAAGATCCACAAACCATGTGGCAGGGGGAATAATCACCTCTTCCTACATCAGTAACATGAGTGACTTTCACAATCATGACGGGGAGTGAAAGAAGCCAGATACAAAACAGAGCATCATCTATGATTCTGTGTACGGAGAGCTCAGAAACAGGCAAAAGTCATCTATGACGTCTGTAAGTCAGCACCATGGTGATCTGTGCAAAGGAGGGAGGTAGTAACAGGGAGGCTGTCGAGGGGGCTTGTAGAGTCCTAGGAATGTTCTGTTTCTTGATCGGGTGCCAGGAGCACCAGTATGTGCAGTTTGTGAAAATTCATGGAGCTGTACGCTTAGATCTGTGCAATTTTTCTAGGTGTACATAATTTCAATGTAATGGTTTACTTAAAAAAATCAATTGGACATGATGACATTGAGAGAAGGGGTTTTCTTTGTTTTGTTTTTTAGTATTTTCTGAGAGCCCACTCTGAGGGGGCAGTGTGCTTACAGTGAAGCCTACAGTCCTGTGCAAGAGGTGGGAATTAGGCAAATAGGGGCCCATTGAAAAGTAGGAAATAGTGGCAAATATAAAGCCTGTGCTTCTTCAGTTGAAGGCAGGGTTGCCTCTCCTGGGGTAGGGCCTGGTTTTCACCATACCATTCAAATCTTAATAAGAATTTCTCTTGTCGAGATTCCAGCTAAAGAGCAAGTCATAAAATACACAAAATGAGAAGTAAAACCCATGTCTAATTGTGATAGGCGTTAATCAGGAGCGCAGCGTGCTGTTTGCCAGAAAGAGCCGGGGGTCCTGGAGTAGTGAAGGCAGAAGTGTCTGAGTGAGAAAGGAGTGTGGTACAGAGCCTGGCAGGGGTGAGAACACACAGCTGTGGTGAGGAGTCTAGATTTTATTTTGCAGGCAATAAGCTAGGTATTTTAAGGCAGGGTGTCCTGGAGTAGTGAAGGCAGAAGTGTCTGAGTGAGAAAGGAGTGTGGTACAGAGCCTGGCAGGGGTGAGAACACACAGCTGTGGTGAGGAGTCTAGATTTTATTTTGCAGGCAATAAGCTAGGTATTTTAAGGCAGGGGAGTGAAAAGATCTGATTTACCTTCTTAAAGTCTCACTGATTACTCCCGGAAGAGTGGGCTGGCGAGACAAGAGCATAGCAGGTAGGTCATCCAGTCCCAGGTTAGAGCAGCTCAGATAAGGGAGAGCTGGCTTTGACTTAGGGTGGGGCAGAGGGGATACATAAGATAGAGTTTGGAGGTAGAATCCATTGGCCAGTGAGAGAGAGAAAATGTGAAAAATGACTCCTAGGCCTTGAGCTTCAGCAGTGAGAAGGGTGGTACCTTTCACTGAGATGAGGAAACAGGCTTTATATATAATAAGATGAAGACGCCTATGAAATATGTTAATGTAAAGTCTGACATTGAGTTCAGATGTCTGGGTTAGGAATATATCTTTGTAAGTGTTCAGCATTAGAAAGTGTTGAAAGCCTTGGGAATGGACCCCTGGAGGAGACTGTGAAGGGATAAAAGGGGGCCTGGAAATTAGCCCTGAGAAGCTTCAAATTTTAGACTTGGTAAGAGGAGAGAATAAGGAGAGGGTGATGGTATAGAAACAGATGTCTCCTGTCTTGTGTAACATGAGTTTTGATTTAAAATGCAGTGCTGTTTCAGACTTAGGAAAACGTGGAGTGGGAAAACCATGTTAAGGAAGAAAGTGATTAATTTTATTTTCCACATAGGAATGTCAGCTCAGACATAGTTGAGCACCCCCCCTCTTGGATTATGGGTGAGCCTGTTGAAAACCAGAAAGATTAGTTAACCTGTTCAAATTCATTTAAGTTAGTGACACAAATGGTTTTAAGATCAGAAATCTCTTGACATTCAGTCTGGTACTTTCATTTTGAAATTTAGGTTAGCAGGCCCCGTTTGCTGTTGAAGTAACTCATACCTGAAATACCGCCACATTCAATCAATGGAGACTCAGCTATTTGGACAGTTCCTCAGTCCCCAAAAATACATACATGAGTGTGATTCCGCAGTCTCTCCTACAGGCCTTGATGGATGAGATTCTCATGCTTCAGGATGAAATCAGTGAGCTGCAGTCATCCCTCGCGGAGGAGCTGGTGTCTGAGTCTGCAGAGTCCGACCCCGCGGAGCAGCTGGCCCTGCAGTCCACACTCACTGTCTTGGCGGAGCGAATGTCCACCATCAAGATGAAAGCATCAGGGAAACGACAGCTTTTGGAGGTAACGAGTGACTTTGAAGGTGCCCCTCATGTCCAAATTAACCGCTGAAGTCATGTGGGCAAGTATGTGGATTATGTGATCTACATTTTTGTTTCCCATTCATAAGAAGCTAGTGTTGTGTCTCAAGGAGGGTCATGTGAACAGAGCGCTGGGTCAGTGTGTAGCCTTGAATGTGTCCTTTCACCCCTTTCTGACTCATTTCAGCATGAAAAATTGAAATGTAGAAAGTAAGTACTTGGTAGACATGAGCTTGTAAAGCGTAATTGTAGAAGGTTTGCATAATGGTTTGCTATGTTTAAGTAAGATCATTTCATGAACAGTCTTATTAATATGATGAAGAATAAGTCTTTACTCACTGTTAGCCAATTCAAGCACATTAATTCATGAAAATACTCTGTAATTCTGGTTCTCATGTTACTGAAGGTTAATATTATTTAACAGAGAGATCAATTTTGCTAACAATGACCTATGTGTTAAAAAAATTACTTTCCTTTTTCCTTGTTCTCTTATAATTCCTGGCCTAAGCATATATGATTCATACTGTTGCTCCTATAATTGGGCGAGACTGGAGACAGCAAAAGGACCTTTAGAGTGTCTGTCTCCTTGTATTCCAAGGGTCTCATAGCTTCTCTGGCACTTAATCAGTTCTCAATACATTTCTTATTATATGAACTTAATATTATTTCAGTTAACTGTTGATTGTACCATAATTCAATTAGTCATGGCCCTGTTGGGTGTGTTGAGCTCTTTCTAGTTTTATCTATTATAAGATCAGTCAAATCATATAATTACGTACTTCTTATTTTGGAGAAATTTAGAATTAACATGTCTGCTCTTAATGTCTATCTTAAACTGTTTAATTTAAAAATAACAATACTAAATTATTACTGAAATAATTTTTTAAATAAGGTATTTACAGTACTTATCTTAAAAATTAACATTTTATTTTATTAATATTATCCCCAGTCACTCTCTGAAGCCCTTGTGGAGTTTTAAAATGAGGTGATTGGCCTGGATTTCTTTACATAATGAATTATTTGCCATCATTGATAATATCCAAGGATCTGATCAAAAAATGTAAATTTCTACCTTCACTCAAAAAACCAGTAACACTGGACCACCCATCCCTGCAGGGGATGAATTGCCTGAAACTATATGGTGTTCCTTTTTCAAGTGGATCATGTAATCTTCAGTTTGCCACAGTCCTCACTATTCCCTACAGTTTCCCAGGCATTGAAATCAAGTATCTATTTCCATTTACCAATTGCTATGCCATTGTTTTGTTTTGTTCTAATCCTTGATCAGGTTCCATCATTCATATTATCTGCCTGGTCCTGTGGGTATATTATTTCAGAATGTGTATTATTTAAAGAACATTTATATCCTCTAGGTGTACATTAGAATCATTGAGAAGATTTTTTAAAATACTAATCTTTAGACTCACTTCCAGAAATTCTCATTTACTGCTCTGAGATGCAACCTAAGCTTAGGTATTTTTAAGTCACTCAGGTGATTCTGATGTGCAGCCAGAGTTGAGAATCATTGCTCTATTGTGTTGAATCCTAATGATTTTATCTTAGAATCATCTATGTACATTCTACTTAATTGATTAGGAGAAGTTAAATGATCAGCTGGAGGAACAGAGACATGAACAGGCCCTGCAGAGGTATCGCTGTGAAGTTGACGAGCTGGACCACTGGCTCTTGAGCACCAAGGCCACACTGGACATGGCACTGGGTACACCCAAGGAGCCCATGGACATGGAGGCCCAGCTGGTGGACTGCCAGGTATAAACATGCTCTTGAGGAATATGCCGACATCACAAAGCGCATTTTTTAACTACAGGAAACATAATGGTAAAAAGGCTTTGTATGGATATGTGATTTTTCACAGCCTATATACGTTCTATATTTAGAGAGTAGAAAAACAAAACCTGCTGCAAGCTTAAGTGGAATCCAGACTTGGACTCAATCTTTGGAGAATTTTACCTATAGTATCTACTCTTTGGAAAATCTTCAGCTTCTCAAAAAACATATTTTAAAGACTATGAATACTAACACATATCTATCTTTGGTGGCAATTTAGGAATACAAACCCAATGCAAAGAATTAGTATCAGGATTCAGACTGTAGATTAAAACTATGATGCTCTGTTGCAATTTTGGTTCTAATTCTGATATATTATTTGAAAAACTGTCTGTCGTAGGCAGACAGAGTAAATGTGAGAAGGTTGTCTATTGGAGCAGAGAGTTTCCTCCCTCTTTTGTGAATTCCTAGGAATTAATGTGAGGGGGTAACGGAATTAAGGTTTTTTATTATAATGTTATTTCCTTACCTCTTTATTATGGACAATTTTAAACACACATATAGAGAAAATATAATGAATTCCCATGTCCCAGTCACCGAATTTCAATGATTATTGACCTATTAAATACCACACATGAATGAAGTACATCTTAAAAGCTCTTCCATTTAACTAACCATTAAGTCTCTACAAAATCCTGCTGAGTCTGCAGAGTTAAATGTCAGGATGCCTGACTTCATATCTCTCCCATTTGCAATCAGAGGAAACATGCAAAAACAATTAATGAACACTCTTTTCTCTTAATAGGTAGTATGCCATTTTGGTCATTCCTTTTATGATTTAAGATTTATTATAATACTGATCATAATAATTTGAATTTTTTAATTCCTTGGGCAACTTATCTGTGTGTATTCAAAGCATTACTATTCTCTGCCTTCATGGAAGAGAATCGAGAGCCACCTACATGAGTGTTTTCTATTCTTTATATCATCTTTTCTAAAGTTTCTTTTCCGAAAGGAGACACCTGTTTTTAGCATTCCTTTCCAGCGCTTGAAATTACCACATGCATCAGCATTTCAAAATTATGTTTTATCATTACTCCCACCTTTCCTTTTGGATAACTCTATTTTTACAGTTACGAATAAAGGCCATAATTCGGATAATATATTTCAGGGCTTTTACAAAGTATTAAGGTAGTGTTCTGATAGTATTTTTAGGAACTTAGAAGCATATGGAATCACACAAGCACACAACGGTGTTTTGGTCAATTCCAGTCTAGTAGGTAAGCCAGTCATGTAATTATAATTGGCTGCTACACAGAATTAAGGCCATATTAGGATTTGGGGGCCCTGCCTGAGTACTTCCTCCATAAAAATACCAAAAATTTTAGTGTTTATATTATAAATGTTTTGGTGCAAGGACTTATGTATAATCCAGGGCAGATTCATTATTGTATACCCACTATTATTATATTCATTTTTTTCTTCTGATTTTTAAAGAAATTAAAATGAAGACCTTTTCTTGGGCCCCTAAACGCATTATAGTCCCTCAGCACTATGCCTCATAAAAAAGTCAGTCCTGCACAGAATTATATTAGTTTCTCAAAAATAATCCTCAGGAAATCATCCTTCAAGCCCCATTTCATTTTTTTTTCATCCCTCCATTTAGTTCCCATTTTTTGGTTCAAACCTGTATTCTTTAAAGTTGATGGCAGCCATTCTGATTTTTGCACAGGGATATAAAATATATCTTTTCTCCTCAATACATTTTTTGATTGAACATAAATTAGAAAGTATATTTCAGAGTTCAGAGTTAAGGAATATAAAAACATGATCTCTGTAGAAAATAAAATGGTTGTTATTTGTTTTGCTTGATCTTCTTTTTTGATTCTTGTTTTGGGTTTTGTTTTAAATCTTACCTTGGAAGACAGGAGGCTATTCTGCTTCTTCTCTAGATTTAACCTCCATTTTAGAGGAAAACCTTGTAGTACTAGAGAGAAAGTGAAAGTTAGACTCTTAGGAAAAACTTTAAGAGCTGTAAGGTTAAAAATAAGTCATATAAAAAACAAAAAAATAATAATAATCAAGAAATAAGAGCCACAATCTGTAAAAAGAAAAAAAAAAATTCAAGCCAAAGAAGCAGTGCTTTGAAAGAGAGAATTCTCTTTACATTGACAAGAAAAGGATTAACTGATGCATTTAGTATTAGCTAACACTAAAGTAATAAAATAACCATGACATTAGGATGATACTGAGACATGGTCTTTTCCGCTTATCTGTTGGCTGTATAAAATGTGCTTTCCATGTGTTTTTCCAATATGTTTTTCAGAAAATTAAGAAACTCAAGATTTGAAACTCTATATAGAACCCTTCAAGGCTGTAGGAAAAAACATGAAGACATGTTCCTCTGATGAAAGACTAAGGAAGTGTACGTCGCTGTGAGAAATGGTCTCTGCAGAGTCTGGCAGGGTGTGTGAATTTCATGATGGTTTCTGTTCTTCTAGAACATGCTGGTGGAAATAGAGCAGAAGGTGGTGGCCTTATCAGAGCTCTCAGTCCACAATGAAAACCTGATGCTGGAGGGCAAGGCTCATACGAAGGATGAGGCTGAGCAGCTGGCCGTGAAGCTAAGAACTCTCAAAGGGAGTCTCTTGGAGCTGCAGAGAGCATTGCATGACAGACAGCTCAACATCCAGGTGAGGCTCCCGCGACTGACAGCGAGGCAGTGCTGCAAACCGCTGACCGCTTGGTTTCCTGGCATGCATGCCCTTTCCACGCATGTGCCATATAAAGGAAAAGCTGGGGAATGATGCATAGTACATACAGACCTGCTGTTCACAAACTTTGGCATAGGTTTTCAAATAAGTTTTATAAGGACTAGCTGAATCCATAGACCAGATTACAGTGTAGGAGAAAAAAATGAAAATAATACCCAAATCTAGCAAATATATCATTTTAAGCAATATTTAAAATTAGGTCATAAAGATATCCGGTTACAATTTGACATTTGCCTTTGATGTCTCTTACATTCCATTTTTCAGATATACTCATATGTTTTTATTTAGGGCCCATAACTTTGGACGTCTCATATTTTCCATGTAATTTGAACATTTTTCGTATCACGGTGAGACCTTCATGTTCCCTAATAGTGATTTTTTTTTTATGGTACTAGAATTTTCCTGGTATAATATTTCCTGGCATATCCTTTAACTTTACTTTGATTTCACCCATTCCGTGTCCTTATGTTTTAGGTTTGCATCTTAGAAACAACATTTAGCTGTATTATGATGGCTTTGAACATTTATCTAATCATAAAATCTCTGACTTTTAAAGGGTGGGTTTAGTCCATTTATGTGCATTGTTATTTTACTGATATGTCTGGACTTCATCTTATTTTGGTTTTCTAATCTTGTCCTGCTCTTTCTATTCTTCTTTCTCCCTTTTAACCTCTCTTTTTAAGTGGTTGAATGCTTTCATTGTTTTTTTTTTCCAGTCTGTTTTTTTACCATGCATACCTAATAGCTTCTAAGTTTCTATCTAGTGCCCCTTCACGTCCTTAGAACACTTCCCTAAAACCTTAAAACACTTTCACTCAGATTTATCTTCATGCATCTTTCACACTGTTATTGCCCAGTAGTTTAATTTTGTTCTTCTTTAATCTCTACAAATTCAGGTATTACTATTATTAACCTGTATAAAAATGAAGTAAATATTTATTGAGAAGCTACTGTGTGCCAGCTACTATTCTATATGATAGAGTGAGGGAGCATGGAAAACAGCTATCTCATCTGTGTCTATATATCTGTATATATTCCTCTCTTCAAAAGATTATGGTTGGGGAGACAGATCATAAATAAAACTAAAATGCAGTATTATATACTCAGCAGTGCAGCTGGAGTGGAGTGAACAAGAGGAGAGTGGTGACAAATGAAGCCAAATAGGGAACAGGGAGCCCAGGGTGCAAAGGACCTTGTAGGCCTAGACCTTGGCTTTTACTCTGGGGGAAATGAGAAGCCTTGGGAGTGTTCAGGAAGAGGAGTGACAAGGTCAGATTTTAACCATTGTTGGGGACAAGGGTGGAGGCTGAGAGACCAGTTGGGAGGTCCAGCGTTAGAGGTAGAGCTGATGAGGACTTCTCAGATTTAGGATAATTGAGAAGATGGAAAGTAGCCAAGGAACAGATATGGGGAGGACAAAAAGCAGTTAGGTCAGTAATTTAATTTTGCACCGAGATGCCTATTAAATGCCAAGTTGCAGCTGAATTCATGGGAGAGACCTAGACTGGAGTAATCAGCCTCGAGATGGTCCTTAAAGGCATGGGCCTGGATGAGATGACAGGGGAGTGAGAAGAGATAAGACCAAGGCCCTAGAATCAAGGCAGAATACTGCATCAGTAAGAGTTTGGCAGATGTGGAAGACTTCACAAGAGAGAGTAAAAAGGAGAAACGGGTGGAGTAGGAAGAAGACTGAGGTTTGGTTCCTGGAAGCCTCTTATAGATCAGTGGGGGTAAGATGAGGGTTGAGCACCAGCCCCTGGACTTTGCAACATCTGCATGTTTTGCGACCTCAGCAACAGCTGTTTTCTGTGGAGTGGTGGAGGCCAAAAGCACTAGAGATGGAAGCAAGTGTGGGAGGAGAGGACTGCAGAGGGAGCAGGGGGACGGGATGAGTCTAAGGAGCACGTTAAGAGAAATTTGACTCATTTTAAGAGCAGAAGAATGACAACATGCTCACATGCAGATGGAGATAACCCAGCGGGAAATGGATGAGAAAGGAGTGAGATTTCAAGAACAATCTCCTGATGTAGCAGGGAGAGGCTATGATCAAAGGAGCAGCTGTGCTCTTGGAAGTACAGCGTCAGGAGGGAGGGAAACATCTGTGAGTACAGATACTGGCAGGGATAAGGTGCAAATATCGTGATGGAAACAATGGACATTACTGCAATTGCTTATTTTTTCAGACTAAGCTACATATTTTTAGTTCATTGCTAATTATATGGTGATATGATCTAGAACGTCAGACCTAATGGACAGAAAACTATTAGAAGCAATTGCTTAGTAAGATGACTGGCCTATGAAAAAGATAACATAGCAAATCCATAATTTTCCTATGTACAAAAACCAAGTATAATGTACAATAAATTTCCATCTATAATATCAATAAAATATGAGCTATGTGGAATCTCAACAAATAACATTTTAAAACCTAACACAAAAAACAGGTGAGAGAAAGAAAAGAGAAACTTTATTCTTTGATAGGAACACAGTATTTTAAAGATGCTAATTCTTCCTCTTCTGTCATTTTTTTCTCCACTAAATATAACTATATTTTTGGACTATGACAAAGTGATACAAAATACCAGGTTGGCCTGGAATTATCTGAATATTATCTGAATAAATCCAAAAATACCTATAAAATTCTGAAAATAAAGTTTATGAGGGGCTAGTTAGTCTTATCTTAAAATGCAATATTACAATAATTAGAATAGTTTGGTGTTGGCATATTAAGTGGATGAACAAAAAAATTAAACAGAATAAATGTTCCAGAAGGACTCCCCAGTGTTAAGGGAATTTGATAAACACATGGGGTGACATTTCAAAGCAGTGGATAAAATACAACTCACCATGTAAGTAATAAGATATGGAGTTAACATGTGAAAGAAATAAAATGACGAAGTTCTCTATGACCAAAAAATATTAACCATATTAAAAGATGTGGACAAATAGGGAAGAAACTGCAATTCCCATGATAAGGAGCTAATCCCTTAATGTCCACAAATCTTTGGTAAATCGGTAAGAAAAGGTCACGTAAGAGAAATACGGACAAGAGATATGGAGAGATAATCCAAAGGAAAAAGAAATGCAAACGGCCAATGAATATATGCAAAGGTATTTGAACTCGCTATTGGATAAATAATAGCACATAAATTCAAAATGCAACTTTTCACCTTAAATTGACATGCTTTAAAATGCACTCGCAATCTGCTTTACGAACTAAAGCAAAAATGAAACATGTTCAAAATATTGAAATTGAATAAAAACTAGAATGGCTTTCTAACTATAAAGATGTACAATAATTCAGGTAGGTTTATAAAAGGGTACTCTCAGTCAGATGCGTAATGCTTTTTATTTCCAGTGGTGGTGTGTCCATGAACTCACCCTCTCAAGAAAGCGAACCAAGGGAAAGACTTCCAGGTTTCATCTCTGGGATGGTTGGCATTCACAGAGCTCCAGTTGTGCCCTACCCCCGAGGGGAAGGGGCTGCCTGATACACAGGAAGCAGGTGTAGGGATTCCACGGGGCGCAAATCCCAAGGCCCCAGGGTCCAGGAACTGTGAGCGAGGGAAACAGGCCCCGTTAGGCCCTCAGTGGACTGATCTCGTGTCTGAGAAGCAGCTGTTACTCAGCACTAGTTCTCATCCTGCAGACATTGACAGGCAGTATCGCTAGATCCTCCACAGCAAGGAAATCTGGATTTAGATCTAAAATCTACCAATTTTAAAGCATCAACATTTAATTTTAAAACGTTAAAATAATTTATGAGCCAAACCAGACACATCCAAAAAGCCCTATTCGTGGTCCTCACTTTGGAGCTGCTGTGTCACTGTGTCACAGTCTCCCCATCCTGGTCCCACAAGTTATTAACTCTGTGACGTGGACTTGAACATCCCTCAGCCTTTCTTACAGATCAGTTTTCTCATCTGTAAAATAGGGAACATAGTAGTATTTAACTATTCAAAAATCCTGATGATTTAATGCAAGTGCATATAGTAAGTGCTCGAATTTCATTGATTGTAATGATGAATAGCAACAACCAATTGTTTGCAAGCCACCTTTTCTGGGAGGCAAGGGTCTTCTGACTTGCTGGAAGGCTAAGTTTGAGGCTGGTCAGGGCTGGGCTGAGCCCAGCAGATCCTGCCCATGGCCTCAGGGATGCGTCAGATCCAGTTAAGCCCTGACTGCCCACAAGTGCAAGCTTTCCTGAGGATACTGTTATATAAAGTGTAAATATGGGGAAATGTGGGAATGTTTTACTGCTTTGAGATTGGTCGTTGTTTATTTTTAAAATATCTACAAATTCTGTCGTCTTTCATCTAATGAGTTTCCAGCATATAAAACATTGATGGGTTTGTTTTTATATAATTAAGAGTTTTTGACGAGATTATTTTTCCAACCATAGAAATACAAGCCCTATTTTACATTATTATTTCTATGAAAGGGATCATTTCCCTTTGTGTAGAAAACTCAGAGTTTGTGTGAAATTAACTAACATTAAATGGGAAAAAGAAAAATCGTCCCTGGAATGTTGGTGTCAGTGAGGCTATGCCCTTTGCTTTGAGGTTTGCATATTTAGGGGGGCAGGCCTATCTTCCTAAGTCTGTGTGGCCATGAGCACACCTTTCTTAGTGCTACATATCTATAAATTGGTCATATCTGTTAACAGCCATTCTTTTGAACTAACCGCACTTATGTGCATATCAAAGAATAACCAGCCTCTCTAGTTTCCCCTCCACAAATAGATTCCTTCTCTATAGAAAGGCACACCAACTTCCAGGCATGAAATACCATTTCCTAAATTACGTAGTATCTTTTTTTTCAAAGAAGTTTAGGTCATTTTCACACAGTAGCCCCCTCTGAAGGAGCAGAGCGTTTTATCCTCTGTAAATAATGAAATGCTTTTTAAAGACATGTTCTATTCAATGTTTAACATTCCCCAATCCTCACTAATCTTCCAAGAAATGTTCCTGGCAAAATGGTTACTGTTCTAGTAGTTCCAAAATAAACAGCTTATGTAGCCCCACCCAAGGGGAACACTGCTGGGGACAGAAGCAGCCTTACTTCCTTTTCCCCAGGTAGGAAGGAAAACTGTTATCAGACCTCCCAGGACGTAATTACCATTATTTTATTCCTCTGTCACTGATTTCTCATCCCAAGGGGAAAGGGAATAAAATCTGAATTGGATTCCTAATCATTTGCTGCTTCCTGTGAACCAGGCCTTGTGTTTCAAAATGACAAAATCAGTCAGAAAATTCACAAACTGAAAAATGGAACCTAACCACATAGAAAATAAGCAGTAGGCATCTACTTTTGATGCTGCTGAAGTTTTTTGTCTCTATGGTTGTGGATTCAGTTAGTTTAATATGACTCCCCTTGTTATCTCAGCATTATCTCAAGCCTTTTGGAATTTAATCAAGAGATTCGAATGAGTAAGACAAGGGAGTAAACAGTCTTAGAATCTGAATGTGTGTCTGTGCATGTAAAAGTGGTTAAGCTGTTCTTAAGAGTCAACATTTCAGTTTGTCATTTTTCCAAGCACACGTTTGGTGTGAGGAATTTGAAAGGAAAGCTTTCAGGCAGACAGTAGTAACCTGTGTGAATGTGGAGTGTGGTGCCCTGAGACATTACCGTGCAAGTCCTCAGGGTGGGCTCTGAAACAAACCTTTGCCGAAGAGCAGAGCAGAGAGGAAGGGACTAGATGCCATGGAAGAGAGTCATCCGGTCATGGTATGGCCACTGTTCTGTCAGTCGGAGCAGCTCCCACTGGGTGTACAAGCTCCACCTTGTACACTGACTTCTTTGGGGTTATCCCCTACAGGTCCCTTTTGACCTGTGCTCTTCCCTCACCAGAAGAGCCAGCCTCTTCCAGAGCTCACTCTGGGTGGATGGCGCATTCCCAGATGGGAGGGAATCTGCTCTGTGCACAAGTATATGGGCTTCAGTGCTGGAGGTGTGCCACCAACTACCCCTCACCCTCACTTTGTGTATTTTACTGCTTGACCATAAGAGGCATTCCTGGAAGAGTGGGGGTATATTGAACTTCGCCCATTCTGAAGGTCCTGGGAAGAGCTAATACAACATTTTAGACCAGTGGCACCCGCATTGTTCTGTCTAAACCACATTGTTTTGCTGGAGACCTGGATTGTCTTAAAGGAAGGCAGTACCGGTGAGCCACGGTGGGCAGCATCTGGGGGAGGACTGTCTGTCCTATGACCTGTGGGTTTCACTGTTCCCTTCACTTCACTTTAAACAATGATAACAGCATTGCAAAGTTGATCATCTCAGCATTATCTCAAGCCTTTTAGAATTTAATCAAGAGATTTGAATGAGTAAGACAAGGGAGTAAACAGACCTCACTTCCTTGTAATAATGTAACATTCTGAAAATAAGAAGAAAGAGAAGGGTCTTTGTTGGCAGCCAGGCCAGATGACCTGGAGTGGCTGGATGCCATCTCAGGGTCAGATTTGGCAGAGAGGAACCGAAGGACAGGGGAGCGGCAGCTTGGGAACTAGGTGGCTGGGCGACTCCTCTGTGTAAGTAACCTGTACGTGTCCCTCCTCTCTGCCTCTCCCGCTCCCCTGTGCTCCAGCCGCACTGGCCCCTTTGCTGCTATCGCTCCAAGATGCCAGGTTTCTTTCCTTAATGGTCTTTGCTCCAACTGTTCCCTAGGCCTGTAGGGCTCTCCCCATAGGTCTCGCCAGGCCGGTGGCTTCCCACTGTTCAGGCCTCCTGAGGGCGTCTCCTCTGAAGGTGCCTTTGCCCACCAGCCTGAGAAACCCTTCCCCTGCACTTTCCATCATTGTCTGCTTTCACGCTCCTTTTGCTGTTACGGCCATCTCAGTTTCTCTTGTTTGCTTACTGTCTACCCAGCAGGGCCCTTGTCTGGCTGCTGCCTAGTTGAAAACTCCAGTGCCTAGAACTGCTGCTGACACACAGTGATGCTTAATACATATTTAGCAAATTGAGTTATATTAAAATTGTGTAATTTATCCTTTGGCATATATATGTAAGTAGAAAGGCTCCCATTCAGAACTACATTGTGATACGCAGTATTTTAGGGCCTTTCAAATTCCTTTGGATTAACCACGCAGAAAGCATAATTCCTAGGTGATAGGAACTTACTTTTGTCTTTCTCCTTGAGCCAAAATTTATGGAAGCTAGTAATGGCAACAGACAGCAGTACAGTTGGTCCTGGTGGTTATTGTAGAAGAATGAGATCTGGAGATATATTCTTGTGGGAAAACTTATGAAATATCTAGAGACCACATCAGTCTACTAAAGGCCTTGCCTCTAAATAGATGGTTTTCTCCCTCAAATATTTCTGAGTATAATCATCTATTTATTGCTCTCCCTTCTGCGAGTGCCATAAATTTGATGGGTTTTATGTTACCATTTTTTTTTTTAATGTGGTTTCACATCCAAATGGAGCCACTTTGGTATCATTTCACAGACCACACTAAAGTAGTTGTCATTCCATTTTGGTTAAGGTTTTCCCATGGGTAGGATGACTCTTGATTTCTGCCTCGTTAAAAGCAGGGAACGGCACACGAGAAGGAGGAGAGAGAGGCTGACCTCACTGCCTCCCAGAGCCCCGGTGTCCAGGAGTGGCTGGCCCAAGCTCGCAGCACGTGGACCCTCCAGCGGCAGAGCAGTCTCCAGCAACAGAAAGTAAAGCATTTCCCATCTCTCCTTCACTTGCAGACCTGCCAACAAACACCTTGAGAGAAGTGTTTTGGAAAGACAAGTTACTTCTGTACTAAAGACAGAATGCCCCTTATCCTCTCTTTGGACAGAAGCCAGACCTGGCTTTCACTGCTTCGGTGTACTTGTGACTGCCGGAATGATCAGTCATTTCAAAGTCTAGTCTTTGAGAAAAGCTTGTGCTCATGTTTACAAATAGTGCAACTCACTTATAATCTGCCTTTATCAAGGTTACCTACTCTATTTTCAGATTTGCCCCAGTTGAACTCTGTTTTATGGAATTAAAAACCTTAGGAAGGCCTGTGAGAATTGGTAAAAGTCTGAGTTACATGTTTTTTAGAAAAATGCAGTTAATGTTCCATTTTAAAATAGATACCATCACAAAATAGGTTATAAATTAATTGCCTAGTGAATCACATGAGTTTTAATGAATAGGAATGATTTCTCAGTACTGTAACTTTAGGTATCAAGCATATTAAAATATTTAATTTTCTCAAACAGTAAGGACATGTATCATAAATAATGAAAAAGTAAAACTGACTCCACTGATTATCCACTTATCGAGTGGATGAGGAATTACTACGAGCTGGGCTCTCCAGAATCCATCTTAGCTAGCCCTGGGCAATATTGATTTTGAAAAACGAAAGTGCATTTTGTACCACTTGAGGGCACCATTGCCCAGCAAACTTTTCTTTTACTGTTAACTTTTTTGCCCAAGATTTTTCAGTGATAATCATTTATCCAAGTCAAAGAAAGAGTACTTGGAGACATGTCTGGACATTTACTGAAACCACACTCTCTATGCAATGTGCAAACTTAAAAACTTAACTGCAAAAGTTCTCGAGTATTTTTTAGACACAGAATCATGATTATAGACAATAATCAAAGTAACAAGGACTTTTTTTTATTTGTTCTTTTCCTTGAGCAGGAGTTGGAACAGGAGTTAGAAGAGCAGAAGAACCTCCTTCGGTCAGTAGCCAGTCGTGGAGAGGAAATTCTAACCCAGCACTCAGCTGCAGAGACTCCTGGTGGTGTTAGGTATGTTTGAAACACTTTAACGTGCTCTTCTGTTTTTGTGACACTTGAAGAAATGCAAACATTCTCACTCAAAATTTTATTTTAAACATCTTCTCCAAAAATGTAATCATTCTGTCTTCACTTTATGGTGTTAAATTTGCACTTTGAACATTTTGTTGTGCAGTGTATAGCTAGGAGTTATGGTGGCTCACTTGTTTGCCCTCTTTCCATTTTGCTCAGCATATCTGTCCAGAAATGTTTATGAGCTCATTTTTAAGAATAGAAAAAGAAGTGCCTTGTAAAATGAGATCCACGGTGTTTCTACATGAATGATCAGATCTCACTGCAAAACATTATCTGTACAGGAGCTTATCTTCTCCTAATATTATTCTGAAAAAATAAATGCATATGCCTACTAAATATCTTGATTTTTCTTGAGGATCTATTTCTGTAATTTCTACCTGAAAAGTCATTGGGCTTTCAGTTCTGGTTTGGAGTGGAGACTGAAAGTTTTATCCATAGGAAAGTAAACTATTAAAAGACAAATTTAGAAAGTTGGAGAATTTTCAAGTTGAAGATCCTGGTTTAAAGGTAGGAAGGAAAAAGAACTGAAGCTGAGTGGGAAGTACCCCCGTGTTTTGTATCAGGTCTGGGTTTGATTCCAATTCTACACCTGTCACCAGTGGAAAGTAACTCAGTTCTGAGCCTCAATTTGCTTATCAATTCAATCAGAATCAACCACCTTCACCAAAGAAAGGTTGTGAAAGATGTGAATGTCAGCTGAGAAGATACGTAGGAAAACTTTTCTTTGAAATCTGAAACTTTTAAGAAAACATTTCATTAAAATCTCTGTGTTCATGTGGTATTTATTAGTATCCTTTCACAATTGTAATATGGTAAATAGCTTTAACTCCATTGACTCCAGAGTTCTCATTTCTGAACATTTATCTGGAAGAAATAACATACATATTATGAAAATGATTTTTCAAGTATTACTTATAATACCAAATATTGAAAAGGCAGAAATGCCCACTAGTATAAAAGAGCCTAAGAATTTTATACCTAGTCATAATAAAAAAGTATAAGACAATATCAAAAAATGTATATGTGATACTAAGTAAAAATATGATGTAAAATAGAATGTATAGCATAAATATGGATAAGACTGGAATGTACATTACCAAGTCTAATTTTAGAGAGGGCAGAATAGAGACTTTTCTTTCACTTTTTAAAAAATTTAATCAATGCTCACATAATGTTTCTGACATATGACATCAGTGACATATATATATCTATATAGATTTAAGAATTTCAAGGGCAGAATGATAGAAACCAAACTAAAATGTTAACTGCAATAGGCAAAACGTAGGAAACAGGAAAACATTCAAGAAAAAACAAAATAAAAAAAATATTGATATCACTAATAAATGTCAATTTAGAAGAACAGGAATGGATACTGTTATGACATCTATAGTCAGTAATCCCATTGAATGACCCTAAAACTGTAAACATTGTGTTTTACAATGTAATGGGGTTTAAAAATCTCTATTGTCCATTATGCTATAAAATGCTGATTAGGCCACAAAGGTGTGTCTGCATGAAAACCAAATGAGAAATTTTCTTCCTCCCAAGCTACCTGGGTCTAGACTTGCCTTTACTTTGAGTTTTCTTTTGTTTCCAGTTCTCCTCGTAGCTTTCTGAATATTTTTTCCAAGCTCTTTTTTTACAAAGAACTCACACACACATTGCCTCCTTATCATGAGTATAGATAGTCACAAATAGTCACAAATAGAACAGTAGGAATCTTCTGCAATTTTCTTTCCATGATGTTTTTTCCCCCTGTCTTTTAGCTTTGGAAAGGACCCACATGACAAATAGTGATAAATTGCTCTTTCAGTACAAAATATCTTATGAGAATTTTCAGTGAGAGGATGGCTTTCTGTACAAGATTCACTTCAAAGTGAATTCCTTAATCTCTACGCAATTCCTTACTCTTTATACAAATTCATTAGAAATGTCACCTTTAAACCTAGTTGATTTCAATCCAGCCATGACTTTCAAGCTGCTGGGTAAATACACTAATCAAACAACTAAACGGAGCAATGTCCAGAAGCCAAAAGAAAAAGGACACATTTTTAAAAGAACATTATTATACTATACTGTTATGCAAACATAAGTGAATGAAAAGGGATGCACTGAAGTTCACCATCACAAATGACAGCACAATAAAGAAATTCAATTTTGTAGGAACTTTAAAACTTGTTTTTTGTTAAAAAAAATATTTAAAAACACTACACACACACACATAGAAAAGTCCAGAGACTAATATAACAAACTAATTTGGAGTTATCAATTTTATTTTGGCATTTTTTTCTCTCAACATTACCTTTTGAGATCAATTTTTGTTGATACATATAGATCTAGTTCTCTCATTTTAAGAGTTTAACAGTATTTTATCTTGTGAAAATAACTTATTTCTGCATTTTTTTATTGATGGGTGTTTACATTGTTACCATTTCTTTTCTGCTATTAGTAGCATTGTTGAACTTCACATTCTTGCATGTCTCTAAGCGCACAGGTGAGAGAGATTCTCTAAGTTATACCCTAGAAGAATTCCTGCATCATTGCCTTAGAGAAAATTGTTTAGGACTAATTTCAACAGATTTATATAAAAAATCATTGTATTCAGTACTTACTCTGAGAATTGGCTTAGGAAGAATAGTGTATAGTATTAATGCTGCCAATGAACTTTGTTTTTCATCTGAGCAAAAGTCAAAATAATAATTACTATCAACAGTGTGGTTCAGATGACACGGTTCTAATTAGGACCTCCGAACTCCTGACACATCAGGATCTGTTGGACCGTGGGTCCCCCAGATTCTCAGCATTAGCATCAGGCCCATTTCTTGAGTGGCTGTTGTTTGCCAGAGAGAGTCAGAAGCATAATGCTTATCTTTTCTAAGCTTAATTCTCATACTGGTGCAAGATAGATCCTATCTGAATTCTAAAGTGAGGAAATTGAGGCTCAAATAAGTGAAGCCGATTACTCATCACAAATCAAAGGTGCCAGAGTAGAGATTCTAACCCACATCTGTCTCACCTCCCACACCGGGTCTTTCCTGATCAGACGCCACTGCTGCCTGGCCTTAAGGGCTTCCTGTCACGCTCTGGGCGCCTCCTATTTCATGTCCTGAAACCTGGTCTGTAGTATTCTCTTCGAACTCAGGGTAAAATCTTTCAGGAGACTAAGCAGCAGCATTTTCAGGGCTTATGAATTTGTGGGCCGTTTATCAAAGGATACTGGTCCAATCATATGCTTTCTGATTCCAAAAGTTATAATTTTTTTATCTTTAGTACTTTGAAAATTATTTTCAATGTATTTTTAAATTATTAGTGTGCTCATAGGTAATTATGGGTAAGAATATACTTGTTTTATGGTTAGTCTCCACTTTTCTATGCAATTTATATTTTTAAAGTGTAAGCTAACATCTAAAATAGTCTGGTACCAATTTTAGAGGCCAGATCTAGTATACACGATAACTTAACCTAGAACTTGTCACCTTTTTCCACACATTGTAAACTTAGATTATTTATTCTTTTAATAGTGAAAAACCTGATGTATTATCCCAGGAGTTGGGGATGCATGGAGAGAAGTCACCTGCTGAAGACCAGATGAGAATGAAATGGGAAAGCCTACATCAAGAATTTAGTACCAAGCAGAAACTACTACAGAATGTTCTGAAACAGGAACAAGAGCAAGTGGTATCAAATGTTTTGCTTTTATTTATTAACTAATATGAAAGATGTACAGTTTATACTAAGGGAATATAACCATGCAATAATCTATATTTTCATTATCAATTCCAAGATGAAGAAACAAATTATTAATCCTACATTTTTCTTTACAAGCCTGTTTTCTGTTTCCCATAGTAATTACATATTTACATATGGAAATTTATTTGATTTCTAGATACTGTTTTCCTCAGAGGTTATTAATATGTGATGATACATTAGCATAAATTATTACATTTTAAGTGACTCTCTTTTTCACAAATTTGACAACTAAGGATGCAAGTCAAGGACATACACACCTAGGACAAAAGAAATTCAAAAATATGTCAGTAAATTGTCAGGTTACTTATTTTTCCATTGCTACTTCCAGTACTTAGTAGCTACAGAAGATCTTAATGAGAAACATATTAGGACCTCAGTGGATTTAAAGAAAGGAAAGGAAAGCCAGTGGGCAGCTGGAATGGTTACCACCCATCCTTAGGCTGGTTCCCAAGGTGGGTAGGTACTGTGTGATGTTGGACGCGGGTCTGCCAATCAGGCCTAATCCACTAAAACTAAATATAGCAACAGAAGGTTCCAGGTAGATAATAGTTATTAGTTCACTCTGAGCAGAACCCAGAGAACAATGAAGAGTCAGGAATGAACCCCCTGAGAATGCTGGTGAGTGAGGCAGAAACCCAGGCCAGTCTGGGATGCTGACCACCACCATGGCACAGCAGGACTTTGAAGCTGGAAGCCTACTGCAGGGCCCTGGGCCACATCTGGGCCATTCTAGATGTCGCATTATCAGAATCAATTCTCTGTGGATCTGAGGAAGCTGCTCTTCTCACTGGTCTGGCCAGGTCCAGGCTAGGGGCTGGGAGAGGCAGAACACAGACACAAAAGATACCAATAACCACAGTGCATCTGAGGAGGGAGAGATGGGGCTGACCAGCAGGCTCTGTGAGCTTATCCAACTTGCCGGGATTATCTGAAAGGAGACAGTGTAAAGGTCCTAATGTGTCCCCTCCTCTGTGGGAACCATGCACAAGTCCCTCCACAGCTATTTGTTTCTCTCTTGTTTTAGAAAATCTTGCAGCATGCCATAACTTTCTCACTCCCCTCTTCTGGCCAGAAGCTTTCTTGGCCACTGTCCACTGGCAGAGTCACAGCCCTGACCCTGGGGACTATAAAGCACTCTGTTCGTGAATGTGGTTGTCCCAGAATAATACTCCATCCCAGCCAGTAGTAATCTCTGCCTTTTGCATGGGCCTCCTACCTGTGTTGAATTCATCTTTCTTTACACCCCTGGTCAAACGTTCCTCAGATGCATAGCTTGAATTCTTGATTTCTGATGTAGCTCCCGTGGGCTTGACTGCTGGCTCGCCCCCCTGGTATAGTGTTTCCCTGCTCTTTTGACTATAGGGATATTTACAGTCCTACATCAGGGACTGCAGTCCTTTCTGACTCTCAAGTCAGATAAATCCAGAGCATTTCTAGTAACACCCCATGCTTACTTCCTGGAATCCCTCAAATGCCCTCTCCCTGGCTTCCACCAGTGGTCATCATCTTAAAGCATTTGTGTGATTTGCAAACCACCTGGATGTCTCATCCATTACCTGCTCTTATCTTGCAGAGCTACTTTTTCTCTCAGTCAGTGCCATGCTGCCGCCCTGGCATCCTCTGTGGAAGCTTTCTAGAAAAACCTTTTTCTGCTATAGCCATTGATATTCCCACAGGATAGCTGGGCTGGTTAAATTTAGGTTCAGATTCACTTCCCTTTGGACATTTGAGGTGGAAAGCATTGAATGTTCTGTATTTTATGCTTCTTTGCATTGGAGGGCTTGCTTTCAAGAATCACACTCATTTGGATACAGTACCTGCCATGCTTTTTCACCTCTTTGGTGTGAAGAAGTGAGAGAAAAGGTAGAGAAGAAGCCCTTTGGCCATGAATTTGCAGGAAGAAAGGGAAGGGGCATTTAATGAACGTGATTTGTGTTGTAGGTTGCACATTTGTGACAACTTTCTGGTGAGGTTGACACAATCTCTGCTTTGTAGATCTGTAAGCTAAGGCTTGGAGAGATCAGATCATTTCTCAGGGTCTCATGACTAAGAAAAGGCAGGTCTGTCCCATTCCAAAGGCCCCCCTTTTTCATACCACCTTACAGACAGTTTTTACACTGAATGTACTTAACTACTCTCACGTGTAAAAACAGGCAACTTTTTTGTGTGTGTATAAAGTTCACCAGGTCAAAAGACATATATTTCTTTATTTCTCATTGTCTGGTCACTGCCAGTGCATTTAGTGCCTCAATGCAGAACGCCCTGCACGGGTTCAGGATGAAATTGGGCTCCCACTTCTTGAAACCTGTAACCCAATCAAGGAAATATTTTGTGCATTTCTGAAAAATTAAGCAACCATGGTAGTCTCTGTAAGCAGGACTAAAAAAGAAGCAGAAATTTAAAAAGTAGGAAGGCACTATAACAGGGTTGGGATTTAAGGCTGTGGACTGTAAGGAGATGCTAGGCAGTGACCATCCTACCTACAGTGGCAAACGAGCCTGGTATATGTAGAGGGTAATGAGTGATCAGCCAGGGGAGGATGAGCTGTTCTGAAAAGTTATAGGAAACTGAGTTTGTTTGGAGATGTCATTAAAAAGTCTGAGCCCTGGGCCGTCACATGGTCCTCACTGGAGAGATACCATGAAGGTCTAAAAGAGATGCGGGAGGAAAGAGTGAGGAAAGCACAGGAATCAGTCTAACTCTCATATTTAGGAGGATTATTCCATCATGCATAATGCTAAAACCAAGAAGATAAGTTGAGATTGATGATAAGATTTCAAGAATTTTTCCCACCGCTTACTTGATTTTTCTCTTCTTTTTAGTCCATCAGTGGAAACATTGCTATTGCTGAATCTGGTCACCATGTCTGATGAACATGGCATGACACAGAGGTCCTATTTCTCCAAAAGAGGTTTTCATAAGGACAGTGTTTCCAGTATTTGCTTCAGTGTGCAATGCCAAGTGAGAAAACCTGGCCACAGTATACATGCTCTTACTAAGCTGCCCCTGTTTGCCTACAGCTCTACAGCAGGCCAAATCGGCTTTTGTCCGGCATGCCACTATACAGAGGGGACGGGCAGACCCAAGATAAATCTGCAGTGACGTCTCTGCTGGGTGGATTGAACCAGGCCTTTGAGGAGGTTTCGTCCCAGGTAGGGCCGTGCTCTGTTTGCTCTGTGAAGCTGTTCGTACCCCATGGGCATGAACTGTTGAGGCCCAACTCTAGTGTTCAAGCCCTGAAAGACAGAGCTTCTGCACCCCGGCATCTCATCCTGCATTTTTCTTTGCTTCTTTTAAACACTATTAATTAATTCTTTGTTCCCCTGTTTTCTTCCAGGGTGGAGGGACAAAAGGGCAGAACATTCACTTGGAACAGAAGTTATATGATGGGGTCTCAGCTACCTCCACTTGGTTGGACGATGTTGAGGAACGTTTATTTGTTGCAACGGCACTTTTACCAGAAGAAACGGAAACTCACCTCTTCAACCAAGAGGTAGGCTGGGCAGCTTGTACCTGTAAGTGTATGCCATTACAGAGCGCTTGGAGTTTTGATATTGGGTTGTTAATGTTATGTGTAAAGAAAGTCAAACATAAACCAGTTCTAACAAAACACAAGTCAGGTCTACTTCAAAGCCTCATTAATACTGAAAAGAATTGCCTAAATATACAAAGCACTCAAAGATATTCATGTTTTGTATTTTTACTCTTTGTCTTGTGTATGTAAGAGGAGGAAAAAGTCGAGGACTTTGTAGAGACCCTGATGTATGTCGCAATTCTGCTACGTCTGAAAGACAGACTTAAAAAAAAATGTGTGCATTCTTAAACAGCATTTTATAAAACTCATTTTTTTACCAAATGTACATTATCATTAGTTAATGATACAAAGTTTTTGAGAAAAATCTCTCCAATAGCTGCCAAATACTTATGGAAGTGTATGAAAGTGGTCCCACTTACCTTAGGTGAAACTATCACTGAGTAGTAAGAGAGGCATAGTGGACTTTCTATGAGGAAATGACTTGTATGTAGATTTGTATAGAGATTCATGGATCTACACATTGAAATGTGCTTTTTTTTTTAATCAACCCTAGACTCTTGCCAAAGATATTAAGGAAATGTCTGAAGAAATGGATAAGAACAAGAACTTGTTTTCCCAAGCATTTCCAGAGAATGGCGATAACCGAGATGTTATTGAAGATACTTTGGGTTGTCTTGTGGGCAGGCTATCCTTGCTAGACTCAGTAGTAAATCAGCGATGTCATCAGATGAAGGAAAGACTTCAGCAAATACTAAATTTTCAGGTAGGACATTATCAAGAGATGTTTTGACCATTTTCAAGCTACATTTAATAATAAACAGGATGTTTTTGGGGTATGATATAGACCTTTTTTTAAAAAAAAAAAAATGAAGAACAAGACCATTGTAGAGAAACAACAGGGTTGAACTCAAGGATTAGAAAACTGGGAGTTTTATGCTCTTAGAAATGGAGGTTTGGGATAACCAGCCAGTCAAACAAAGGACTGAATAGAACTTTAATTCAACCAATGAAAGTCATATTTGTGGCACATTATAGCTATAATTTACAGTTAATAATTGTGTAGTTTAAAACATAGCATGAAATAAACATGCAGCAAGTGCTATAAAACAGAATGAACACTAGACTCCAATACCCAGGTGCCATTGGCTGGCCAAGGATACAAAGCAGAATTAAGATACTCAGGTAAATAGTTACATTAGACATTTGGGAATGCAAGTTTGTGGCTTAGAGGAATGACTTGGACTGAATATTTGCATTTTTATCTGGTATGTTGTACAGCATATAGAGAGGAAAGAGCATTTCACTTGGTGTTGGAAAAGCTGGAGTTGATTATTTTGGGGTATTTTGTTTGGGATGGAAGATCTGGGTATGTGCATATGTATACTCAGCATGTCTAAAGTTCAGCAAAACTGCTGTACAACTTACAGAAACCTGTTACAGTACTCTACAAAGTTCACTCTGTCAGAAATGAATGAGGTAGGTTAAAAGTGCAAATGTGTGTATCACTTGGAGGCATATTTCCCTTTTTCAAATTGCATCAGATTGCAAAAATGCTAGTGTTTTTGTACTTTAAAATTTTTATTGGTAATTTTAGCCATTCAGAGTAAAATAAAAACTAAGCATGAGCACTCTGGAACTTACTTTGTATGGAGGAGCAAGAAAAAAACATGTAGTCATGATAGCCTTTTTAAATCACATTCTCTGTTTTTCTCCTGCCAGCAAGTTTTGACTTGTTGGTGGTCAGCTCATGAACAAAAACTGACATTTCAGAATGTTTGTGGTCCAAATTGGAAGAAAGAATTCCAATGTTAATATAATTAAAGGTCAAGTCACAAATCAATTTATTTTACTTTGCACTAAGCACCTGGTATTCTGTCAGTGCTCAGTAATGGGAATAATATGCCTTCATTTTCCATTTAACCTTTGAGTTATTAGCTTTTACTCAACTGCTAACATTATTCTGTGCCCAACAGATGATCTGGAAGAATGTGTACATGTTTTGTACATGTATATTTTCTTCATGGAATTATGCAAGTCAACTATCAACTATTCTGTATTTTAAAATTTTACTCGTAGACTTAACCCCAAATAAGTTTCCTGGATATTTTTATAAGTATTTCAAGTTATTTCAAGTTATTTTTTTAAGCTATTTAGAAAATGAAAAATTCTTTGTTAAATTAGACAGCACAAGTGATTTAAAAATTTTAAACTTTCTATGGACCTGTTTCTCAAACAACTAGAATCCTGCCTCTTTATGCGTCACAGGTAATTTCAGTGACTAGAAGAAAAAATTATTATGTCTGCTATATGTATAATATATATACATACCTTAATTATCCTGCTGTATCACAACTACAGTAATAAAAAATGGTTAAAGCTTTTGGATTTTCACTTTTAAGACAATATCAACATCCATATGTTGTTAGTTATTCTCTGCTTTTCTGTCTTCTTGACTTGTCTCTCCTAGTAATTAGTGTGGCTTCAAGAAATGTGAACTCTTGTTTTCTGTTACCTTGAATAGAATGCAATTAAGATAGAAAATATGTTATTAAAAATGTAAAGATATATATAGGAAATACACACTCTTCACTTCTAGCCCATGTCATGTTATTTATGCTTAATTACTCATTTACATTAACAGAACTAATGTTCTAAATGTATATAATAATTGAAACCTTATTCTTTTGAATCGGTTCAAATGAATGGGAAACACCTTTTCCTACGCACACAAAACAAATACATGTTCCCATGGTCCACCTCACCCTGAATCCAGTTGAATAATGCAAATATTAACATAACTCTTATGCAAAACCTTGTTGCTGTTCTCATTTTTCCAAGGTTGTTCTTAGACAATTTCCTGTTTAGTCTGCAACCAGGCTTGCAGATGGGCTTGGGTTTTGCTTAGAGACAATTATCAGCTCTTAGGATCATATGCTTTTCTCTACTTCTCATGTTTTATGCTATTTCTTTTCTTTTTTTTAAATTTTGCTGTATAATTTGCTCATAATTTATTTTTTAGCCTTGTATTTTGTGTTATAATGCTCCCACTTATCCTTAAGGACAGTTTTTCTCCCTTGGTGTGATTATCTGGCTCCTCATGAGCAGTCAGATCTCCTGCATCTTAGTGAAGAACACTTACTTGCATATGATCCGCCCTCAGTGAAGAGGATGTGCTGAGTCTAATTTTAGCCTCTGATGAACAACCCTCATATATGGTTGCTAACCAGTAAGAAATAGAGCTTATTTGCTGATATTTCAGGGAGGTGGGGAATTAAAAATTTTATCATTCAGATTTTGTTCCAGTTCATTATTCCCTTTAAAACTGAGTCCCCAAGTCCTGGTAATTATCTCCTTTTTTGTACAAATCTACCTCAGTATAAATATCTTTGGACTTTTAAGTGAATAATGTTTATGAACAGAAGATTTGGCTAAGATCTTTTTATACTGTCACTTCATAGGTCTTCAAGCATTGTGGGTAACATTTTCTAAACTTCTGGATTTTTTTATAAGCTAATACATATTCTTGGAAAGTAGGGAAAAAAAGGAAGGAGGGAAGAGAGGAGAAGAGGAATCATACTATTCTTAAGAATCATTTTCTTTCCCAAATCAGAACACCTGTTGGTTGTTACACTAGATAAAAGTCATTAGTGTGTGTTTCTGCTGCAGTGTTGAAATGTGCACATTTATTTCAGACCTACCAAGATTAGGGTGACCAGTATTGCTTTTTATTTGTATATTTGCTCTCCATTTATATTGTGTTGGAAATGTTCTGTGTACCAAATTCATGAAAAGTTAATTTTCACATTTAGGTAGATTGTTACCAGTTCCTTTTACCTCCCCTAGGACAGTACTGTTTCTTCTGGACATTAAGTTCCTACACCTATCTGTTATTTCTAAGAATGCATGTTATGTTCACAACCATTTTGAATTCCCTGTTACACATGTTAAGTCTTCCTGTTGCTTTTCTCTTTAGAATGATCTGAAGGTGCTGTCTACATCACTTACTGACAACAAATACATTATTCTTCAGAAACTGGCAAATGTGTTTGAACAGCCTGTGGCAGAGCAAATCGAGGTAAAATTCCAGCTGCCTTCTTTCTGGAAGAGCAAATGCATAGAGTAGATCTGATTTGCTATGAAATTTCAAATACAAAATTTAAAATCGTTGCAAGACTAGCTTACTATGATTTTTTGTCATACATATTAAGTGCCAGGTGTGAATAACTGGATGGGTAACATTGACTTTGACACTTTTCACAGAACTAGGAAATGGGAGAGAGGAAATGATGTCAGTGACAGGTTCTGACCCAAAGAAGTTTGCCACCTAACTGTGACATTAGACGTAAACCTCAAAGCCATGTGCTAGAAAGTCCAGTTGTCCTGGTTAGCAGTATAGGTGGAGCACTGTGGACATTTAAGAGGATGTAGATTGCCTTCAACAAGGGTAGTATTAGGGAAAACTGTAAAGGGAAATTTGAAATAGACTTGGAAGTCCGGACACAGAGACTGGCAAGAAAGGTACCCAAGGAAAGAGGCAGCCAGAATAAAGACATAAATATTAGACAATTCACAGCACTTCAGGAGAAAAGCAAGTAATCCTGTTTAGCTGAATTTAGGATGAATGAAAATGACTGAGGGGAAATAAGGTTGGATGAGCAAAGTCAAGGCAGTAAGGGACCTATTGAATGTCAGAGAATTTGAACTTCGTTCTACAAACGAAAGTTCTCGAAGCTTTATTGATTGCATACCTCATTAGTTAAAAAAGTAAAAGCGCACACCACAAATATATGTATATCTACTTATTTATAAATTGTAAGGAACTGTGTCATAAGGCATATGCACAAATGAAAATTAAAAGTGAATGTGGTTGGATGTAAATGAAAGATGTAGTATCGTATCCTCTCAGAACATCTGCTACACTTTTGAGTGCTTGCACAGCCCTTGCAAACCACTGGCAGCGGGAAGTCACTGGACATTTAGGGTGAGAATGAGTGTCAGTGCTGGTCCCACTTCTGGGTAGTTGCCTTGGCATCTCCAGGATCAGGAGGCATATATCCAACAGGAGGCTCTCTGTAGGTGCCCTGATGAGAATGAATGAGAATTCTAACCAGTATAATGGCAGTGAAAACAGGGAGGAGAGAAGAAGTGGGATGAATATTACACAGACTAGCTCCTGTTTCATAAACTAAATAATTATGAGAAGTATGTGATTTAATGGGATTCTTTACCCTAATTTCACTAGACATCTAAGCAGTTCTATGGGTTGACTATAGAGAATTGTCTGAAGTAAAGATCACCCAAAATATTTCTTTAGATAGATACCTGGATCTATTATCTGTCATCTAAAGTCGTTTACAAGATTATATGTGAATATGTACTTTTCTTGATCATATTTTCTTCTGCCTTTTAAAGAGAGTCCTTATTTCCCCCAAATTAAAAATCATTCCTCTCTGCCCTATCTTCTACTTGAAAGGACCGTTTTTTTAATATATTTTTATTTTTTATTTTTGGCTTATCATCGACCGGATTCCAAAAAAGATTTGGGCAGCTATAGCGATGCTTTGCCTTGAATTTCTGATGTGAAACATAGGATCTGTGTATCACAAGTAACACTTTTACTAATCATTGACCAACATCATAAACTGAATGCCAGGGATAAAAACAACTAGATTATTTCTTAGAATGAATGGAGAACAACTAAAAAATGTGCTAGTTCCATCCCTTCCTTCCTTGGGTTACAAAAGTAATAATAGCAGAAGCATTGGGGTGATACCTCTCAAAACAGTCACCTTTTGAGTCCGTCATTCCACTCTGGAACAGACCCGTTACCCCATGAGCCCGGTTTTCACAATGACATGTCTTGGGAAGGGTCTGTTCTATCCACTGGGCTGGGAGTTCAAGGGGTTCATTTGACTTGTGAGCTCTCCTTGCCTTCTGGAAAATTTTCTGATTGATTTAATATTTTTCATCCATTTTATCTGTCTGCCATCCTGGAACTCCTTTTAGGCAGATGTTGGATATTATGGCCCAGTCTTCTAATTTTTTTTTTTTTATTAAGAGACATTTCTTGCCCAGTTTGCTCTATTTTCTGGAAGACTTCCTTGACTTCCACTCCAAACTTTTCTACTGAATTTTGCATTTCTACTCTCATGTGTTTCATTTCCTCAAAGCTCATTTTGGTTCTCTGAATGATCCTTTTTTGGTATCCTGTTACTTTTTTTTTCTTATAGATGCATTATATTTTGTAATCTCTCTGGGTGTATTAATGATTTTTTTTTTTTGGCTGAAGTTTCATTTTTCCTGTATAGTGTTTCCCTCCAGCTTGCCTTTTATTTATTTGTTTGCTTAGTCTCTATCTTTTGTTCTGCAGGCTTTTCTCAGATACATGGAAAACCTTTGCTGTCTGTTCACATTTAGGAAGGGAATCGAAACAGCTGAAGGGGAACTTTGTAGAGGGATGGGGCTTGACATTTTAAGATTTACTGAAAGGTGGCCTTTGTGGGCTATTTGTAGGAGAATCCTTGTGTCAAACCTTTAGGTTTTCCTATTGGTCTTTTTATATTTTTTCCTCTCCCTTGTCTGGAGGGTGGATGCTGGCTGCAGCACTCTAGAAGACAAAGGGGCTCCACATTCAGCACCCAGTGGCATTCGGTCACTATATCCCCCTGCCTTCAGCCAAAGTACTCAAGCCCACAACTATTTCTGGTGCTCTTCAGTCCAGAGACTGTCTTACCTTCTTCTGAAAATAAACTTCCAATCTTTCCCCTAAAAAGGAAACGGGCTATGTGGGATGAGGAAGGGGATCTGAAAATTTCAGTGTTTTGTAAGCAGCTTTTTACCAACCCTCCTTATTTAGCATCCATCCCACTTCACCCAGAGATCCCAAGATTGCTATTATTGCTGTGAAGTTCGTGACGGTATTCCTCTTCCAGCTAAGAATTCAGCTTTCTCAGATTTCTTGTCAGTGATCACACATCCTTCTGAACTCTAGCTTTCGAAATGTAGCTAGTATTGTCTTCTTTCCTTTTTCTTGTCCTTGTAGATTTATGGCACTCAAGGGACATACCAAGAAACAAGCAAACAAAATGCTTGCTGTGGTCGTAGTGGGGATTCAGAACAGAGAAAATAGGACACATGTGTTTCATCTGCCATCTGGAGCCCATGTTCTTTTCATCCTTCAAGGACAACCGAGGTTACATATCTTCCAAAAACCTCCTTAGACTCCTCCAGGATTCACTGGTGTCTCTCTTCTGCAAAGTCCTCCAACAGGGATGCATTGTTTCAAGTTTAGTGCATAATTATATTAGCCTTGTTTTGTTTTCCTTTGTTTACTTCAGCTTGCTAACCAGACTGTAAGCTCCTTGAAGGCCAGGATGAGATCTTCTACAGATCTTGTGCTGGGAAGACAAGTCTTAGAATTAGCAGCCACTTGGATACTTGTTGATTGCTTACTTTTCTACTAAAGAAAGACAGCTTTCCCTGATCATGCTGGAACAAATTTTCCCCCTGCCTCACTGCATCTCCCCCCAAAGATGCTCAAAACTGCATTTTAGGAAACCAGAGCATGAAGCCCTAGAAAATTTCAGGCAATACCTTCTTCTATATCCTAAGTTATGCTTCTTTTTCAGGCATTGCTAGTCACAAATTCCCCTACTTGTTTAAGGAAGCCATTGTTCTTCTAACCCTCCATGTGATGTCCCTCCCATCAGCTCCTTACATTTAAGATACATGATCTGTAGTATAATAGAGGTATTTCTTCTCTCTTGTATATAAAAGATGGCCATGGTTTTGATGTTGTATTGAAATTACTCTTTTCATATGCATTGAAATGTTTTCTGTGGAAAGAAGAACAAATAAAAAGACATACAAACCGCATTTTGTTCCTTGGGAGTTTTAATGAAATGTTCTCAATCTTACATAGGCAATACAACAGGCTGAAGATGGGCTAAAGGAATTGGATGCAGGAATCATTGAATTAAAAAAGCGTGGTGACAAGTTGCAGATCGAGCCGCCTTCTATGCAAGAACTCTCCAGACTCCAGGTATAATATTCTGCCAATGGCATTCAGCCTCAATGACACATCCTAACTAGAAGTCAAGAAAAAATTATTTTCTCTATTTCCTTGATTTTTCTTTACATAGTTCAGGTCTTTTACATCCTAATCTTTCTTCCAAGTAAGTCTCAGAAATTTTTCTGAAACTTTTACTATATTTAGTGCAATAGAATAAATTCTGTTCTCAGGCTTCTAAGATTCTTTTTCTTTTTTCCTGATACTTACTTTATTATTATTTCAGTGACTAAGCATTTTGGTATAGTCGAATCATAGCATATTATTTTCTACTCAAGAAAATGTAATAATTATCAATCCTACCGAGAAAAGTTAAAAGAGGGACGTCTATTCTATTTTGTACCCCCAAAAACTGTTCTAAAGAAAATATACTCAAGCTAATACTTTTTAGAAAGTGGTTTTCTTGGGCTTTCAGAGTTATAGTTTATCTTTTAGACATGTTTGAATGGAAAAGAGGCATCGTTTAAAATTCCAGAACAAAAAATTAATAAGTAATAAGTAAACTAGAAGTAGCTGAAATCCAGCAGATTTCCTGAGAGCCTTCAGAGGTAGAGAATAACTTTGGGCTAATTTGCTTTCCAGATTGGGTACTGGGTCAAGAATCTACTATTAGGATGTTAGGAAGATCCTGGGAAATCAGACCAGCAAAATTTAGCATTTAATAGGCAACATAGTTAAATGATATTAAGAAAAACTTCGGTACAGTGACACACACACACATTGTTTTTTCCTGCATCTGCATGCCTTATTGCAGAACTATTGAGGGATTAGAAGTATGAGCCCAGTGCAGGCTTACAAGTTTTTCCTTTTGAAAATATAAAATAGCTCTTATTTCAAAATGAACGTTTTTATTTTAACTGTCACATTCCTTTACCTAACATTTCATGTCATGAACCCACTGCCCCCACTTTGTCCTTTTTAGACAGTTTTCTGACAGTGTTTAAATGTCAGGTGTAAGAGTCACTAAACGTCATAGCTGTAAATAGACATTAAAGTTGAACTCTTCCAGATTGAACCATTTGGCCTAGTAAGCCTTAATATGATATGTTAATCAGGTCCATATGGCTCAAATAAATTTTGTGTTTGGTGCATCATCGTCTCCTAATATGTCTTCCCAGTTTAAGTAGTTATTTACTACAGCAGATTTGGCAAAAACATTCCCTTTTTAAGTCTTTCTGCTCACATCTCTGTTTTTTTAGCTCTTTATTTGAGGCATAGTCCAAAATTTCATTATTACTTATCAGATAAAATGTTAAAAATATTACATTCAATTATTCTAAAGTTATATAAACCTTGTGAACATGATAAAAATTAAAATTATATTTCCTGTGCCATTCCCTTCAGCCACACAGTTTCTCAACATTTCTATGTCTCTGATCATGGCAGTAAAATATCATCCTAAGTTATTCCAGAGAGGAAACTAGGAACCCCTTGTCCCACCATGAACTATTGACATCCTGAGAAATAGTTGTCAGATCTACCTTGTGTCATTTTCAGGCAATGTTTTTTCCTATCCTTTGGAATTGAAATATTTAGCTTATCTTTTTCAAAAGAAATTGTCAAAGTAAGGCTTATAGATGAATAAGCAGGTGACCTCCATGCAGAGCATCATTTTGTGGCAGGAACCTAAAGGGGTGTCCTTTGTTGGGTCATGTGCTTGCGGTAACACACTTTAAGGCATCAAAACATGAATTGCACGTGTCAATGTCTCCATTAGGACATGTATGATGAACTGACGATGACCATTGCCTCCCGGCGGGGCAGTCTCAACCACAGTCTTGCACTCAAGAGTCAGTACGAAAGGGCTTTGCAAGATCTGACTGACCTGCTGGAAACTGGGCGAGAGAAGATGGCAAGCGACCAGAAAATCATCGTGTCTTCCAAAGAAGAAATCCAACAACTGCTTGATAAACATAAGGTAAAAAAATAGAGAGAGAGAGAGAGAGAAAATGTAGTTGTGAAAGCATAGTCTCACTCACTGACGTACACGTAGTAAAGCCAATCTTTCATGAGAGCTTCTACTTGCATAAGCTACCTCTAAGTTGTCAATGAATGAATAGTCAAAGCCACTGGCATTCAGTAGCACAGAAAACTATAGAGGATATGTTTCTATAATTTTATACCAACCTGACCAGTAATCTTAATTATCATTCCTCACTAGTACTAGCCAGGCTTTCTTCCTTTGTGAACTTCAACCAGGAGGAAACTCAAAATCTCCCCTCAAAGGAGCCCAGCTTCGTCCTAACTCTGCTTTTTTGCCTTTGTGTCTTTTGTGTCCTTTTGTTGATCTCGTCCCAGGTGTCCTGTCTGTTTACCCTTGTCCTGGCCAAGGACTCCTTCCTCCACTCGGGGAACACAGGGCTGCCCACTCGGCTCTGAGATAGGGTTTCAGTCCCTTAACATGCGTCACTCAGTTCTTCCGGCCCTTAAGCATGTGCTCTGCTAGCTGCTGTTGGCCTCAAGAGATTTTCCCGGGGACACGTCCTTTTACTACATGATCAAGCTTGGTAGGCCTGAGTGTGTGCCCTAACCAAGTTCAAGTTAGACACCACTTATGAGTATAGGAATACCTGTTTAAGGCACACACGTAGGCAACTCTTACCTTACTGAAGGGCAGTGATTGTAGAAAGAGCAGTTTTGCCAGTGCAGAAAGCCAAACTCAAACTGTGGGAATTTCCTATAAAAACACTTTAAAAACCCTATTAGGTTATAGATGGTTAACGCATTCTGCCATTATGTAGCTCTCTGGTGGCTTAAAAAGGTGGGTTTTTGTTTTATTTTGTTTTGTTTTGTTGGGGATTATACTTCTTGCTATTTTTCCCAAAGGTTTTTATCCAAAACTTGGTGATTTATTAAGGCCTTATCATTTGGCTTTGAAAACATTGCTTTAAAGTTCACAGCTGGTTTTTCTCAATTCTCTGACCATGGCAGTAAAATATCATCCTGAGTTATTCCAGAGAGGAAACTAGGATCAATGAGTATAAATAACAGAAAAATAAGCTCAATAGCTGAAGAACTCAAAAAGGAATAGGCTGCCATTGGACAGACAGCCCCCCAGCCAGGAGACCAGCCAAGGCTGACTGGGGGAGGAAGGTTTCCCAAAGGAGTCTTAGCGTTTGGTGACTGTTGTGCTAAATGACCTCCAAGTTCTCTTCCAACTTTAAGATTCTGTGATATATAATAGCTGTCAGTTAAAAATAATGATTCTATTTTGTGTTGACCAGACTATTTGCTGAAGGAGAGTTCTACAATAACCCTGAGTGTGTTACATAGACTGGCTACTTTGTGGCCTTATCTATAAAATGGAAAATAAAACTACCTACCTCATAAGTTGTTACAAGGATTCATTGAGATGACAGAGTGCTTAACATGTAGTACACGCTAAGTGTTATTAGCAGTGCCGAGCCTAGCCCTTCAGCCCTACTCCTGGTGCTGGGAACAGGACATGGAACAAGCCTTATCTCCCTCCTCTGGGACCTTTTACACAGAAAAGTAATATTTCAAAACACATTTGTAGGATTGTGTAAAGCCTCCAGTTCTGTCGAGTGTGGGTATAATACAAGGGAAATTTCAAAATACGTAATACCAATCAGTATGTGTCAAGCTGTGCTTGGCAGTAAGTATTAAAGCACAGCAAACAAATTCTCCGGGAATTCAGAGAAGTAGAACTCAAGACCACCCATGGTATGAGGGAGGAAGGTTGTGAACGTGTCAATGAGGACATCTGTGGGAGCACAGAGTATAAACAGAGGCCAAGGGTGAGGGAACAAGAGCGAGTGTGTCCAAGAGTTTGTGTGCTGGAGTTAGTGAAAGTCCACGCGGACTGTACAGCGGTGAAGAATTAGAGGGCAGAGCTGTTTCAGAAGCTAGTATACATGTGAAGGGCACTGTTTTGGGGAGTGTAGCTGAACTTGAGTGGCGAGACGAGAGAGGCCAGATAGGAGGCTGGAGCCGCGTCTCTGCAGGCAGCGGAGCGAGCCTGGGTAAGGTGGAGGTGAGCGGGTCGGGTGGCACTGTGTTGCTCATGTAGTCACTGAGTTTTTGAGGCTTCACGTTTGAAGCAATTTTTTATTGTAAGGGTAGCAGCTGAATGATTTGCTGACCTCTTTCTCCTTGAAAAATTGCAGGAATATTTTCAGGGCCTGGAATCGCATATGATCTTGACTGAAACGCTTTTCAGAAAGATAATCAGCTTTGCACTCCTAAGGGAAACCCAATTCCACACAGAACTGATGGCGCAGGCTTCAGCTGTACTGAAACGGGCTCACAAGAGGGGTGTCGAGCTGGAGTACATCCTAGAGGTGAGACTAGTGATGTAGCATCTTCCTTACTGCAAACTCCCTTTTGCAAAGCAAGCCATTGAGGCAAGACGTGTTTATTCCTGTGATTTGCCTCATATAACCTTGGAACTCTCTCCAACTCAGCAACACGTATTGCCTTGTCCTCCCACGTTTCATATTTATATTCAGATAAAGGCTACACTGTGAGTCAGATAGACGAATACTGTCTTCAGTCCGGGCATGACAATATTTGGGGTTTGGATAGCCATACTGAAAATCTGCTGATCTTTACCATAAATCATGGGAGGGAAAATGTTTTTGAAGTGATGAAAATGATTTTTAAAAGATTTTCCAATTTTAAATAAAATAATAATCAGAATTAAGGAATAAGTGATTTGGGATTTCTCTTTAGTAGAATGTCTGTATACTGCATATTCATTTCTTCAATGTGTGTGTTGTCATTTATGCAGATGTAATGTGTTTAGTCATATGCTCAGCATTACTGAGGTAAAGAATGAAACCATGTATATCAGATGCCTCTTGTATTCTCTGTATGCTTCATATATTATTCTATTTAATCTACACAATGGACAGGAGTTACTTTTATCCCCATATTTTTAACATTGAAAATAAGGTTCAGAGAAGTTTAATAACTTGCCCAGGTTTGTGCAGATGCTAAAGCCCATTCCCAGTGCTTTTCAGGGTCAACATCTGAGTACTTGCTTTAACGTCATTTTGTGCTTCCCAGAGCAAACCTACCACACAAACATCTCTGATGTAACTTGAAAAAATCTGTAGAGTGCGTCCCTTAATGAGGATTTTTTTAGCTCAGAGACTGATATTGCCTTTGTAGACGTGGTCCCACCTGGATGAGGACTACCGGGAGCTCAGCAGACAGCTGGAGGTGGTGGAAAGTAACATCCCAAGTGTGGGTTTGGTGGAGGAGAGCGCGGACAGGCTCATCAACCGGATAACGCTCTACCAGGTCAGCGTCCAAGGAGTATTTCAGTAGCATTTCCTTTTGGAATTTTCTCATGGCTTTAGCAGAATCTAAACAGATTTGCAATCTGATATATTATTAAGTTCTTTTACTTTTATTTCAAACTATGGACATTGTTGAAGTAGAACATAAAAAGGATATTTTTCCTTTTTGTATGAGAGAGCTCCTTTGAAAATTCGACCTCCACCAAGCATTTTCTGTAGTTGATACTGGTATCATACTGTTCCTGAAATACTTACAGTTTGACAGTCTTAAATGCTCCTAAAGCTACTACTACAAAAAAACAAACATCTATACTTAGATGTAGATGAGCCATCTCAAAGTTTCTAATGTTACTTAGGTGCAAATAGTTGGAATCTGACAAATGGATAATGGGAAAATTATGGGCACCGGAGAAATTATGCTTTCTAAAGAGAAATATCACACCATCCCAGCTTTTAAACCAGTATTTCCGATCATTTTAGCATTTGAAATCCAGCCTTAATGAATACCAGCCCAAATTGTATCAAGTATTAGATGATGGGAAACGACTTCTGATGTCCATTAGCTGCTCATATCTAGAAGGCCAGCTGAATCAACTTGGAGAACACTGGTTAAATAATACCAACAAAGTGTCTAAGGAACTTCACAGATTGGAAACAATATTGAAACACTGGACCAGGTAATACAAAGACTATTTTTCATAATTTTAGATTAGTGTTGCAGTCTTTCTAAAGCTAGTGGGTACAGCACTTGAAAAAGATCTGGTCCCTCTCTGAGTTTATCGTTTGGAAAATAAAGGCAAACACAAAGCCCCTAATTAGAGTCTTGTCTGATTGTATAGACGTAATTATAAGTAGGCGGGAAGGTAGGGGCATGATGCAGCTTACCTTTGAACTACCATCCCCCCTTGCCAATTGACTGTACATGGGTGGCCACCATGTATAAAACTTTAGGAGAAAAAGAAAAGTGTTTTGAGAAGGCAAGTTTCTCAAGGGCAACAGAGGTATTCAAAAGAGATGGAGGATTGATTCCACATACTGAAATGCTCAATTTCTAGGCCACCTTTACCTCTCTGATGTTTTAATAACATTCATCTAATATTTTCTAAATAGTTCCAATGTAAAGAAATAGGAGAAAGATATTTTTTATTTTCCCCTTAGAGATGGGAAAGCTGAAATTCAGAAAGACTGGCTTGATTGACTTATAAATATTAAGAGAATTTGATAGTGTCAACTCAGGGCATTATTCTCCCAGATCTGTTGTGTCTCTTGTTTTAAAATTGGCAATTGCTGAATAACTTGAGTTAGCAGAAAGTAGGTCTTACTGGGTGTTTACTTAATAGCCTCATTCATATACTTACAGATACCAACATGAATCTGCAGAACTAAGTCACTGGTTACAATCTGCAAAAGACAGGCTAGAATTTTGGACTCAACAATCTGTGACAGTCCCACAAGAACTGGAAATGGTCCGTGATCATCTGAATGCTTTCCTGGTAAGCCTAAGAATCTGAATGAACATTTGATTCAATGTAATATACTTCATAAATCAAGCCATAGAGAATGTGTCAGTATTAACTATGTGTTCAATAATTATGCAAAATAATAGGGCTCAATATTGCTGCATTAAAGGGAGTTTTCAAGTACTGGCTGCGTTGTTGCCTTTCATTCAGGCAAGGGTGTGGTGTTCTCTTCCTCTAGCATCCTTAATGAGGCTCCCCTTAAGATGAAAAGACAAAGCGTTTATGTAATAAATTGGTTTCTTTCCTTAAATGCACTCTCTGGCTATTTACTGACTTGAACATTGCTACTTTTTTAGGAGTTTTCCAAAGAGGTGGATGCCAAATCTTCCCTAAAATCGTCTGTTCTGAGCACTGGAAATCAACTTCTTCGATTAAAGAAAGTGGACACAGCTGCCCTGCGTTCAGAGCTGTCACACATTGATAGTCAGTGGACAGACCTGCTGACAAATATCCCAGCTGTACAGGAAAAGCTCCACCAGGTATAGAAATAACCATTGGTTTAATTGGTAATAAATGATTTGAAGCAAATTAAATGTAAAAGTATGTAAATCTGCTTTTGCTCACAAATTTAGATCAGCTTTGTTGTGGACATCTTGCCTTTTCTCTCTTCCATTGTTTTGCACAGTAAATGTGAACTGTCCTACAAGGCCGTATCTACAAGTGTCAAATATTCCATGGGCTTCTTTAGTATGTATGTGTGTGTGCATGTATTTATTAGACTCCTTGTCTAGCCTTGTTTAAACTTGCTGGTTTTTCATGAGTAAAATTTGGGTCACTACACCTCCCTCATAAAAAAAGTAGTTATAAAGATGCAATAACAGTATATATAAAAGACCTATCATTTCACCTACGATAGAGCAACTGGCATTGAATAAACATTAAGTATTTCTCTTATCTGAAATACACCTTTCTCTCCTGAACTTCCAGACAGTATCTTTGTCTCTCTTTGGCATTCATCACTCTACCAGGTATGATAGATAATTGTGTTTAATGCGTATGTCTCATTGCTCCTAATCAACAGCTGTACATTTCTAGAGAGCAGGAAACCACTCACATGTATCTCTACATCTTTCTGCACCACAAGAAGTCCATAAATATTTTAAATTTATAGTTGTTTTTGTTCCTGAAAATCATTGTAAGTATCTGTATAATGTATGATATTTTAAGTAAGATTCAGAATTCTAAGTATATTTTAGTTAATGACTGAGGAAATTGGCCATGCTCTTAGGAATAAATATTAGGGTGCCAAAAATCTAGAAAATGATAGTTTGTAGTGTGGTATTTTTCTTTCTTCTTTTAATATTCCTGAGTCATCACATGCAGAAATTTTACAAGATAATTAATAAAATACATCTGTTGAATGTTTTGTAGGTAAGTTTTTTATAAACTCATAAAACTAGCTATAAAATAAGAACAATATTTTCTTCTTGCTGGTGTTTTGATTAATTAGTTAATGTTTGCACAATGTTTATATGTTTAATTTCAAGCTTCTAGTAAGGTGAAGATCCAGAAATGTCATTTGAGACATGTAATCTCTGTTGGCACTTTAACAAGAATTGATGCATGGTTGTTAGGTCAGCAGGAATTTGGTTTGAACTTGCACACTTGGGACTTGCTTTCTTACTTGGACAGCTCCGGATGGATAAGCTGCCTTCCCGCCATGCCATTTCTGAAGTCATGACGTGGATTTCTATCATGGAAAATGTGATTCAAAAGGATGAAGAGAATATAAAAAATTCCATAGGTTACAAGGCAATTCATGAATACCTTCAGAAATATAAGGTAATTAAACATTTTTTTCTTTTCATATTTTAGGACACTTTTATTTGAAAGAACTCGAATACTCAAAGTATGGAAATCAGGTCTTAGAGTTTAATGTTTCATACATAGTGACCAGAACAGTGTACAAAAGTAAGAAAACTGCCTAGTTTTAGGCCTAGGAAAGTTGTTACGAAGTATAGAAAAGTATTAGGAATAATTTTGAATTTAGGCCTAGAAAAGTAAGAAAGTGTTGAAAAGTATTAGGAATTATTTTGAATTTGTGTCATTTTAAGAAATCATAAAAATAAGTGCTATAATTTATGACTTTTTATAATGAGATTATATAATTTAATCTGCCTAAAATGTATGTATTTATATCCAATATATGTGTAAGTTCAATTTATATTCAATATGTTCCTATATATTATATGTACAACTTCTGAAAATAATAGATAGGATTATACACACAGATTTTGTGCCATTTAGACAAACTCATGGAAATTATAATATTAATCTTAAGATTACTTAAAGCTTTCCAACTCCTGATAAAATATAAGACCTTTACATGTATAACCTTGTTTCCTTAAGATAGAAGACATTTATTTATATGCCTAATCATGTTTTCTTATTTTCTCCCTTCCCTTTTTAGGGTTTTAAGATAGACATTAACTGTAAACAGTTGACAGTTGATTTTGTCAATCAGTCTGTGCTTCAGATCAGCAGTCAGGATGTGGAAAGTAAACGCAGCGATAAGACTGATTTTGCTGAGCAGCTTGGAGCAATGAATAAAAGCTGGCAAATCCTGCAGGGTCTAGTAACAGAGAAGGTGAGCCAGCGGCCTTTGCTGTCCCTCTACATGAAAACTCCAAGAACAGGCATGCTCTATAAAGAAAACTCATTTCACAGGTGGTATGGTGACAGCTGGCACATGAATGCTTCTGAAGAGAATGCCCCTGACACGTACCTCACCCTAAACATTCTTTAATCCTGTTAGCTTTCTCTTAGGCGCTTCCTACTTTATACATTGTATGTTGTCTTAGTGTTTTAAAGGTGCATCTTAATTTCTCTTACGTTTGCTTCAAGTTGACTTAAGTTCTTGTTTAGGAGTAAAAGTCATTGAATCACTTTATAAAATTCATTTTCTTAATCATCTACACAATGGTCTGTTTTAAGATTTCCTAATTTGGAGGAAATAGTGGCTTGGGTACCATGGATTTGACTTTAAAATCAAACTGCAAATTTATTTTCATTTTCTTTGTTCAGATCCAGCTGTTGGAAAGCTTATTGGAATCTTGGTCAGAATATGAAAATAATGTACAATGTCTGAAAAGTTGGTTTGAAACCCAGGAAAAGAGGCTAAAACAACATCAAATCGGAGATCAGACTTCAGTTCAAAATGCACTGAAAGACTGTCAGGTAAATTGTCCCAGTAGCTGACATGAGCTGTTTCACAGTTTCATGGCTTATGCTGAAAGAATCGGTCAGGCCTTGAGAGTTGAGAGTTAAATATTGAAAGAAGTTGCATTTGGTAATGAATTTCTGTGATTTTGTGAGTTTATTGAGTTTTTCTATTAGATTTTTTTCACCTTTTTAGAAATTTGAAACTGAGAATTTTCAAACAAACTCATAAGCAGAGAGAATGCTGCTCAACCCCATACACCGATCATCAGATTTGATAATTATTAAGATTTTGATATATTTGCCTGAATTATTTCTTTTCTTAAAAAATTCGTAGTGAACCCCAGACATTGTGCCATTTTATTCCTGCATGCTGCAGAGACATTTTCTTATATAACCATATCATCATCACCACAAAACATTGAACAATAGCCATAGTACTATTTAATGCTCAACCTATAACACTATTTTCTCAGTTCTCTTTTAAAGTGTCTTTTAATTTTTTTCGGTTAACTTGTTCACATAAGGATTTGACAGACACATGGCTACATTTGCTTCTGAGATCTCTTGTGCCTGCTCAATGTTTTTCAATCCAATTAACTTGTTGCAGAAACTATAGACTGGGTCAGGTTCAGAATTAGCCCGTGTATTTCCTTATGATGCCATTTAACCTGCTCTGCCTGCCCCTCTATTTCCTATAAGTGGAAGTTGTCGCTAGAGGCTTGATTGGCTTCTGGCTCAACTCTGTGCGAGTGCGTCCCTCGTGACGGTGTTACTTCCTGCTGTGTGACACAGAGAAGCCCCCATCAGTGTCTCTGGTTCTGTTGTTAGTGAGCGCACTCTAAATGTTGTGCAGTGACTTAGAAACACTTCATATTTCCTCAGGATTCGTGTTAACACAGAGAAATATGAACTTACAGTTAATGCTGTAATACCTTTTTTTAGTAATCAACAATTTGTAATGTGTTACAGATTCGCTGTGACTATTCCCTGTAGTGGTTCCTAAGAACAGTTGAAGACTCTGTTGTCAAGCAATTCCACAGAAACAGTCATTTCCCCAGATCTTGTTTTTATAGCCTCGATTTCAAAAAGAGAGGCCTTTGGTAATGCTCTTCCTTCCAACCAGCAGTTTTCTATGGTGCACAAACCACTCAGTGGAAGTGTTTTGGTTTAGAAAAGGAAGAACAGATGTTTCTATGCTGGACTGACAAGCTAATGGATTGCAATTCCAAGGTTGCATTAAGATTGCAAAGAAGACTTTGCAATCATATAGAGAAATAACTTGAAATTAAACAAAAAAAATAAATGCTTCACATCAGATGATGGTTATATAAAAGATTGAAGACAAAACATCCATCATCTAGTTTCACTGCATTTCCAGTTTTCCTGGGGCCAGTCGTATTTCCAATTTAGTCCATCAATTGTAAAATATACAACTAAGCTGGAATTCCAGCATTTTATTTTGAAGGATGAGAAGTCATACCTCTTGAATTCCAAGGTCAAATGTTTCCATTAAAATTGAAAGATAATCTGTATTAACATTAACAAGATGAGTGCTGCCTTGGTAACACTGTCGTAATAAACTTTACTGTTTTAAAGACTGATCCATCAGTACGGCTTTGCTTTTCCTTTTTTTCTTCTCCCTACCCTACTTTTCTTTTATTCTTTTTATTTTTTCTTCTCTTAAGCATACTTTTTTCCCTTCCATTTTCCATTTTGTCTCTTTCACATACATATCATCTATTTATCCAAGGGAGACATAGCTGGAAAACGTAGCAGAAGCTTGGCCAAGTTTTACTCCTTTTTGGACCCAAATCTAGTCCCCCAGAGGGTGATGCCGGGCCATGTCGGGAGGGAATGCTGCGCGAGTGGTTTAAAGAACTTGACAGCACTACCGATGTGTGATTCCAAATGAAAAGTTGTTTTTTTTTTTTTGAAACAACAGAATGCAAGTAGCCCCCACAGTTATTTTGGGGCATCACATGTAAATCACAAGCCTAATGGCAGGTCCCATTTGGCAGTAGCACAAACCTTGATAAAAATTTATTGTTATTTTTAAGAAATTGTTCCTCTGGACCGAAGTGTGACATTTAAGCTCGCATACTTAAATTGGTGACTGGATTCAAGTTTTATTTTATTTAAAAAAATCTTTAGTACTTTCCCACTCTTTCAGAGGTGATTTAGGCATTTAAATCAACATGAAAATGGATACTTATGAATTAAGAATGATGTGTTATAGTAAAAAAAAATGTTAGGTTTGGCTTTCCTGTCATTGGTCACAAACAGAATCATGTTTTAATTATTATTAAAAGGAAAGGAAAATATACCTTCATTTTCCCGAAATATGTGTTTCTGTCCTGTTTCCTACTAGGTTTTGATTTATGTCACTATAAATACACAGGGCATTTTAGAGATGTCATTTAATATTGCTCACTGAAAAAGTTAACATCTTTGAATAAATGGGGATAATTTTAGTTCCAGTTATTGAATTTTAGAATCCTATTAAGACATGGTGGAAGCATTGTTTATGGATATTTAATTTAGAGAAGTAAGAAAAATCTTAAACAGTAAAGTTGATAATGTTTTGTATACTGAATAAAGGACCTGTAGCCCTTGTAACCACTGTATGCATTCTCTAATTAATTATCAAAACTGTCAAAACATTGACAAAATTATTAAGTGGAAATGGAAGAACAATATTAAAAACAAAAATGATCTCTTCAGGCTACTTATTACATGAATTTTTAATTAATATATCAGGACAAAAATAGCTTCATGATGATTAAGAAGAAAAAAAGAAAGACATTTGCACTGAAGCATGGCAGATTACCAAATGGCTGAATATAGTAATACTCCTCCTTTGTCTAGTTTTTAATAGCTTAAAGATATTTCATATGTATATTTATCTGATGCTTATGGTAAGCAAATGTATTATTATTCCTGTTTTATAGAATGAGGTAGACTGATTAAAAGGTTGGACCAGACAGAAACAAAAAAAAGAGATACAACAGGTAATTAACACAGCAGAGGCGGGACTCCATACAAATACCCTCGCAATCGTACCGCCCATCCCAATATTATTACCCACAGGTGGATTACGAGAGGGAGGTAGAAATCTTTTTTGCAGAATCGAGACATTATCCAAACTGAACATATTTCGGAATTTTCTTCACTCTAATCTCCTAGACAGGTTGTATGACTTGATTTCCTCTCTTACTTATGGATCCATAAAACTTCAACAGCAGCCTCAGCTGGCCTCACTGAGCTTTTCAAAGTTTCAAATGGCATATCAAAATAAATAAAAGTTAGGATTATGATGTATGCTTAAGGATGGTCTCTAATCATCGCCTGATTTTATATGCTTTTGTGAACATTTCATACTGATAGTTCTAAATGCACATCCTAAAGAAAATGAAGATTTGATTCATAAGAAAAGCCTATAACCTTTTAGAATCACATAGAATCAGAGTATTTTTGGGAGAAAGAAAGGATAATAGAGATTCTGCTTTTCCATCTGAAAAAACTCAGACTCAGTCCAAGTTTCCCACCAAAGTGGCACAGCTCCATAATAGCAGAAATGTAACTAAAATCTCAGAAACTAAGGCCCAGAATACCATTCCATCACATTTCACCCCATGGGCTAGCACTGTGTAACTTCTCCAACATATATTGAATTTATGAATATAAATTGTGTTACCGTTTCTGACATATTCCTTTCCTTGTAACTTCTTGAAAAAAACTACATGGTGCCATTTCCATATATCTTAGGTAATCAAGCTTTACCTTTTTAAAGTTATAGTAATTTTTCACGGGATAAAAAGACTTTTTACAATTTAAATGTAGGAAGAAGTGTCACTTTGGGGACCCTGTCTTGCAGATGATAGGCATTTGGATTAGTATTTTCAGGATATGAGACTATAATGGCTCAATTTCAGTGCATGCCTGAGTTCCACGATAGAGCAATTTGACATGACTGCTTTTTAATCTTTCAGGACCTGGAAGATTTGATTAAAGCAAAAGAAAAGGAGGTAGAAAAAATTGAGCAGAATGGACTCGCTTTGATTCATGACAAGAAAGAAGAAGTCTCTGGCATTGTCAGGAGTACGCTGCAGGAGCTCAACCGAACCTGGGCAAATTTAGAACACATGGTAATACTGCTTGTAGAGACCTGGCTCCAAGATCATATTCACTATCTCATGTCCAAACATGACTTGGGTTTTAGTTTTCCCAAAATAACTGAGTAAAAAATTACAAAATCTACACATCACCTTCTTGTACAGGCAGACCTTGGTGATATGTGGGTTAGGTCCCAGGCCACCACAATACAGCGAGTATCACAAAAAAGCTAGTCCAATGAATTTTTTTGGTTTCCCAGTGCATATAAAAGTTACGTTTACACTATACTGTATGCTGTGAAGCATTCAACAGTATTAATAAAGCAATGTAAATATCTTAATTTAAAATCCTTTATTGCCAAAAAAATGTTAAACGTTTTTTGAAACCATGAAGCTCTGCACTCTCAGCAAAAGCCATAATCTTTTTCCTGGTTTTGATGGCTGTTGATCAGGGTGGTGGATACTGAAGGCAGGGGTGGCTGTGACAATTGCTTAATGTAGCCCAGCAATGAAGCACTCATGTGGTCACTGGAGGAGCACTTTAATTTCCTTCAAGAGCTTTTCCTTTGTATTCACAACTTGGCTAACTGGTGCAACAGGCTTAGCTTTTAGCCTATCTGGGCTTACCATATGCCTTTTTCACTAAGCTTAACCATTTCTACCTTTTGAGAGATGTGTGACTCTCCCTTTTACAGAAACACTTAGAGGCCATTGTAGGGTTATTAATTTTCCTAATTTCAGTATTGTTGTGTCAGGGAATAGGGAGGCATGAGGACATGGAGAGACTGGGAATGGCTGGTCAATGGAACCGTCAGACACACACATTTATGGATCAAGTTCGCTATCTTATTTGCGCCCGGTTCATGGCCCTCCAATTACAATAATAGCTTCAAAGATCACTGATCACAGATCACCATAACAACTATAATAATACTGAAAAGGTCTGAAAGATTGTGAGAATTACAATGTGACACAGAGACATGAGCTGAGCAAATACAGTTGGAAAAGTGGTGCCAATAGACTTGCTTAATGCAGGCTTGCCACAAACCTTCCATTTGCAAAAAAACACAGTATCAATGAAGCACTAAGTGAAGTGCAATAAAATAAGGTCTGCCTGTACTGTTAAGTCCATTTTATTAACCTCTTAAAAAAGTCTAGCTTTGGATGTTATCTATAATCAACATTATTATGAACATTACTTTCTTAATAATTTCATCAGTTCCCATGTCCATAGATATCATCTAGGCACAGACAATTTTCAAAGGTGTATCCCAAGCCTGGATTTCTCTCCTAAACTCTAGATAGAGACAGAGACAGGAGAGAAACTTACCCAGCTGTTGACATCTATCTAACTTATAGACATCTCCTCTTGTGTGACCTAAAGAATCTCAAACTTCCACGCCCCAATCAGCTCCAGTTCTTCCCCCACAAACCTATGCTTTTTGCCATCTCAATTAAGGACAGCTCTGTCCTGTTGCTTGGGTAGAAATCCATGGAGTCATTCTTCACCCCTCTCTTTCTTTCATAACCATCAAGTCCATCAGCAATCTTATCAGCCCTGTTTTCAGAATAGATCCAGAATCCAGCCTCTGCTCCATCTTTGCAGCTAGAATTTATGCCTGAGTCACCCTCCCTTGTGGCCTTGATTATTTCAGTGGCCTCCTCAATAGTCTCCATGCCAGCAATGTCCCGTTAGAACAGAAGTGAGATCACACTGGTCCTGTGCTCAAATACCCCAGTAGCTTCTTGTCTCAGTAATGAAACCAAAAACTGATGGGGGGCTAAAGGCCCACATGATCCAGCCTCCCACAGTCTGTCTGACCTCATCTGCTGCTGCTGTCCCACTTTGCTTCTGGTCTCCCCCAACTCTTGAACCCAACCAGCATGTTGCATACTGAGGGCCTATATGCTGGCTGCTCTCTCTGCCCAGAACACCCTCTCCCAAATATCCATGTGACTCATGCCCTCTCCTCAAAATCTTTGTTCAAATTCACAATCTCCATGAGGGCTTTCCTGACCGCCTTATTTTAAATGACAACTTCTGCATCCCCTCCCTGCACTCCCTAACTCTGTTCTCTGCTTTGCTGATATATTATTTATCAGCTTCTAACATAGGATATAGTCTGCTTGTCTGTTGAAATTTGTCTCACTACAACGTAAATTCTGTGAAGACATTTGATAAATATGCACTGGATAGATTGTTAACTCCTCCTGTGATAAGCATACGTGTAACAAATACTGCTGTGCACACACACGTGTTATTATCCACACTCTGCAGAGATGGGAGCTGAAGCACAAACAGATTAAGGGAACTGGGACCAGTGGCAGACAGCCAACAGCCTCTTACAGCCTGTCACGAGGTGACAGCTTCTCCAGGTGCAGCTTTCCAGCCTCTCTTTATCTTACCTTTAACCCAATTTTAAATTTATTTTATTGTGTGCGTTTTTATAGTTCATCACAGATCTTTGGAAACGATTTACCACATAAATAAAGTGGTTCTTTTATAAAAACATCTTCTCATGAAAAAGAAACTTTTATACAAAGAAAAAATAGACTCTAAAAATCCCCATTGATCTCCAGGCAGTATTTCCCATCTGTTCTGACTTTCGTAGGCTAGGTCCTGCCATCTGTCTGCACCTACAGACATTGCCTCATTTCTGAGGCAACACTTTCTAAGTCCTTTCCCCATTAGATGGTATCCTGATTGTTTTCACTATTTTTAATTTGTCTCATGAAGAAAAGCAGAGAATGCAAGTACAAATTAACTTATATGATCTATTTCCTTAATCATGGCCACACTTACTGCATATTCAAAAGATTACGTTTAGACAATTAGAGGTGACTGTCAGGAAGTCCAAAACAGGTACTTTTCTAAATGAAATGGACCAAACTTAAACTTAACTTTTCTGTTGCAGAAATATTGCAGAACATTCTTAGATGTTTTGTCGTAAGATATCATTTGAGTCTGTGTGTGTGTATATGTGCATGTGTGAGATAGATAGGTAGGTAAGTAGGTAAGGTAGGTAGGTAGGTAGATAGATTCATTTCCTGGGATCAGATTCTTTTCCTGGGATCAGACTGCCTAGGTTCAAATCTACATCTCTCACATTCCAACAGTATGAACTTAGGTGATTCGCATGACCTCTTTGTATTTCAGTTTCTTCATCTGTAAGTTGGGGATAATGAATATACATACCTACCTCATAAGGTTGTTATGAGTATTAAATGAATTTAAAACACTCATTTAATGTATTTCCTACCTGTGGTATTAAATATATTTACCTTTTATCAGGCTTATGTGTATAAAGCATGCATTTATATATTATATATAAACTTTTTATGTATATACTTATAGCCTTTCTATGCATTTTAATTTAGATTCAATGTTCAGAAGTATAAAAGGCATAAATTTCAACATTGCTGTCAATTCAATTTTTTTTCAGTTTATTTATAATGCCTGAAACCTGATGCAATTCTTAAATGTTAATGTTTTTTCATTAACTGAATATGCATTCCATCATTTTAAATATTACACAGTTAGAAGAATGTCTGTCTCTTTGAAAAGGTTGGGCAATTAAAGATACTGTTGAAGTCAGTGCTTAACCAATGGAGCGATCACAAAGTGGCCTTTGATGAGATAAACAGTTACCTCATGGGGGCCAGATACTCTCTTTCCCGATTCCGCCTGCTGACTGGCTCTTTGGAAGCTGTGCAAGTTCAGGTAGACAATCTTCAGGTAAGGAATGAATTTAACCCATCCTTAATATTGTTTTTAATTTGAGAAAATTAAAAAAATCAACAAATGCGAGCACCATCCTGGAATATTGCTGTGTATTGTTTGCATTTAATTACTTAAAACTATTTAAAATCAAATTTACCTGCTTTATTTGTTACTTAATCAGACTTGCTTGTGGGTATCAAATTCTGAACTAGCTAGTATATAAACTAAATGGTTTTTAAAATTCTATTATCAAAATAGCCACACAAATGTATTTTAGAAAATAATTTTTCCCTAAATCAACCTCTTTGATCCATTGTCGCTGCCTTTTTATCTTCCCTTTCTCTTGTTATCCTGCTTTTCCAAGCATATTCTAAGGGATTAAAAAGAAAACAAAGAGAAAAGTAGCAAAAGTGGTAAATTTTCATACTATTAAGCTGGTTTCTTTTCATTCAGTATAATATCGGTGGGTCTACCCAGCATGTACACATTATAGTCTTTCTAGCACTTATTGCTTGGTCCCCTGTGTGTCCATTCTGTGTGCATCTAGAATGACATTGCTGCTGTTTGACTTAAACACAGCATTCTCTGCGATCTCAGGTCACTGCCCTCAAATGAGCTGCTGCCCTCACTCCCCTGCACACCTGGGCACTGGGCACTCACCTGTGGCTGCCCTTTCTCCCCAGCTAAATCACGCAGACAATGGGATGGGCAGGGTGGCCTCTGAGGGATGGGAAGCCAGCAAGAGCCCAGCATGTACTCTACTTACATCAGTCCACTCCCTGGCTTGGCAATCAAGAGTTATATGTTGCTGACTTCTTATGCAGAGACTTTCTGCAGGGAATGCCTTTTTAGGGGGTGGGGCAGGAGGTAGGAAGAATAAATTATATATATAAAGTCTTTAAACCATAAATACTTGTGGATACTAAGAACTACTAAAACTTACTATTTTGAGAATAATAAGTTTAAAAGCATATTTTATAACTTTGAGGAGATTAGAAGTACTTTTTAATTTAGCCTGTTCTCTCTTTAATACCTGAGGACGCTGTTTTAACATACAAAATGATTCAGGGTCTCATCCTTGCGTATTTTGATTTGATGACAATCAGATATTGGTGTTAAATAGAACTGGATTTTTGTAACCCACTTTACCTTGGGGTTTTACTAACAGTCACTTCAGCAATATTTCTAGGGAAATATCTTAAGGTTTCCTTCATTGGTCCTTGGTGGAAGACGCTGACAAACTTATAGCTGTCTAATAAATATTCTTCTCAAGGAAGAACATCCAGAGATGGTACTCAGAGAAGCCGTGACTTCTTAAATTGTCAGGTAGTTTCTAGGTACATAATAAAATAAAGACCTGGGTCTTGACTTTGAACCGCAAAGATAGATTGCATGCATACCACTGTCATAGTTTCCTACTAGGTGATGGACAAGAACACCCTGTGTGAGCTTTTCCAGCAGAATTCCGGATGCCACTATAAGAAGGCTTAGTTGTTAAGGATTGCTTCTCACACTCATAAGAACAAAATCATAAAAAAGTAAAAATGATTATCTAAAGAAAGCTTATAAAGCGTTGGAGCAAAGGCATGATTTACGTATTTGTGTGTGCATATTTATGAAAATGGCTACAATTACTTTTAAACGTGATTGTTAGAATTTAGATCCTGTCATGTCATCTGTGGCGCTTTTTCTTTTGGTAGAATCTTCAAGACGATCTAGAAAAACAGGAAAAGAACTTACAGGAATTTGGCTCTGTTACCAACCAACTGTTAAAAGAGTGCCACCCACCTGTGATAGAAACTCTTACTAATACACTCAAAGAAATCAATATGAGGTATGGAACATGCTAATTTTATACTGCTATGCATTATTTATATCACAACCTTATTATAAACAATGATAGAATTAAAACTTGCTGACATGTTGAATTTGAGCTGTATATGTGTAGATACTATTAATGTTTTAAGTAATAAAGGATAATAGTGAAGATAGTTAGAAAGAAATGAGAACCACTAAAATACCCAAAGATTGACCTCTTTCCTATTAGCTACCTTTGAAATATGAGTGGACAATGTTACTTTTTATTATGTTAAATAGAAATGAGACATCCCCTCATTATTTCCATATTCACATGAACCAGGATCATGAAAAATAAAATAGTAAATAACCGCGTTGGGTAAGAGGTGATCATCTGTCCATGAGTGTTGGCTATTGTTTCCAGATGGAATAACTTGCTGGAAGAGATTGCTGAGCAGCTGCACTCCAGCAAGGCCCTCCTTCAACTTTGGCAGAGACACAAGGACTACTCCAAACAGTGCACTGCTACAGTTCAGCAGCAGGAGGACCGAACCAATGAGCTCTTGAAGGCAGCCACTAACAAGGACATTGCTGATGACGAAGTTGCTACGTGGATTCAGGATTGCAATGTATGTCAGGAAGTTGGGTGAGACTTTGCAAGTTTAGCAGGACTAGTACTGATGTGTGTGGGCTTTTGGTATGTCTCAGTGTGTGAGACAGCTGCCTAAATGTTTTAAGTATCAAACAGCCTGCTAGGTTTTCAGAACACAGTTGCCCATGTGTCAGATTTAAGAGGCCCCTCCCACTGTTTCATTTTTTAAAGATGAGTTGTTTTCCCATTTTCCTAATGTGAAAGTTTAGGCTACTAGTTTTTACAAAGATGGGCAATGAATGATCAGACAGAGAATGATGTATGGCTTTTAAAAATTCACTGTTAAAGGCATTGTCCATTTAGGCCCGTTATCTCTTATGTGAGCATCAGTGCAATGATTTCTTCTAAGAATTTAGTGATAGAAAGAAGTCCTTCCTGATTTACTGGCATACTCCTTTTTAATAGCTTTTTAATATTTCTCTTTTCCACTGTAGCTGCCAATAACCTACTTAAGGTTTTCAAGAGCAGATCTCATGTTTCACCCATTATCTGACTCTTATTATTTGTCTTTGTCTTTATTTTAATGAACTTGTTTCAAGGATGTGTTATTAACTTTCCCAAATCAGTGTATTAGAATTAGGCAATGAATAAAAGCACATAAATAAAAGTTTAACATATTCTAATACCTTCACATGAATAAGGATCATTTTAAAGCTAAAGTTTAATATTTATAGTAAAGATAATTAATTGCTTTTTTTAATCCTGCCATATAGTTTATGCTTACAAAGTGTATCATTTTTTATTTTCAATCTCCTGAGTCGATAACCTGTTCTAGAGTGTTGTGCTTCAGATTATTTCTGTGAATTTGTCTGAGATTGATGTCAAGGTCAAAAATGCCCCTTATTTTTCTCCCCCTCCCAGTAGCCACTGTAGGCACAGCAGGCTCTGCTCTTTTCGCTATGTCTGGTGGGGCACCCGCTGAACAGATAGAAGAACAAGTCATTTGTTCTCTCTTAGTGGCAGATGGAAACCAAAAACAGGGGCTTTCCACTGACATGGAATTTTGACCATATAAGAGAGTCCCACAAAAAGTAGGGGCAAGAGAGGCCATGGAAAAGAGGGGTGATAGAGTCTACTTATAGCCCCGCTCTCCCGAGCCATGGCTAGGCGGCTACACCCCGCCGAGTAGGAGGGGCTGCTGTAACCACTGTAACGTGATCACCCTTACAGGAGATATTGTTGACAAACTCATTCCTTGTGTGTAAAATACAAAGTAGGAAAAGGTAAAATGTAGCACAGTGTTTTAGATTTCATATCAACTTACATGAAGAGGCAGAAAAAAAATCTGCCAGAATGTTTGCAGTTACTGGCTCTACTTGTAGGTAACGTTTTTTTCTTATTTTTTCTTGTTTGTGTATGTTTTCTGCATTTCCCTGGTGTTCTAGGCACCTGTGAGGCTTTCGTTAACAGAATAGTACATGTATTTTTAAAATGTTAATGGACACGCGTATTTTAACAAATTGGATTCAATTCTTGATTTTTTTCTTCTGCAGATGAAGAGTTAGTGTAATAATTTGACAAATAGAAATTGAGCATTTCTAGATGTGTGACCGGTGGCTGATGTTGAAAGAGTACCCTTAACGTGTTCCTTCCTGATGGGCATGTTTTCGTCTTCTCTAGGACCTCCTCAAAGGCCTGGGGACTGTTAAGGATTCCCTTTTTGTTCTCCATGAGCTGGGGGAGCAACTCAAGCAACAAGTGGATGCTTCAGCAGCAGCAGCCATTCAATCTGATCAGCTCTCTTTGAATCAGCACATATGCGCCCTCGAACAGGCTCTCTGCAAACAGCAGTCTCTGTTGCAGGTACAGAGCTCATATTCAGTGTGTGTTATAAATATGGTATTATATAATATCAGGGCCTAAGCACAGGAAAGAAGAATTTTTCCCCATTGCGAAAATGTGTCATTCAAAGCCAAGGAATTAAAATAAACAAACCTGGCAGTTGCAGTGGGAACAAGGGAAAGGTGGGAGTTTTGCACTGTTCTTTACAATGTAATTTTGCCCCCTAACCAATGCCTCTTTTCATGGTACTGAGCAAAATATGTACAGTTAATAAACATGAAGTGGCTTTAACATTAACATTTATAGCTTATAAAGCTTTTGCAAGAAACAGAGCATATTTATGTTTGATAATGTATTTTAAAAATATTTTAATTTGTTCATTAATGTTACATAGGAATAATGCTAAGTTTTAGAAGTTACATTAATAAAGAGAAGAAAATTTAAATCATGTAGCCTTGTTTCTATAGGAGTGGCATCTTGTGTATAGCAATTTGACACAAGATTATGAAAAATAATTTCATTAGCCAATTGCCCTTTCACTAGATTTCTAAAATATCACTTTTCTTTTGTGGAAAAAAAAAGGCTGGTGTTCTCGACTATGAAACCTTTACCAAGAGTTTAGAAGTTTTAGAGGCCTGGATAGTAGAAGCTGAAGAAATACTCCAAGGGCAGGACCCTAGCCATTCATCTGACCTCTCCACCATCCAAGAGCGGATGGAAGAACTCAAGGTAAGTGTGTTCATCTGGTAGACACAGATCGTCTTCTATCTTCCGTCCTCAGAATCTTAAGGACAACTCAGAACTCCTTAAGGAAAACATAAATCTACTTTCTGTTCTGAACTCTCAAGGAAATTCCTGTTAGTGCTGTCTTCCTGCTCTCCTGAGGAGTGAACTGGGGCAATGACCAGGAGCTGATTTCATTGCCCCTGATGTGAGCCCAGCCAGGAGCAGTTGTAGGATTCCACCTCACTCCTCCTCCTCCCTACTGCTAGTCCCTCCCCGTGCCCTGCTGGTCACCTCCTTCAAAGCTGCTGAGCCTCCCATCTCCTTCTCTGCCATCATCCACTCCTAGCTCAGGCTTCCTCGTCTCTCTGCAACAGCCTCCACGGACCTCCTTGCAGCCTCCCCCTCGCCCCCACAACCCACAGTTGCCAGAATGACCTTTTTCTTCCAGAGGGTTTTAACCTAATTATGAGCTATTTTAAACATTCAGTAAAGTTAAAAAATAATAAAGCAGACATACAAATTTTATCATGTCATTCCTCTGCTTAAACCCCTCTGTGGGTTCCCACTGCCATCAGGGTAAAGATCATTGTGGATCATCAGGCGCCGCACAGCCTGGCTTCCACCTTCCCGAGTGTCTTCTTCACCACCGTCCATCTCGTCTCCCAGCCACTCGCAAGCCATGGCGCTTCCCTGCGTCTGTGTGCGTGATGTTCCCCTTTCTGGAATTCTTTCCTTGTCCCCACCAACTCCCTCCCCGCCAAAAGGAACAAACTCCTGGTCATTTTATTCAATGTTACTGTCTTAGGAAACCTCCATTTCTGTGCATGGTCAGGCTCCTCAGTGACACACTTTCACCGCATGCTCTTCTTTCTCTTCAATGTTTCAGCAGACCGTTTAATTATACTCTTGTGATTAGGTGATGACTATTGTCTTCTCTGCTATTGGAATAGTATCTACTTTCTGTAAGCACCATGAGAAGGGCTGTCATTTCAGTTTTGTTCACTGCTGATGTCTACCCATCTATGTTATGCTTTTGGCTTCCACAATCAGAAATATTTATTCTTTCTTTAGGATAATGAGCCTTTTGCAGAGCATGCAAAGAGAAAATACACACAACCAAAGGTGCCCTGCCATTTTCTCCTTCCTCTAACCAGTTCCCTAGATGGAGTTGCAAAGGTTCATGGGAAAACCACAACAGACAGCTTTGTCCTGTGTTTGAAGGGAGAAAAGTGATTTGAAAGCATAGACCTCTTTCTCAGTTGAGTTGCACCAACTTTGGGGTTGGGGTCAAGGACTTAAAGCTTTTAAGATAGTGTGTGGTGATTTCAAATCTCAAGTGAGATTGGATTTCATCAAGCAAGGACTGCAAAACTCTTGTTCACCTTGCTATTCCACACACTTGCTCGGTGGCTTTGAGCAATTTACTTAAAGTTCCTGTGCCCCTTTTTCTTCATTATAAAGTGGGAATAGTAGCAGTACTTACCTGATGGGACTGTTTTGAGAATGAAATGTGTTATTACCTATAAAGCCTTATAATATGCTTGGTTCATAATAAGTACTCAATAAATGTTAACTATGCCATTATAACTATTATTATTATTAAGTAACAAAGGACCAGATTAGCATGGATAAATAAAACATAAAGGCCAAGAAACAAGCCTTTTCAGTTGTCAGCATAATTTCATCCTTTAACAGTTCTATCAAGAATTACTTATGAGTAAATAAATCAAGTAAAAACACGAACAACTAAATGTTCTATAAAAGAGAGTGAGTAGCTATAGCAACAATAGTGCAGCAGCAGTAGGAACTGATTAGGAGATGCAGCTCTTTTTGAAGCCCTGGAGAATGTGAGTAAGTGGCCTAGAAGTGCATAGGAGACCAAAGACCAGCTTCTTCCTGCCATCAGAAGTTCACCAAGCATTTTGAAAGAGCTCTGCCTTTTCTGACCATAGTGATGAACCTGCTTTTAAATCTTGCTTTCAGGGACAAATGTTAAAATTCAGCAGCATGGCTCCAGACTTAGACCGTCTCAATGAGCTTGGATATAGGTTACCCCTAAATGATAAGGAAATCAAAAGGGTGCAGAGTCTGAACCGGCACTGGTCTCTGATCTCCTCGCAGACTACAGAAAGATTCAGGTAGAGTAACCCAGAGATGTTTTGGCAGCTTTTATGTATCAGTAGAAATAAGTTCATGATTTGTGTGTATTTATAAATTCTAGGTCTTTCCAGCTAAAAGTGGGAGAAACTCATATTGTCAATTAGGTTTCCATATTTGATGTACTGTTGTTTTATTGATATAACAAACTCTTTTACATAAGAATACATTAAAGATACATATATAAGTTTATCATTTTTAAAACTTACTATGACAATTTCTTTTTCCTTCAGTTATTCTCTTGTAAATTTTATTCTTTTAAAATTTTAGGACCTAACATGTAAGCTTTTGGTGGTCACATTAGAATTGGAGGCAGAGAACATGTAATCTAATGTCATATGCTATATTTGATCTAGTTTTATACACTAAAGATATAATACATAGTGACAACATAACCATTATCTTTTTCCTTTGTTGTGTCAGTAAATTGCAGTCATTTTTACTACAACATCAGACTTTCCTGGAAAAATGTGAAACATGGATGGAATTCCTGGTTCAAACAGAACAAAAATTAGCAGTAGAGATTTCAGGCAATTATCAGCATCTTTTGGAACAGCAGAGAGCACATGAGGTAAGTTATGCCAATAGGTTTTGGGGTAATAAAATAGTTTAAAATCTTTGGAAGATGACACAAGATGCCACATGGAGGAATTAAAGTGCTCTGTCTTGTGCCATGTCTGCTCAAATGCATGCATTATTTCTGCCTTCTTTCTTAAGTTGGAGGTTCTGATATCTTAATTACAAAGTATGGTCCAGGGCTTTGCTCCATAGTGGGTTATAAGCATGTGGCAGGCTTCAATACCCTGCAATTCATACTGCCAGAATCATGGGGAAAATCTACCAATAGGGTCATGGGGAGGGGAATATATTAGGAAATCAAGCTACCAAGTATCTCCAAGTGTAATGTTTTGATTAAATTGCATTAAATTATTTCTGAAGAAATACTAAAAGACAACTAGATACAAAAAGCAAATTAACTAATTTGCTATTAGTCTCTATTTTACTACTTGTTGGTGTAACTAAGTTGCTCTGTATATTTGTGCAACATACACAAATGGGGAGAGAGAGAGCATTTACCTAAAATCAAAGAAAAGCTTAATGCAGAACTTAAAAGAAAATGAGATTAATTTTGAAGCACTTAGTTTGGATTTTAAAAATAGAGATTTTAAATGTGTAAGGTCTTTTAAGTCCAGTTTTATTAAGTTAACTGATAATGAAATCAAAGACAATCCAAACTACAATATCACTTCATACCCACTAGGATGGCTACAATGAACAACATAACAAGTGTTGAGGGTATAGAGAAATTGGAATCCTCATACACTGCTGGTGAAACTGCTTTGGAAAATAGTTTGGCAGTTACTCAAAATGTTAAACGTAGAGTTATCATATGACCCATTAGTTCCATTCCTAGGTATATACCCAAGAGAAATAAAAATATGTGTCTACACGAAAGCTTGACAATAATATTGTTTGTAGTGGCATTATTCATAATAGCCAAAGAGTGGAAACAACCCAAATATCAATCAATTGATGGATGAATAAATAAAAGGTGGTAGATCTAAACAATGAACTGCTATTCAGCAATCAAAAGGAGGAGGGTACTGATTCACAGTGCAACATGGATCAACCTTGAAAACATTATGCTAAGAGGAAAGAAGCCAGTCACAAAAGACAGTACATTGCATTGATTCCGTTTACATGAAATGTCGAAAATAGGCAAATCTATAGAGAAAGAAAATAGATTAGTGGTTACCTAGATCTAGGGGGTTGGGAGGAAATGGAGTGAATGCTGTTGAGCATGGAGTATTTGAGGGGATAACGGTCTATGTGGTGTGGTGTTGGATAATGACTGTGGTGATGGTTGCACAGATCTATACATATAATTAAAGTCATTTAATTATACACTTTAAATAGGTGAATTGTATGGTATGTGAATTATATCTCAATAAGGCTGTAAAAAACAATGGAAATAATTTGAAAGACTTCCTGTTGAGTGTTTTAGTAGTGCAGTAATTTCATTAACCAAATTAAATTGAAAAACAGTGAATTCAAAAATAAAGTGTGCTTTATTTCAATTCTTAAACTTTTTAAAAAGTCTTAAGCTACTCTCTTTCTGAATATAGGCCATTTTCTGCATACAAAATAAACCAGAATACAGATTTGTGTTAACTAGCTTTAATACTGATTTTGAAAGAAAGAAGGAAACGTAATTATACATTTAGTCAGGTTTGGTAAGCAAAAACTAAACTTTATGTATACCTTAATTGATTGTTTAAAAATACATTATTCCTACCCTGCAGGATTTCATATATATCCTGATTTAACTGACGATATTTTTCATAGCCTTGATAAAACTACCATTTTTGGAAATTATTACAGACCTGTTCATTAAAATTTGGAACTCTGAAATATGTTCTTTTTCTTTTTTTTTTTTTAATGATAGTTGTTTCAAGCAGAGATGTTCAGCCGTCAGCAGATTTTGCACTCGATCATTATTGATGGGCAGCATCTTCTAGAACAAGGTCAAGTTGATGACAGGTAGGATCTTTGATATGATATTATAAAGAAAGGTTCCAGTAAATTAGTCATTTTCTTTTTAATGAGCAGATTAGAGGGCACATATCCAATCTTCCTAAGGCAATTGTACAGCAGCAGAGCCTCAGTAATTGGAGGAAAAGCTTGTCTGAATCTCTGAAATGACTGAGCATTGAATCTTTTTTAAGAACTGCTATTATATTATATGAAGGACATAGAGTAATTGGAAATCACCTGGCCAACCTTCTCTAGTTGTCTGTAGGAGACTGGAATTAATAAAGAGATCAGAATGAATCATATTGATGATGTATCAGTGGTTTATAAACAGATGCTTCTAATATTCTCAGACAATTATAGAAATTTTATTCCTCAAAGAAAACACAGAGATCTCTAAAACATCTCTCTTACTTATAGATGAAAACTTAAGGCCCAGAAATGAGAACTAATTTGACCAAGGTCATGTAAGTAAGTAACAGCCAAATCAAGCCTAGACCACATGTCTAGTTTCTAGTCAGGACCAGCCAACCTTTCCACACCATGATAATTCCTGTGTGTTTGAACATGGTTTGCTACCTTAAGTCTATTTACACTCAACCTGATATTTTGCTTCCTCTTCATTTACTTAGCAGACTATCTCTTTATTAAAAATGCAGAAGTAAAATCTAGCTCCTCTTTAGATTTATGGTATGTGAATTGATGATTTGCACTATATTTACATTTTCTAGGAATAATTTGTATTCTATTCCATCTACTTTCTGTGGTCACATTTGAAGTATAAATATCATTTCTTTTTTTAATGTACATCTTTCCTATATTTGGGCCCGTAGTTGTGGTTATGATTATTATTTTTAAAAATAGAAAATATCTTTGCTTTTATTAAGAAGTTTTTTTTTTACTGTTTTGGAAACCATTCCAATTTTAAGTGAATATTTCTTTGGAAATACATGAAAGATTTTCATTTTTAAACTTGGAACGACAAAATGTGATACCATATTTATTCTACTCCAAGTAAGCCAAACTTATATGTGAGATTTATGGAGAATTTAAACCTTCAAAACAACCAATTCAAATGCAGTTAAATTACCTTTTGCCTTATATGCTTTTAGCTAACTCTATAACAGTATTATAAAAGTTGGAGTCATTAAATAAGATAAAACTTGAAATTCAGACACAAGCCAACATCTATTAAATTTTAGATGTTAAGGAAAAACACCAAACTGAAAATGAGAGGGTTGGCCCCCAGGATAATTGTGGAAGTTAGAAGTGAAAAAAAAAAAAAATATCCAGATTAGAGCATGTTGGTGATTGGATTACAAAAGTGTTATGTTTTAAAGGTTCATTAAAGGTTGTTTTTTAGAGTTCAAGTTGAGCAGTGGGAACAGTATCATGTTTTCAGTAGTTCCTAATGCTGGCAGGTAGCTCAGGACAGCTCAGGTCTACAAAGTTGAGGGGGACAGCTCCCCAAATCCTGGATGGTTACCTAATAGGGAAGCAATATGTAGGCACTTTTCACGTTCCAGGACATACTCAAGGCCTGGGGTTATATGTTTTCAGAGATGATAGATGAGCTTGTAACTTTTAGGGAAGTCTCATAACCCTAAGTCATACTGCAGTTAGATTATAAATATCAGAATTCCCTTTTAAAATCTGAAGCAGTAATAACACATTTGGCTACAAAAATCAAAGTCATAGTGGCCCTAGATAATAGGGGGTATCAAGAATATAGGAGGCCCGAATAATAAGTCCAAGTCATATTTGAAGTGACTCTCAAGAGAGAATAGTTTTATCTAGGGAAGCAAAGCAAAAAACTAATAAAATAGAAAAAAACAAGTACTGTTACACTTTAGCAGTCAAATGTGTAAATAACATTGTAATATACAAAGAATCTCATTCCATTTGATACTGCACAAACCAGTGAGCCCCCAAGTTGAATGTTAAAGAAAACTGAATGAAGAACTACCAACCTTTTCAAAGGTAGGAAGAATGAACTAAAAGATCTTAGATAATTTAGAAATTGAGAAAGTTTAAGTAAAATTTACTTTCTCTAAGTAAATGGACAACTTTATTTAGACAGTGATGACTAGATTGTTTTCACTTTTTAAGAATAAAGCAACGTGGGCTTAAAATGTAGAAGGGACAATGTAGGTTAATCGGTGGGATAATTTGTTTAAGATTAGGGTTGTTTATTTTGATGGGAGTACTGACGGTTTGTGAAGTACAGTTCAAAAAAGACATTTAAAAATAACAAGTTTATTTAAGTGGTTTATGATAGCTATTGCTGAGTTCATCCAAAGTGGTTTATAATCTAGCAGAAGACAGAGGTTGTAAATAAGCTTTGGTCCTCATTTTCTCCTGCTCTAGCGCACACGAGATGCTGTCGCCTGTGGCAGACCCTGCCGTTGCATCTGTGGCCCTTTGCTCCCTCCCCTCCCATGCACTCAGGCAGAAAATAAGTGACAATGGTCTTACAGAAATTACTTCAGCCTGTGCTGAGACATAAAAACACTCACTGCTTGCAAACACCAATAGTTTAACTGTTAATAATTCCTCAAATTACTAACAACTGACCTGACAACAGATCATGGCATCATATTTGAAAATCTCTGCACGAGATCACTTCTCTGAGCTCACACTCATTGGATGATTGTGTAACTACATCCAGGATAACAGTGTTTTTCCCCTGTGTAACTGTTTTGCCAGGGATGAATTCAACCTGAAGTTGACACTTCTCAGTAATCAGTGGCAGGGAGTGATTCGCAGGGCCCAGCAGAGGAGGGGCATCATCGACAGCCAGATTCACCAGTGGCAGCGCTATAGGGAGATGGCAGAAAAGCTTCGGAAATGGTTGGTTGAAGTGTCCTATCTACCCACGAGTGGTCTCGGAAGTGTCCCAATACCACTGCAACAAGCAAGGAACCTCTTTGATGAAGTGCAGGTAAAGTGCAAGACATGCTGTTTGTAAACCTCTTCTACATTTCCACTGCACACTTTACCCCAGCCTCAATTCTTCAGAAGGATTCTAGAGTGACACTGGAATGAGGACAAGCATTATTCTCAGATGTCAACAGAAATATATAAAATGATTGCATTACAAAGTCCCTTTTTAATGATGATGGTATGGAAAGTCCCAGCCTTTCTCAAAGGCTCCATCCACTTCACAGGCCTCTCAGCAGCTCACTGAATCCCAGCATGGATGGAAACGCAATGGAAAGGGAGGAAAAGTTCGCATTGATTATATACATTTTACTCACAAGCAATTTAATCATGTAACAACTATTCTAGTAAAGATAAAAGGCTCAGTCCTGTTTGAGCTCTTAACCCCTTGCTTTCACCAGCCTGGGGATGGGGAACTCCAGCCTCTGAGATGGGTACCTCATCACGCTCTGCTCGGCCCTTCAGTGTAGATCGTGGGGCCCTCTTCCTTTGATGGTCACATCCTCTGCTTCCTTCCCCGCCTCACTTCTCTGGGAGAGGCTTCAACTACCCCTCACCAGCAGAGAAGGGCTAAATTAACATCTGGTCAAATTCACCTCCTGAACTTTTCATCCATGTATTCAGCTGCCTTTTAGATTTACATCTGTGTGTATCACCAATGCAGTGTGTGTCTGCATGAGTCCGTGGAGCCTGTGATCTCTGGACCAATCCTTCTGGATTAGTCCTTTCCCATGTCCCCAGTCTGAGGGAATATTACCACCAGCTGGCTGCTCTATCTGTCAGGGGTCTAGAGTCATTCTAGAGCTTTGCTTTACTCTTTCTCACCTTCCCCATATCTAAAATGCCTCAGGTTTCCAGCCCTACTGCTACTACCTTAGATTAGGTGCTAATGATTTCTTGCCTAGATAGATAGGAGCTTCCTAACCTTAGTATGTCTAATATATGCCCTTCTTCCATTCCATTTTTCCACTTTCTTCCCTATTGCTGAGTGCTTTAATCCATATACTTTACTTCCCTGCTTAACATTCTTATGCGAACCTGGGCCACTTTTACTATAAAAACCAAATTCCTATGGAAGGCATGGTCTTGCCTCATCTTGTACCACTCTTTTATGTGCATTCTATTTTCCAGCTCCCAAAAACTATGTCCAGTATCCTGAATTCACTATATTTAACTTGTATAGTGAATTTGCCCGTCCTCATTTTTCTGTGCGGTGGAAGGCATCATCTCCCTGACTCCTGGCCCTCATCACACCAGGTCCTTCTTATTAATCTGGTTTTGTTCACATGCTTTTCAAAATTCATGAAGCCTTTAACACTTTGGAGAATCCTCTCTGTACGTCCCATGTGGATTAGAGATTTGAGCACTGGTCTTGGATTTAGGTAGTTTGTATCCAGTAAACATCACAAATGCTTTCTGCAGAGGAGTAAAAAGATGTCATAAATCTTGAAAAAAGTAACAGTGTTTCCTGTGCATCAATCTTATAGAACAATTTGCATATTGCATTGTGACTGTATTTAACTTGGGGACAGAAACTAAGCCTCTCCCTGTTGAATGATCATTCATCTATACATTGCTTCATTCATGCACAAAGTAGTAGTTCAGTAAATGCTTGATGGATAAAAGAGGGCATGTTATGTATGCAAAAATTTAGAGTTACTTATTCAGTTTATCTTGTAGATTCCACATCTAAGTGAAATCATATGGCATTTCTTTTTCTGTCTGACTTACTTCACTTAGCATAATAGTCTATAGATACATCCATGTTGTCATAAATGATAAGATTTCATCCTGAGTAAATTCCATTCTATATTTGTACCACATCTTTTTGATCCAGTCATCTATCAGTAGACATTTAAGTTGCTTCCATATTTTAATGATTATAAATAATGCTGTGAAAAACATGAGAGTGTATATATATCAAGTTATATCAAGTTAGTGATTCTGTTTCTTCAGGAAAATTCCCAGAGGTAGAATTGTTGGATGGTATGGTATTTCTATCTTTAGTTTTTTTGAGAAACCTCAGTACTGCTTTCCATAATGGCTGTACCAGTTTAAAATGCCACAGCAGTATGCGAGTGTTCCCTTTTCTCCACATCCTTGCCAACACTTGTTATTTCTCGTCTTGTTGATATTAACCACTCTTGACGGGTACGAGATGGTATCTCATTATGGTTTTGATTTGCATTTCCCTGATGATTAGTGATGTTGAGCATCTTTTCATATGTCTGTTGGACATCAGTATGTCTTCTTTGTAAAAATGTCTATTCAGGTTCTCTGCCCATTTTTTAATTGGATTATTTTGGTTGTTTTGTTTTTGGTTTTGTTTTGGTGTTGAGTTGTATGAGTTCTTCATGTATTTTGGATATTAGCCCCTATTGGATATATCATTTTCAAATATATTCTACACAGTAGGCTGCCTTTTCATATCTTTTTTTCTTTGATGATTTCCTTTGCTGTGCAGATGGTTTTTAGTATAATGTAGTCCCATTTGATTGTTTTTGCTTTTGTTTCCCTTGCCTGGGAAGATATATCCAGAAAGAAATAATTAATGCTGGTGTTTAAGAATGTAATGCCTTTGTTTTCTTCTAGGAGTTTTATTGTGTCAGGTCTTATATTTAGGTCTTTAATTCATTTCAGGTCTATTTTTGTGTTTGGTGTAAGCCAGTTTCATTCTTTTGCATGTAGCTGTCCAGTTTCTCCAGCACCATTTATTGAAAAGATTGTCTTTTCTCCATTGTATATTCCTGCCTCCTTTGTCATGTATTAGTCAACCATATAGGCATTTGGAAAAAGCGTTTATTTCTGGTCCCTCTGTTGCTCTGTTCCATTGACCTATGTATCTGTTCTTATGCTAGTACCATACTGTTTTGATTACTGTAGTTTTTGTGGAATAGTTTGAAATCAGGGAGTGTGGTATTCCCTGTTTATCTTTCGTAAGACTGCTTTGGATATTCAGGGTCTTTCGTAGTTCCATACAAATTTTAAAATTATTTGCCTTAGTGCTGTGAAAAATGCCATTAATATTTTGATAGGGATTGTATTGAATCTGTAAATTGCTTTGGGCAAAATGGCCAATTTTAACAATAATAATTCTTCCTATCCATGAGCATGGAATATCTTTCCATTTTTTTTGTGTCTTTTTCAGTTTCTTTCATCAATGTCTTAGTTTTCAGAGTACAGGTCTTTTACTTCTTTGGTTAGACTTATTCCTAGGCATTTTATCCTTTTTGATACAATTATAAATGAGATTGATTTCTTAATTTCTCTTTCTGTTAGTTTGTCATTTGTATACAGGAATGCAACAGATTTCTGTGTATTGATTTTGTATCCTGTGATTTTACTGAAATCATGTATTCTAATAGTTTTTTAGTGGAGTCTTTAGGGTTTTCTGTACATAGTATCATGTCAACTGCAGCTAATGACAATTTTACTCTTTCCTTACCAGTTTGGATGATTTTTATTTCTTTTTCTTATCTGATTGCTATGGCTAGGCTTCCAGTACTATGTTGAATATAAATGGTGAAAGTGGACATCCTTGTCTTATTTGTATCTCTAGAGGAAAAACTTTCAGGTTTTGCCATTGAGTATGATGTTAGCTGTGAGTCTGTCATATACGGCTTTTATTATATTGAGATATGTTCCCTCTACACCCACTTTGTTGAGTTTTTTATCGTGAATCAATGCTAAATTTTGTCAAATGCTTTTTTAGCATCTGTTGAGATGATCATATGGTTTTTATCTTTCCTTTTGTTAATGTGGTATATCATTTTGACTGATTTGCAGATATTGAACCATCGCAATGGTTATTTAAAAACACTTATAATAGGGAAATATTGAAAAAAAGGATTGAGAAATTAAAAAGCTGTGGTTCCTTTTAGTTCAAAGAAAAAGTGTTCCTGCGACAGCAAGGCAGCTACATCCTAACCGTGGAGGCTGGCAAGCAGCTCCTGCTCTCTGCTGACAATGGGGCCGAGGCTGCCTTGCAAGCTGAGCTCACTGAAATCCAAGAGAAATGGAAATCAGCCAGTATATGTCTGGAAGAACAGAAGAAAAAACTGGCCTTCTTGTTGAAAGTAAGTTCAACTCTTCCCTCCTGTATTCGTAATGCAATTTAGGAAGCCCTTTTAATAGTTGAGCTGTTCCCACTGTTGTCTTGCAAATCTAGTAATAGAAAGTCATTGTCATCCCTGCCATATCTTGACCCCCTATGTCTTTTTTAAGACTTTGTCCTGCCTTGCATGAACTGGAAAATTTCTCAGTTTTCAGCAGTTTGTCTTCCAGGAAAATTCCCCAGCAAAGTAATTTTAAGTCTAGTAAGACCATCCAAGTGATGAGTTCTGATTAATGGTCAGTGCTAAGCCTGGAGCCATGTTATGACTTTATAAATTCAGACAAGAATTTGAAGAGTAGACTCCACTCGCTAATCTAAGGCTCTAAAGTGGTTTTTAAGATTGGTATCTCTTATTTTATAGCAGGGTAAAACCTATCCAAGAAGATACTCTTGATTTGATCTTAGCTTATCCAAACACGTTATAAGATAAAATCTCTGGGAGGTATGTTAGGCCTTTGGTCGGATAAAGATAGCCTACTGATCACACAGCAAGTTTAGAGAAATGTAGATTCATCCAGACCTCCCACGATACACTTTTTTCTCCCTCACTTTCCAATTCTGTGTATAATATATAACTAAATCAACAGTTGAAAAAGGACATGGGCTATAACTTAGATAAACCCAAGTTAAAACCATAATAAACCAAGTAACCTGGTCAACTCAACCTATTTAAACCTTAGTTTCCTCATCTGTTGAGAAGATATGATTATACCTCCTTTTCATGGCATTACGAGGATTTAAAAATAACGAAAGTAAATTATGTGGCAAGTACCCAGCATATAGTGAACACTCAATAAATGATAGTAATTATCATTGTTGTTGTTATTATCACTTTTAAAAAGTGAACACAGCTAAATACTAGTTTTATTTATGTTGATAATCACCAACACTTTAATGAGATTATCTATTAAATTTGGACTGTCACTTTTTTGGATCAAAGGTGATGACTAAAATTAATAGAATACTTATTGTTTTTTTTAATGCTTAATGTGTGCACACCCATTGGGTTTATTCTATTGAATCTTATTTCATAATACATTACCTTAGCAAACAGTCAAAAATACCACTGGACATCTGTTGAAGAGCTATTATTTACACACAGTACAATTCATCAGTAATGCAATATGACTGATTCCTTTTTTTTCTTCTCGCTTTCAGGAAAGGATTAAAAACAGTGAAACTCATTCTGTAGAGAACATGTTAATCATATTTTTTTTTTATTTGTGATGTGATTTTTGGACACATTCCTATGACACTTAATAAGGCGAGATGACTGAGTCACTGCGTCTGCTTCTCTTGTCAGGCTATTTGTTGATACATAAAACATCCACTCTGATAGATGTTTGCGGACCATGACATTTGGTTATTTCCTAGTAATTCATGTAGAATCTTAGCCGTTTTGGAAAGGGGAATCCCTATTCTTTCCCTCTTAAAGTTTATTTTATTTTGAGTCATACACTGCAACCTATTTGCCTAAGAAGGGCTTTGTGAAGATAAATTTCTGATGTTGATACAGCCTCATTTTAGTGTATCTTTTCACCACAGCTATAATGCTCTTCTATTTTTAGCTCTTAGTTTAATTCTCTGAGTAAACATGCCAAAATATAGTCATTATAGTTCTATTCCCTGCATGTTCACTGGCTTCACTGTCATATCCTAATTCTGTGATGAAAAATAAGAGGCGGGTCTTTTCTCTTTTAGATCAGTGAACATTTAGTGGCTGCATGTTGATAGGTTTCAGAGTGTGTGATGGTTTGACAGAATGCTGTTAGTAGAAGAGGCTGTTCATCTCCCCTCACTGTGCTTAGCATGGATGAACTAAGTGTAGGCTGGGATCATGGGCGTATTTTAACAAAGGGGAATTGGAACCAATCTGTCCAAGACAGGCAATTGTTTTGTTTTTTGTTCTTTTTGTTTTTGTTTTTTGTTTTTTGTTTTCTGGTAAGTGGGAAGAGGGAATGCCCTCTAGGAAGTTCCTTGAAGGAAAGAGAACTTGGGCCAAACTCTCAGTTCATATAGAAACCAAAACACATTTTGAGTTGGGAGGCCCTTTAGTCAACAGTTCTTAAAGAAGACAGTTGTGCTGATACCACCTATGGGTCATGACGCTAAAAATAGGTCATCAGGAGAGAAGATAGAGTCCAGACAAGAAAAGCCCCATCATGATGAAAGAGATAATGTGAAGGAAATGCAACATGATTTGCCACCATGCTAACTACTGAAAGCAATTCTAGTTTCTTTCTTTGGAGCTCAGTAATTTAAGTTGTGGGAAGTGGCCACTGGAGAGCTTTACTGGGGAGGGGAGAGGCCAGGAATGGGGATCGTTTGGCAAAATTAAAGAGATTTGTTTAGTTGATGTTAATTTGCCTTGGTACTGAGATACCAGATATGAGTTAATTTGTAGACTGAATGCTGTAAAGAATCAAATCTCCATGATGGTTCATTCAATATTTTTCTTTATTTTTTCAATTACAAAAGAAATACATGGGTCTGATAAAAAAAAATTTCAGATGATCATTGAAGTATGTAGAGTAAAAAGTGAAATTTCCCACACACAACTGCCCAAACCCTATTATTTCCCTAGAAGTAACCATTGTTACCAGTTTAGTGTGTAACCTTCCAAAACATAACCCCATAATACATATATATGTATTTCTTGTAGGTATCTACCACATCTGTACTACTGCTCTCTACCACTTACCTGCTATAATTTCAAGAGCATTCTCAGGTCTTGGCCACTAGATACATATTTGTTTAAATTTTGTATTATCTCACTTTCCCCATTTATTGATTAGTTTGGGTTTCTATCTCTTATAGTTTGGGTTTCTATGTCTTATAGTTAAACCTTTGTTACACATGTTTCAGTACTATCAAGATAAAGCCAGTGAAATGTCATGCCTTTTGTAGTTGTGTTTCTGTTTCAGTAATAATTCAAATGTGTATGCCTCACGCTGTTCATATATTGATTGAATCAGAGTCAGGGTTATATTATTTTTACACTTCAACTCCTCTTCCTCAAAAATTTTTCATCCTCAGAGAGATTCCATATCCTCTTTTTTATTTCTCCCTTACAGCACATTTGAGAAAGGACATTGGAGGAATTACAGCTGGGGTTAGGGAAGAAGAGGTGCTGTGAGTCTACTCTCACCTCGGCAGATAGATTCAGACTCTGATAACATAGTTGAGTACCTATAATATTCTGGGCATTGTACTGGGTGCCTCATACTTGACACCCCTTGCTTCCTTTCACCCTCCAACAAGCATAGGGAGCTGGTATTATTTGCATTTTCATAGGGTAAAGTAAGACATAGCATGTTACCTGCTTAAAGTCACATATATAATAAGAGTTCAGAACTCAACCTTCTGATGCCACCTGCTGCAACACTGAGTGGACACATCTTCACATTATTCATCAGTGTAACTTTAATTCTTTCTCTGGGAATTAAAAGTATTTTCCTTTTTTTTTTTTTTCAATTGCCTACTCCCATGGGCAAAAAAATCCATGAACTTTCTTTGTCCTCCCATTGCAGGACTGGGAAAAATGTGAGAACGGAATAGCTGATTCTCTGGAGAAACTACGAACTTTCAAAAAGAAGCTTTCCCAACCTCTCCCTGATCACCACGAAGAGCTCCATGCGGAGCAAATGCGTTGCAAGGTAATTACTGGATTGAGCTTTTAACTGTCACCTACCTGTGTGCTTCTGCTTGTAATAATGTCTTTGAAAGCAAGCCAGTCAACCTCTGAGGGCAGTCTACATGTAGACGCAAGTTCCTGGTCTATTTCATTAGGAAAAATAACTCTGGTGTAACTTGGCTGTTGAGGTATTGCAGTTGATGAAATTATAGACTAGTTTATAAATTACTTTAAGTAAATGAACATGTAACTCATGACATTAAAAGATATTTAAAAGCTGAGTCAAAAACAATAAAAGGAATCTTTTTAACGTGTCTGCACTGAAGAATCATTCTAGCAGAAGAGTAATTGACAGAAGGCTCAGCAGCCCGGAAGTTCTGTAGACACTGTCCCTTGGAGGAGCAAACCCTGCCTTCCAGACTCTTCTGTAAGGAAAATAGGAACTGCAAATATCTGATCTCAGTTACTGCATGGAGACACACAATCCTTCAGTTACGCCCTCACTCTTTAATTACTTAAAAATTGTGATCAGCACCTCAAATCATACTTGGAAGCAAATTAGTAGCTAATACAGATCACTTCTCACATCATGAGTTTTCTGAGACCAACACAATTTGGTGGCTGTAGGATTTTTTTCATTCATGCCGATATAGCCACGTGGAGTGCTGAGTGATATACAGATCAGAACTACCTTTAAAACATCTTTTTGAAAAACATTATACATGTCCTCAAATTATAAGAAATTATACATGTCCACGTCATTTGCAAATTACTACACTACAGTAATACTGTTTAAAATTTCATGCATGCTAAGGTGAATTAGATTTTAATTAGAAGTTCTCAGCTTCACTTTGGCTAAGAAGTTGCAAGCATTTAAGATTAATTTCAGAGAAGTGTAGAAATCATGAAAAGTGTGGCTATAAAAATTATTCCTTGGTATTAAAATTCAAGGATAGTCTTTGAAACTTGAAAGGCATATTTAGGAAAAAATCAAAGATGGTATAACCATCATGGATAGTAACTGAGTGAAATATCTTGACATATTAATCAGAAGCATGCAAAGATTAGAAAGTTTGTTTTAAATCTGCAGTTATAAATTTATAACAAAGGAGTAAAGAAAACCTCGATAATGATAAACAGGCATTTATTGGGCTCCGCCTGTGTGCCACTGACCATACATACCAGTGTTAGCTCAGTCACCATGAGCACAAGCTCATGAGGACTATCTGTTATTTCCTTTACATAGATGTGAAAACAGAGGTTTCTAGAAGTTTAATAACTTTTCAGAGTTATCAAAAATCAGGGTTGCCTAGATCCAGAAGCTATATTTTTACCACATGGATTTATCTAAGGGAGCCCATGAGCCTGAAACAATTGTTTCTGGTGATGGTGTTTGTTTCTTTTTTGATCCATATACCAAATCTGTTGTTAAGTTGGGGGCTGGAGATTGGTGTAAAATGAAGAAAAGCTTTACATTGATCTGACAATTTAATACATCTATGGATATGCACAGAACTGCATATTTAATACACCTGGAGAGATTGGTCTTTTAGCCAAACGCCATTACCATGGGACTTCATCTCCCGAAACGTATGACAGTTACAAACACACCCTGCTATTAAGTTTGGAGAGTAAAAGGATGCATTTTGGTCCAGCTTCCTGCTCCTCTTCCCCAAACCACCCTTAGCAGCATAACAAAGCAATTACCTGGAAAATTCAGACTTCAGCCTTGTTTGCTTAAATTGCCTAGGAAGTTGGCCTTGAACAGTACCGTTAATTGCTCTTGCCTTTGGAAACTTTGCTCCTGTGTGAAGAGACAAAGAGAGAGGGGACAAAACCATACTCTGATTCATGTACACAATTAGCTAGAATCTAGAACCAGCAACAGCTGACAAAGAGTAAGAGTTAAACAAATTACAAAACCAGTCATCCGCTTAAAACATTACAAAAATTAACATCAGCACATTCGAATATTGCTATATGGATTTTTTTCTTAAGTCATCCCCAAAAAGGACAGAGTACACATTGTTCTTTCAGTACTTTTAAGAAATCTCTGCTTCTGCAGAAAATGTATCTAGTCCATTATTTTAAATTGAACAATAATAGAAACAGATCTTTTCAGCTATTACATTGTAAGTCTGTATCACAGAAAGTAGCCACTCATAGTGTTTGAAGATAAAAGTTAAAACTAGGAGTCGGGTTTTTCACAAACATGGTCAGTAACTTGGGACAAAAAGAAAGGCTGGGTTAGCAGTTTATGAAGTCAATTAAAAGTGAAAAAGATCAATGCAGTCATGAAAGTTCAATTTAGAAGAGATGGTCAGAAATCACCAATGAAATGCTAAATAGATAGTGGCAAGTTTCTGTAAGCAACCTAGCACTTTATCAGAAGACCTCAGCAAATTATTAGATTTTGTAAGAAGCAGGTAAAGTAGATACCAAGTTAAATGATCAAATAGAATGGGAAGGAAAGCTGATTGTATCAAGAAGGGATTCCAAACACATTTCAGAAATTGTTGATGATAGATGTCCATGGGTATTCACATTTTTTTATTAATCTAGGAATTGGAAAACACAGTTGGGAGCTGGACAGATGACTTGGCGCAGCTGACACTGCTGAAGGACAGTCTGTGTGCATACATCAGTGCCGATGATATCTCCATCCTGAATGAGCGCGTAGAGCTTCTGCAAAGACAGTGGGAAGAGCTGTGCCGCCAGGTAAGACAAACTCCAGACTTGCATTAGCACAGAAAAGGGCAAAACTCAGAGGTGATGTGGAATGTCAAATGGCTTGACCCACATTTGAACCTATCCCGTAACTCATCACTTTCACAGAGGAAGACTCTGTGGTTATTATAAGAATATTTCAGATTAAGACAGTTATATCTTAACTTTTTATCTGAGATACATCCAAACTGGATCCCCCTCTCTCCCTCTCAGTGGCTGGCATAACATTTTTAAAAGGACATCAGTTTTGTGTATATGGTTTTACTAGGTATTACTAGATATTGGTAGTCTCTTACTTTAAACATGTGAAAAAACATTATTCTATTTTCATTTTTAGCTAATACTGTGGGGCAGACTTAGTGCAGGGAACTATTTTTGCTGTTGCTTTGCATGATTGTTTCCTAGTAATTCATGGGTGGGTAGCATTTTTACTCATACTTTGCTCACCTTCTTTGTACATAATATCTTAAAAGAGATTCCAGATTGGGTTTGATTTTGAAATGAAGGATTTTGATTTTGAAGTGGAAAGGCTATGAGAAGACATCCAAGCCAAAGAGGAATAACATAGATTAAACGCCCCACAAGTGAAGAATGGGCTCTAAGACCTCACCCTCCAGGAAGCCAGGAGAGTGTCTGTCATGTTCCTTCCTGTCCTGGATTGCCTTGTTCGGCACATAATAGACTGTGATGCATATTTGTTATATAAATCAGTCATATTAATTACTGTGAATGTCACAAGCTATGGTAGACATTCCCACATCCAGTTTATAGTTGAGCTGAGACTAAAAATCCGTCCAGAAGAACCTATAGAAGAAAACTTAGTAATGAACAGTTAAAATAATGCATAAAGATGTAAGCAACCTAGACATAGTGTGGACTGCAGAGATCAAAGCAAATGCTTGTTGGCTTGAGTGAATCTTGAGCTGAGTGCTGAGATGGGGAGGAGAAGAGACAGGTTGGTGTGAAGGGAGCAAGCGGATGTGGGGACAGGTTGCAGCTTGAGTAAAGGCACAGGAGTGGAGGGGACAGAGAACAAGGCTGGGGAGAGGCAGGTGTTGGGAGGACAAGGAAGGGACTTTTGAGAAGGGGCATTTCGTGCCTCCCCAGTTTCAGGCCAGCGATACTATCCTAGAGATCTCTTCTCTCCCGTCCTCCCCACTTTCTCTGACTTTACCGTTGCTTATCTGCATGCATTAGGAAGCACTAAGCAGAGTTTTAAGAGGCTCAAAGCCTCTTGATTCATTTGACATCAATTGGAAATCTGTTGTTAGGTAAATTTTTCTCCATACATTTAGATTAAAACCTAAATATTTCATAGACCATGAGCCAGAGAACAACTGGAGCACATTTGGTACATGTGTGAACAGTTTCCTATAAAAATATACTTTTAAAAGAGAAGAATGTAAGAGATGATTTTCACAAACCTCCCAATGATGCGATTCAAAGTTAATTTGGTCACTTTTCACAGAGCTCCATATTCTCCATGAACCCAATGAGAAACTTAGATGGTGTGTGGTGTGTTAATCACAATACTTTATCCTTTTCTGAGTTCTTCAATCCAAATCAATACATTACTATCCAATAAATCATCATGAAGTATTTTTAATATAAAGATTTTATCTTGGCATATCATATAAATGAAAGGTATTTTGGTGGGTATAAATAATGGAAAATGATCACAGCCATGTTCAGTTACTTTCATTACCATTATTCATGTTGTTTTTCTTTAATTGAGAAGTCTAGCAATACTTGCTGACTCAGTTATTCTGAGCATGTTATATGAAGCGAGTTAGACCAGATCCATTTCCCTGGCTAACTGGGGTCTGTAAAGTTTCACAGGGATAACACTTCAGATATTGGCTCCCAGTTCCTTCCCCAACCTGTGATGAACTGCCTGCCCCAGGACCTTGCTCAAGCCATTCTTCCTTCCTAGACTGACTGTTCCTTCCCTTCTGGTTTTCTAACCCATCTTCTTCCAAATTCCACCACCCCTGTGTGGCCATGGTCTGAGGTGCTCTGACCTCAGTGTCTTTCCATTCATCTGAACTCCCAATTCCTTTGTAGCCTGTATCATGTGACAGTGCATTGTTCCTTTTTTCTTTTTATTTAATGTTTGCGACTTAATTCCAAGACTGGGAGGTCCTTGAGGGTGGAGACCATTTCTTTTTATCTCCAGGGCCTGGAGATGCTAAGTGTTCATATGTACTGTTAATAACTCAGACAAAACTT